GCCGGAATTGCGCAAAGTCACGTGAAAGGACCTCGCCGTGGAGGCTTTCAATGCAGCTAAGGATGATAATTAGCAGTAATGTTTTTCACTCATTTTGGCTGCTGAGGGGCAGCGGATGACGTGGGCGTCCTAAATTGCCCGGTAAAGCAAGTAGATAGATGAGACTACCTGATGTCGAAACTTTGCAGCGATTTGAGACGAGTTTCGGGCTAGAAGAGGAGACACTACATGGTACAAAAGGGGCTGTTGAGCATCTGTTTAAGCCGAAGAATACAGGTTTTTTGACACAAACATTAGGGTACCAATCACAATTGTAGCAGATAGCACATTACGGAGGTTCAAATGCTTATGTATGGAATCGGCTCGAAGCGGGGGCCAGATTTGTTACCACTCTAAAGCGGCTCTCACATTTAGCACCACAGTTGCCCCTCCATATGGCGGACCAAAATGTGTGGCGTTTTTGCCTCGTTCCTTATATAAAACGCTCTTATATGGAGGGACAAGCTAAACTATTCTAAGAAATTCATCCATGGTACACTGAGTATTTCGCATCGAGAACTGCTGTCAAACGTGCTCGGTAATACTTGCCAGCTTCATCGTCAATTCGTCATTTTCATGCTGTAGCAAAATAAATGATGACAGACGTAGACGACAGTATAGCGCCTCGAATGACCCAATCGTCACCTCATCGGCACTGTCACCATCATTGTCGTGCTCAATCGCCTCATCCTCTATCACGTCTAAGTCACATTCGATCGTCTCGTCGTCATCCGCACCGATGTAATCGACGACACTGACGCTACAAGTCAAACCTTCCATGATCTTGGTGAAATCATCCTCAACAGATCCATCTATGCGTTTGTTGTAGTCGTGTAGTTGGGTGAGGTCGGACCTCGTTACCGCTCCCACGATAGCACACTTGCTCCAGCAGTTGCTAATCACTTGTTCGGGCGAAGCGCACAGCCTCCAGGATATTCAATTTTCGGTAGATTATAGTGTGGATTGCATCCAGGAGCCATCGAACAAATTTCTTCTGATACCGCGTTTTTAATGCCCGTATAATTCCTATCAGAAAAAAACACGTGAGAAATTGCTGGTCAAGAGAATATCCGTATGAAGTTACCTGCGTCGAGAGGTTGCAAGTATGCTGTCATATTCGTTGACAGGGATGCCAGCTTGACATTGTATCATTCAGCGGCGCCATAGTGACACGACGCGTTGTCCCGGAGGAGAAGCACTCGTCTCCCGGGCATCCTGGCATCGAAATGCCGGAGCCACTCAGCAAACGCTGACCTATTTTGCCACGCATTCTGGTTGTTAAACTACAAAAACTTCATGTGCTTGGTGTTGACTTTGCGAAATGCTTGTGGTTGCTTCGGCTTGCCCACGGCAACGAGGTCCATCCTCTCTGTCTCGGTCATGTTGCAGCACATCGCGACTGTGATACGATCCATCTCTGACTTCTTCCCGTTGCGCTTGACCGTTGCCAGTGTCTTGTTTGGAGGTAGGCGATAGAAGAGAGCTGATTCGTCAAAATCGCATGCACCTCGTGGTGAAAATTGTCCAATCAGCTCTTTTAGCTCCATTCGATTCACTGCGAGTTGAGCGCGATCAACTGAGTCTTTCTGGCCGTGAAGCACATGCTGCTAAATACCATGTCGAGTCTTGCATTTTTGCAGCCACCCATTCGAAAGCGCAGGTCGTTCTCAGTTATCCCTTAAAAGGCTCGGATCGAGCGACCTTCTTTTCTAGTAGATCGTCTGTGAGAATAGCTTTGCCGTCATTGAGACGATAAAATGCGAAGAACGCAGCCTCAAACTCTGGAAACAGCACTTTTCGATTGCGCTTCCTTTCCGTAACAAGAAACGCGTTGGCTGGTGCCTGACAAATCCATTATGCTGCAGTTGTGGAGATCCGAAGGCCGAACTTCTCTCTGACCCAGTCTCAAATTTGGAATAGTTTTATGCCTGGTGTGCGTGTGATATGCACCTGCACCTGACGCTTTTTCTCCATCGTTGAAATCGTTCGATTTGACGATATTTTTAAGGTGGAACGGAAGCAAATGTGCAAAGTGGCAGGCAATGCGAGACTGTGGCAAGTCTAATATAAAGGGAAACTGGTGGTTCTTGCGCGTTTTAGTACCCTATTATTTCAGTCTTTTATATAGAGTTACGATACAAGAATCAAGTGACGCAGCTTGGTGCGGGACACGAAGTACAGAAACAAGAATTTAACCCTTTATAGAGGTCACTAAATGGAGCGACGACTGTACCAGTTAACGTAGGTTCTCTCAAAGCATTAAATAGCGAGCGACCCACACACGCAGCACTGCTTGACACAACAATCGATGACAGAGATCGTTAAGGTTCGTCTACTCGCTGACGGCATTAGCACCAGGTAAGCCATACCATGAAATCCCCGACCTCCAACACGCTCCGACCGGGACAAAGCCAGTACGAAATTGTGTAGTAGTGTGCAATTTTGTGTGCCTTTTTGTGCTAATAACTATAAGTGGACAGTGGAGCTTAATATATGATTGATTGAGGCAAACTGATTGTCCATGTGTGCGTGCTCGAAATCATGATTATACGTGCTGATCTGCTTCACTTTATCGTAAGTTGTGCCAACGTGTCAATCTACCACAACATGTGGACTGTGGACGAGTTGTACATGATGGTGCTTCAATGTATACGTACGTGCAACCGTGCCCATGTATATCCATACGCGCGCACCTGACTGAGGATTAATCGTTATGTTGTATTTAATGACAGGATGCAGCTACATGTTGGTCTACATGCCGCCCATGTGCTATCCGGATGACCCGTTTTCCCGTGCGTGAATGGTGTACAGCGCGGTTGCTGTGTTCGACAAAATGCTTGGCATCAGTGATGGTATTACGTGACTCATATAGTTAAGCTGCTAGCTGCCCGGGTCCGTCTGTCAGGTGCCCATCGGTCTCGACATTGTCGACATTCCGCCCCGCAAGCAGTGGATGGAGTATACTACGATTGATCGGTCGTCGACGATGAGAATATGCGTGCTGTACGTATGACGAGTTAATAGTTGATGGAGCTTTTTCAGTGGATGCTGTGTGCAGTGGATGTAGTGCTGTAGATGGGTAAATGAGTGGGTGGCAGGTTGATCACTATATTCGACGTTCATTTTGTGGCTGCGTGAACAGGATGGGCTTCAACCCGTACATCGAGTGCGATCCAACGACCCACGTCAAGTAAGCACTCGCATACTTCCTGGCTGAAGAAGATCATATCGGAGTAGCAAAGGTCGGCTATTCTCGTCCGATCCTGTGAAGAGAGTTTGTTTGCGACAAGGGAGTGAAACATAGTGACTGCTACGGGAACCAGCGCATGTTCTACAATTCAAGGAGCGAGAGAGGGAGAGTGTAAAATGTTGTGAAGATGAAAATGTGACAACGATCCTGTTTCGTGCGAGTGGGCCAAGTGAATGAACAAGGAGAAGGGGTGACCTACGAGATCGTGGGTGGCAACGTGTTTGGGTAGACTACAGAAGTCGCCAACTTCGTTTAAACCAAGAGTGAGTTTTAAAGTGTTGAATATGCATGTGTTCGGTCGGAAGATCACATCTAATCATTGATAATTGATGCGTGTTTGTAGCTCTGACCACGACTGGCGTCTCAAGCAAGAACGGTGTCGGATACTTCCAGTCGCACTACAGCGACAAGAAAAGGACCATGTGCGAGTTCAATCCGAACATGATGTATGATAATCGGAAGAAAGTTTACACGACGACGAAGAGTTTGACCTTCTAGCACGACAATTACACGCCGTCACGTGATACGATTCTGTCGTGTCCAAGAACATTTTAAAGCGAGCTGACCTCGACGCTTAAGGGTGAAATGGATTATTGTACCATCCTTCCGCAGCATTGTGAGGTCCGGTGCACGCCCAAATCGGTGCCACAGCAGACACAACAGCGCCGCATCTTGGCATTCAGCACTAGTAACCGCAGTTAAATACAAGTATTCATCATTTTCTTGAGAGCAGAATTTGTGCATGCTGGGGCCTTGTTCACAAACGACCCTGACACACGCTTCATGCAATGGCGTTCGAGCGTCTGTCCCTTCTTGAGCAAATTCTTTCAGCCACTGCTTGATGCTGTGGGAACTGCTCCAGCAGCCAATTCTTGGCTTTTTGAAAGTACTGCATGACCGAGTGTCGAGCTAAGAGCTGTCCCTTTCGGCTCTCCTTGAACGCTAGATACATGTCAAACTTGTCCACCACAGCTTCTAAGGCGAGAGGTGCCCTCTCGCGCTGCATGCACTGTTGAAGGTACTCCCCCAGTAACATCTTCCTGCTCGAGGAACTTTAAATTTGAGCGCGCTGCGTTCTCACGGGCACGCTTCGTGTTGGCAGGTGCTAGGTCAGTCAGACTCATCCTCGGTGGATATATACAAGCTTGGATGTTGTTTGTAAAATATGCGATTGAGTTACCTTTTGTCGGAGATGTCGGAGCTTGGTTTTTTTTAAATATGCGAATAATTTGGTGTTTGTATAGTGATATCCATACCAGCACTGTTCTCTCCGACCCGGCACGTCGGAGAGGTAGCTGCGAGAGCATTACTTGTCCATCTACTCTCTGATTAATTCTATATATTGCATTTGTTCAATTTGACTGGCTAAAAAAGGGTTTTAAATCACTACGCTCACACTATTGGTCAATACATTCAATATGATATTCAAGTGCGGTCGGAGATTTGATGTTATTCATCCCTAACACCTAAAAACTAACAAATGATTGCAACTCGTTCCTCACAGTGGAACGCCCAGTTGTTCGTTCAATAAGCGCTGTCACGCGCCGTCGCCTGTCCACGTACGCTTTTAGGGCTGGACCAGCCCAGCTGAGTAAAGGACGGTGTCAACGTAGTCAAAGCGCAACAGCGGCTGGTCGTGGCACCCCACTCTCAATCAAACAGTCGGCACGACCACCTGCGCTTCGCCTTGTGGACGGGAACAGCACGAACCATGCATCTGGTGTACGTCGCGGTGACGATCCTGGCGGCTCTTGTAAGATGCAGCGGCGCAGTCATGTCCGTCGTTGACCCTGGGGCTGTCCTGGGACCCGACGTTGCTCGTGAGGACTTCGTGGTGAAAGGCCACGTCAACGAAGCCAGTACGGAGAGGCTGTTGAGGGAGCCTCGTGCGCGCAACGGCTCCGAAGTAATACAAGTGGACGATGAGAAGAGAATCTACGGACTCGCCAACAAAGTAACGTCGCTTCTTACGACGGTCTCGCAAAGTGACATCGCGGGGAAGGCCAAAAGTGCTGCGATGACCGCTGCGGGTTCAGCGATGGTGCCAGCTACTTATCTCGCTGTACTACTCAGGGCAACCGCCGACAAGCCTCTGGGAGTGATAGCACCGTTATGGAACACGCTGGGCAACGGTCCATCCTCTCTACTAATCAAGGCCAAGCTTATGGAGCTTTCACAGACGTTCACCGAGGTGATGAAGGTCGGTGCGACAATGAGTACGGTATATCTCGAAACCCTCGCATCGAAGTACAGGTTGGCCATTGACGGACTGTTGAGCAAGTCAGCATCGCTTTTGAAGACGCTGGCTGCACATCCGGAAGTCATGAGAATCAAGAGGATGCTTGAAGAGCTGGTTTCATACATGGTAGTGACAGCTGCGATTTTGTTTGTTCGAGTGCAAGTCAAAAAGAACACATCGAAGCTGGGGGCGTCCATCTATCGGCTTGTAAACAAGTATTCACCGTATCGGAAGGCAATTGGCGCTGGTCTGACATCGAAGACCACGCGTACGATGTTTGCAGAGAAGGTCACAGACGTGATACTACAGATTGCGCTCAAGTTGATTAAATTGTCGCTGGGAAAGCACGCCAGAAGGTTCAAGGCAGTCGTCGGTCCGCATCTGAACAAGTACTTGCCATACCGGATGGAACTTAAAATTCCAACGGTAAGACCTAAGAACAAATTCAAGGATCTTGCAAAAACGGTGAGAGGTCTGATAAAAACAGCCGTGAAGTTTGTAGTTAAAGTGCAAGTCAGGAAGCATGCATCAAATTACAAGGCGACCATCAAAAAACTTCCGCACGAGTCAGCACGGTACCGGGGGAAAATGGCTGCCAACTCTACCGTGAAGAAAATCAAAGCCAAGATCAAGAAGTTTGCAGCAAAGGTCGCAGACGCGCTAATGGCGATTGCGCTATCGATCGAAAGGATACTGGACAAAGTTGAATTGATGTCGAAGTAATCGTTGACAAGTTTCTGGGCAAGGCGGCGGCACTAAGAAACAAGCTAGCTTCGAATCCGATAGTCACCAGAAGCAAGACCAAACATACGGGAAAAAAACCACCGCAGGGCGACACGAGACGGGGTGACCTAAAAAGACCCATCTTATAGCGTTCTCGACACAAGACCAGTCAGACCGTGGCACACGTCGAGCCTTCGCCAGTAACGTGAAGAACATAGAGCACTGGAAGATCTGCTATCGGCCACGTCGTCGAGCTCCAGAGTAATCATGTGGGGCCTACATCTCAGCAATCGGCTCTTCGCGTGCCGACGCATGTAGATCTTCTCCTAACTGCAAGTCCCTGATGTGCCGAGCACTAGCGCTCGAGAGACGCGCCGGACGCATACACCTGGGCAAGAAGATCGACAAAGGGGATAGTACTGCCCTTATATCTGAATTTGCAACATATGCTATTGGAATCTATGCGTTACCAGAGGACATACAATCAGATGCAAAAGGGAAAGTGTCCTTAGTGTCGTTACCTCCTGGATAGCTACCATTTACTCTTAGCAAAATACATCATAAAATGACACATTTATCAGTCGTTCGGCATGAACACGGTAAGCAACCAAACATTCGTTCCAGTATCTATGTAACGGGGCACACCCTTGCGTGAACTTAACGCAAGGGTTTCGGGTGCCCCGACAGACGTACACGAGGCAAACGAGGAAGCGTAGATAGTGAAAAAGTAAAACTGTTATATTAATATAATTAAGTCTTTTTGCTACTGTCTCTCTGTTTGACTTAACTTTATTATGCTAATATAACTGAGTGTATGGTGACGTCTCGTCACCACTCATTGCGCGCGTCTTGCGGCGATTGGTGGGTTGATATCATCAAGATATCAACCAATGAACAGACTCTTTGGTCGCCTCACCAATATCACCACTATCGGTGATATTGTTTAAAGAATATTCAACTTAATATTCTTTATTGTCATTGTTTCTTTAAAGTGACAATTCCATGTAACGGGCTGCCCCGTTACATCACCCCCCTTAACTGATAGTCACCATGTGACTATCGAAAATATGGTGGCCACCCGTTGGCCACCATTGGGACCGCGAGCACTTGTTGGGTCCGTTCTATTCACTTTCCGTTTGACAACGCATAGTTAACATGTCTATGCGGGGTGACTCGAGGCACACAGAGTCTGTGCCTGTGCCAGCATCTGCGGCAGACTTTTCGTCGTCTGCTGCTCCTGCTTCGCCTGCAGCAAGAGGTGCTGCAGGTGCACGCGGTACAGCACCGCGTGTGCATGATGACCCCGACATTGAGGTCATCTACTCTGGCGAGTCAGAAGTGTCTGACTCGGGCAATGTTGCAGAGGCGTCTCGATCGCCGGCGACGCCTCAGTATTCGCCAAGGCCACTGCCAAACGAACGGACTTGTGAGTTGCAACACAGTCTGTTCGGCAGTGATGACGAATCTGATGATGAGTATGTTTCCTCATCACCGCGATCAGCTCGTGCTCCTTCGCACGAGCTGTAACGGGGCAGCCCGTTACATGTTTATCAGCTTTACCGTTCTGTATGCAAGAACACTTTTCGCTGAATAAATTAAAATCGCATTGACATTTGCGAACGTCATTGTCATGTGATGGGGGATCGACCTGTTACGCTTCGTAAAGTGAATGCTTGTTTTGTCTATTTCTTCGTCGAATTGCCTACACCCATTGCCGTCAAATGTCCGACGGCAATCTACTGATTGCACGTCATGAAACGAATGAGTAGCGCCTTGCCACAATGGTGTTCGGGCGTAGGACGTTTCACCGATGTGGCGGCTCCGCAACAAACCGAAGATTCGAAGTTGATTACGTGAGGATAGCACAGCAAAGCGTGTGCCCTGTGGTATCGTCACTCCTTTCGCAGCCCAAGTGGAATCGATCAAAGCATGCCAAGCAACATGCAGCTCTCCTCTTTATATCGATCAAGCGCGAGGTTCATTTTGCGCGTGGTGTATTGTCAGCTAGCATCGTCGAAGCCATGGCGGTAAAATGAGCAACCTCACTACTGTTTGTAAAGACCCGTGTTTGTTGCACGTGCGCTGGCGGCCATGAAATCGTGTGCTATCTTGGGTACTTGACAAGCGTTCACCTGGTGGCAAAAATGAGGCTTAGAAACTTACTGCAACGATTCCTATCGTCGTTAAGAAGTCTGAACATTAGCGACGGGTCTTGTCCGGGAGGTATTCGCTTATAGCAGCTCCTCGCGTCTGCTGTGTCTTTGCGTCGAGTCTCGCGCTAGTTACCTGACACGTTGTGTACCGTGTTGACATGGCAAAACGGGCTGTGCGAGGATAGCAAAGAGTTTATAGGTTTATAGACCTCTATGTTGCATCCAACGCATTCTGTACAAGGCAAATTAGCACGGCCTCGCATCATTTCCATACATTGACAGGAAGCACTGAGCAAGCGCCTGGAGCAGGGCCACTGACAGAACTGGTCGTCCAGATTGTCAGCGATGGGGCATTACGGCTTGCCGCGAAACACTCGGCCTGCGAAGCAAGTTTGACTGATTGATGCGACACTCGTCCGTACTTTTTTATCCTCCCTGAGCAACATTCCAAGCACATAGGGTCACCGGATGTCCACGAGAAAAATCGCAGATTCAGGTATCGACACGTGCCCGATCAGACAGAACTGTACAGCGTTGCATTACGATCGAGTTCGGCATTTTGTACCTTTCATTCGGATGCTACGGTGCACAATGCATATTCGCGCATAGCTTATAGTGCCACAAATATCGCTTTACAGAAAAGGCTCTTGTCCATGTTTTCAACACATTCCCAGACCTCGAATAAGGCAAGCAAGGTTCGGTCCGACCCCGTCGACCTGATCCGCAATAAAGTGGGCCTAAAGTGGGCTATTCGTGAAGGGGGCACCCACCGAATGTCTGTCAATCAATGACCTGTCCTCTCCCGCTGTGATCCAGCTGTGCATGACGCCAATTCTGGCAATATGAACCACCTGTTTCATAATGGCCCGTCGCGGAGTTGCCCGTCGAAACCTTCTGACCACAGGAGACGGACGGACGGACGGACGGACGACCTGTCTACGTCACCCGAGGCAGCAACGGCTTTGGGATGCAAATACGATGTCGCCCGGCACCTTTCGTGACACGTCAAGCGCCGTGAAACCTCCCGAACGTTCTCATCGTTTGTCGGATAAACGGCACCACTCGGTCAGCCGCTGTCACGTTCGTCGTGGTGGCAGCAAGCGAAACGGTCTCGTGCACTGCGGACCGTCGCCGCCATTGTCGCCGATGTGAGATGTCTACCTCGACGATCAGGACACTGCATCGATTCCCTGTCGTGACGTCGTTGTCACACCAGCTCCCGCTGACTCGTCGGCCCCTTAATAGTGCTAAGTCGTTCGATATCCATCGCCTCGTACTTCAAGGTGGAATCTTCCACCACCACCACAACGTTCTCACCCCCTGCCATCGAATAATATCGTAAACAAGGAGCTCGCTCTCTTCCCTGACTCGAAAAAACAGCCAGGCACCATCATCGATCTCGCTCATCCCGCCCTCGCTCCGTTCGACCCACCAATCATCCACCCACCAATCATCCACCCACCCACGAGCCATCAAAGGATCGATCGTTCCTCACTTCGTCGAATCTAGTCGATTCAAATCTAGCCGCACCCCTCACAACGACGACAAGAGGCCGTCCTCGTCGCAGCCCTATCGCTAAAATAGCTGCTCATTTCCCAATTGCCCTCGTCAGAGAAAGACCGACAGACCGCCGGCGTCATGGGCGCCGCCATCCTCAAGAGCTGCTTCCTGGTCGGCCACGCGATGGACCTCCCGCACGAGCGGCAGCAGCAGCTGCAGCTGCACAGCCACAACCACAACCACAACTACCACCAGCACAAGCAGCGCAAGCAGCAGCCGCCGCCGCAGCAGACAAACTGCCGCGTCGTTAACGCAGCGAAGAAGGCGTCGCGGACGCACTCGAGCGCACAGGACGTTGCAACGCGCTTCACGACGCGAGCTGCCAGTTCCGTGACGTCCGAAGCCGCGACTACGTCCGAGTCGTCGTTCGTGTCGGACTCGCCGTCGCACGTGGTGAGTCCCGTGCTCCCCATACACATCCACGCGTCGCTCTCGGGCTTCCGAGCGCTCTTGCCGCCCCAGTACCTCCTTGAAGGCGTGGCGGGCAAAGGCACGACGTCGACGTGTTACAAGTGCGTGCGCACGACGGACAATCGCCGCTTTGCGTGCAAAATCATTGAGAAGAAGCGACTGGCGTCGTCGAAGCGCAAGCGCCTGGAAGTCGCGACGCAGCTGCGCCGGGAAGTGAACGTCTTGCAGCGGGTCAATCACCCGCACATTGCCAAGTTGGTGCAATCGTTCGAAGACGACGAGTTTCTGATTCTTGTGATGGAGCTGCTGGAAGGCGGCGAGCTCTTTGATGCGATCGTGCAGAAGGGACGCTTTGCGGAAGCCGAAGCCGTGCACGTTGCTCGCAGCCTCCTGTCGGCGATCCAGCACATGCACGAGCGAGGAGTTGTGCATCGGGACTTGAAGCCGGAGAATATGCTGCTGGCCGTGTCGGCTACCCGTCGGAGACAGAAGGCGGTGCCGGACGTGCCACTGAACATAAAGATTATCGACTTTGGGTTTGCCAAGGTGCTGAAAGAAGGCGCGACGTCGTCGTCGTTTCTCGGAACAGGCGGCTACTTGGCGCCCGAGATTTTGCTGCGGCAGCCGTACAATGCGTCAGTGGACATGTGGTCCTTTGGCGTCTTGGCGTACTTGCTGCTGTGTGGCCGACTGCCGTTTCCAGCCACGACGCAGCTCCGACCCAACCAGTCGATCCAGATGCTGTACAAGCTCACGTTTCCCAGGCGGTACTGGCACGGCGTGAGTCCGCTGGCGATTGACTTTGTGCAGCGCGTGCTGGTGCTCGATCCGTCGGCGCGGCTCACGGCTTCTGAAGCGCTGGACCATCCGTGGCTTCGATACTAAACGGGATGACTACGGCACTTGGTATTTATTCAATGCAGTTTTTTCCATTTTGTGTGAAATTGCGTGGATGGGAGGGTCAAGCAGACCGCTCACCTGTCGTGTGTATGTGTCGTCTCGGCAGTGAGCGTGAGCAACAATTGCGTGCCGTGGTAAGGGATACCTGGTGCCACTACGCTCGTCGTACAGGTAGGCGTGTTGCTGCACAGCATGTAGAGCAGATTGCGATCCAGAGGAGTGACGACCGATCCACTCGCTGCTGGATGGTGCGCTATTGCGTAGCTATGAGTTTACTCAGGTCGATCGCATGCAGCTTGCAACCAGACACACCTCTACAGCTCTACAGCAGCTGCGAACACCCGCGTCACAATGCACACGGATCCTCATTTGCAGAGCTGCCTGCAGCCAGGCGTTGGTTTTGCTTGGATCGACAAATGCCTGCTAACCAATGTCCATTCTGCCAAAGCATGCCGCGTTTTGGCAGCACGTAGGATGTGGGAACGACTGGATGGCTCGAGACGGAGTGCCTCATGCGTTCGGTAGTCTATCGACACGAGATGACGGACTTGTGAACCCGCTCTACAGAATCAGTGGACCCGACCGAGACGCTGGACGCCAATGCGTCATTGAGGTCAGCACGGCGCCCTTGAATGCCATAATCACGAGGGGGTCACATACCTTTGCGGAAGAATGAACGGCACCGAATGTTTCTGCGCTTGCTCGTGGGAGACGTGGGCCATGCTACACCTACCGTCCATTGTCGATATGCCGTTGGCGACTTAGCGCTCGCTGCACTTCGGGCCCACTGCCTGTCCATCGTCACATCTCGATTGCGTGACGCCGGCTCGATCTCCACCGCACGCATTGTGCTGGTCGTGGCCACGACAGAACCACGAGCTCATCGAGAGGCTTTCGACGAACAGCAGCCCGATCGGCAGCTCCGACAGCAGCAGAACGATTGCGTGCTGCCGGTTCCGCTTTCCAGCAAATCGTGCAAGAGTATGGCTGCGTGCGCACTTGAACTCCAGCGGCTACGCTTCTACCCGGCTGCATCCACATGGGGCGTCGGATCTTCAATGTCCAACCAGGTTTACCCGTCGCGAAAAACACGTCGTCGTCACTGGCAGACGCTGCATGTGCTGTTGCTGTTGCTGTTGTTTCTTGAGGTCTTGCGGGGTACGTGAACGGGGGAAAACGGATCTACAGGTGGTACGGACACGTACACCGACTTCCTCGGGGACTGATAGTCACTGCATCGCCCACGATAGTCGAACTGACTGAGTTCGGTGTGGTTTAGGAATCCTTTCGTCCATCCGGTGCACTTGTGGTCGACGCGCTGCACCAGTTGGATGATGTGGACTTGCGATCGAGTGGCGACACTCGCAGACCAGGCTCTCTAGCCCAGTGACCCTTCCGTTGCCCGGCCGAGGCCATCGCGATAGGCTTCAGCTGTCTTGTGCTTCATGGACGTTATTCAGCAGATGTCACACGCTCTTCCCGCGCGGAACTCCATCGGCGCGAAATGCAGATCGGCTCGCCCGCGGCGTCGGCTGTCCACATTACAGACAGTCCGTCGAGACCACAACTTCGAACAGGCGCACATCTTGTCTGCCAGCCGTTCCCAGTCCGAATGTCCGTCCAGAAAGCATCATTCCGACGTTCCTCTTCTCTACATTCATTACACACAGTCGATGCCGCGAAAGATGGGCTTCGAGTTCGCGAAGTCGTCGTAAGGCAAAGGAACGGCGCGGAAGATGTGGCCGCCACTGTGTGACGACCATAGTCCGACATAGAAGTCGAATTGCACTACACGTCGCCTCTGGCAACAAAGACAACGAGTGGCTGGCGCTTATCTGTTTGTTGACATGCAGTACTGTGCGACGGAAGAAGCAGTCAACTTGGCAGAAACTGAACCCGTCGAGCAGCAAAGTGATCACCGCAAATGCTTTTTGTGGTCGCTGAGTGAGGCTCGTAGTGCCCTCTGGTGTCATATAATGCACACACGGCGTACTCTATGAGGGCGTACATGACTTGTATACGGCCTGCAAACAGCCATAAAAGCTATTTGTGCCGGCGCTGAGCGAGTCTCAACGCGAGTTTCACCACCTTTACAACAATACTGTATACTATATCACGCTGCAATCTGAAACGCGCAGGCGACGACTTGATGTAAGTTCGGCTGACCAAATGAAACGCATCCACTGCCGGAGGGGTGGGGTGGCTGCTTTTCGTGTGCACCACGCAGTGTACCACGAAAACAGTACCACCGTCGCGTAGCCAGCCAAATCAAGTCGCACAAGTCGTGCTCGACCACTAACTTGTTGCGCTTCCGACCGCGTTCCCGTCTCCGTCCGCGATGGGCGCGCAGAAGAAGAAGATCAAGTTCGTGAACAAGGGGCTGTTGAGCCAGAAGATAAAGCAGCGCAATGTGAAGAAGAAGTTCCAGGCCATGAAGGACAAGAAGCGCAAGCGCTTTGAACGCAACAGTGACGCGCCCAGCAAGAAGAAGCCGCAGCAACCAGTGGCCGAGAGCAGTGGCAGTGCTCAGACAGGGGACGAGTCCGATATGATGAACGAGATGGACGTGGACGATTTCCTGAACTTTGACTTTTCACAGTCGGACGACGACAATGACGACAGCGCGAGTGAGTCGAGGAGCAAGAGCTCAGTGGGGAAGACCCGAGAGGAGAAAGACGACGACGACGTGGGCTCTGATGGCAGCGATAGCAGTAGTGAAGAGGAAGACGAGAGCGCTCTAAACCCGCTTTACATGACGGGCGCGTCGTTTGGTGGTGACGACGTTGAGGAGGAAAACGAGGACGTGGAAGCGGAAGTCGACAAGGAAGACGATGACGATCAGGTGGAGCAGACTGATGGTCGTGTTGTGTTGACGATGGATGTGCTGCAAAAGGTGGAGCGGGAATGCTTCGAGACCAAGTCTGCCATGGGTCTCCGTCGCTTGATGAAGATGTTTAACGACGCGTGTCGCTCTAGTGATGCGGCAGATGTGAGCAAGGAGAGTGACATCAAGTTTGACGTCCAGAGCAGCGCGGTGTACAACCGTCTGATGGTGAATGTGTTTAGCAAAACACACGAGACGTTGGTCGCATTGACGGCGCTCGAGTCTTCCTCTTCATCTGAGCAAGGCGCTGCATTGAAGCTGGACGACAAGAAATGGAAGAAACACGCGCTGGTGATCCGTCGGTTCTTCAGCTGTGCGTGCTACCTGCTCGAGCAGACGACAGACCAGGACATTCAGACCTTTGTGTTGCGTCAGTTGGTGCACTACACCCCGTTCGTGGTCCCGTGTCCCAAGACCTCGCGAAGATTGCTGAAAGCTCTGCTGAAGCTGTGGGCAAAGTCGCTGAACGCCAACGTGTGCATGCTGGCCTTTGTCCGCATTCGCGACTTGGCTTTGGCGGTGCCGTTCCCATTCTTGGAGCTCTGTCTGAAGGGCATCTACGTGACGTATATGCGCAACACCAAGTTTGTGAACGAGTCGACCCTCCCTCACCATATCCTGATGGGCAATTGTGTGGTCGAGCTGTTCGGCTTAGACCTGAGCAGCTCGTACCAGCACGCTTTCGTGTATATCCGTGAGCTGGCAATTGCTGTGCGCAAGACGATCACCTCGCCTGGCCCGGACTCGTTCAAAGCTGTCCTGAACTGGCAGTTCTTCAACCAGCTGCGTGTGTGGACCGCCGTGCTGTGCGCGTACCCTGCCGAGAACCAGCTTCGAGCGCTGGTATACCCCGTGAGTCAGCTTCTGCTTGCGATCGTGCGGCTGTCAAGCACATTGCGTTTCATTCCCCTGCGCTTCCACTGCGTGAAGCTTCTGCAGCAGCTCGCGTTGGCCACCAACTCGTTTATTCCCACAAGTCCAGCTCTGCTATCGGTGCTGCAGCTGGAGCCGTTCCGGTCGTCGTACAAGACCAGCGGTAGCAAAAAGGGAGCCAAGAGTGCAAAGGGAAGCAGTGTCACAACTGACGTGGACTTGGAGCTCTGCGTGAAGCTGTCAAAGACGGCACTGGATGCGAAGCGTGTGCACGACCAGGTCATTGTGCGTCTGTTTGAGCTGCTGCAGCGCGAGTGTGACGTATACAAGTTCAACGTGGGGTTCCCTGAGCTCGCAGTGCCGCTGCAACTTGCGCTGAACAAGTTCATGCACGCATGTGCGATTCCCAAGTGGAAAGCGCAGGCGCGTGGTCTGAGCGACAGCATCAAGCGACGTGCCGAGTGGATCCGCTCCAAGCGTAGCGGTCTGGAGCTGTGTCCGAAAGACACGGACCTGCTGGATGATTTCATGCGTGCAGAGCGTGAGGCGGCCGTGAAGGAGTTGCTTGAGAAGGACGCGATGGAATTGCAGCGCAAGCTGGACGCTTCGGCTGGGGCGCTGAAGACCAAGCAGAAGGACAGTGAGGCGTCAAATGGACATGATGGCCACAAGGACGACGGGAACAAGAAGAAGAAGAGGTCGACAAAGCAGCGGGGCAGCAAGATGGGTAGTACGTCCGTGGACCAGGACGCGGTGGCCAAGGTGAAGCAAATGTCCCTCAAGGAGTTCCGCCAGTCAGTCGCTGCAGTCGACGCGGCCGATCAAGTGGGCGACTTTAACCTGTCGTCGGACGAAGAGTAGGCAATCGATCGAGTCCACGTCAAGCGCGACAAGGACTGCACGTCTCTCGTTTGCAGTCGACAAACGTGTGCGTGCGGCACGCCATAACCCGCAGCAATAACGTTCAAGTCCGACTCGTTGTCGTGCGTGCTCAATAGCAACTGGTTTTGCTCATAATGCGAACAAACTCGTCCTCGTTGATCTCGCCATCGCCGTCGCAGTCGGCTTCGTCGATCATCTCTTGCAGCTCCTCGTCCGTCATGGCCTCCCCGAGCTCCGTGGCCACGCGTTTCAAGTCGGCGAACGAGATCGTGCCCGTCTGGTCGCTGTCAAAGAGGCGGAACGCCTTCCGCAGCTCCTCGCGCGGGTCCTGGTGGGCCAGCTTGGACGTCATCATCGCGAGGAAGTCCGTGTAGCCCATAGTGCCACTGCTGTCGTCTTGCTTCAAAGTGCGCGGAACCAGCGCCTGGATCTCCTCCGCTGTAGGCTCGAGGCCCAGCGCACGCATAGCCACTTTGAGTTCGCTGCGCTTGATCCTGCCGCTGCCCGTCGTGTCAAAGAGGTCGAACGCCTCGCGCACGTACTGCGTTTGCTCGGCCGTGAGCCCGCTCTGCTCGTCCTTTGCCGCTGCGCTTGCGGCTTTGGCAGTGCTACGTGCACCGTACGCGACGGTCATGGCGGAGACGTGGTCGTGTGCTCGCTGCGTAGTCGAGAGGAGCAGCGCGCGTTTTTCTCTTGCTCTATGAAACGTCGCGCAGGCAGACGCGCAGGCAGACGCGCGACTTGTTGGCAGGGGGTACTGCTGCGGTCGTTGTCCGGGTATGGCGATGGGGTACACTGCATGGCGCGCTGAGGGGGTGGCGGGGTACGCTTGGGTACAGGACACTTGATCGGGGCCAGATCTTTGTGAAGTAAGCCGAGCGGTAAGGGTTGTAGGGCTAGGGAAAGGCGCTGTCCGCAGCAGTCGAGGCAGCAGCTGTTGCTGGGAGAGCCAGTCGTGGTAGAACGCGACCAGCCCTTTTCCCCGACCGATGACGGAGGCAGACGATGAATTGCCGCCACCCGTCGTCGCGCGAATGGCCGCTTGACAGTGTGTTTGTATGCCCGCCTGGCCGCTCGTGCCCTAAGTACGACGAGACACTTCCCGACGGACAGACAGACAGACAGCCAGCCAAACCAAACCAAACCAAACCAACGCACGAGTGGGGCCCATCGTCGTGCGATCGCTCGTTGACGCGCTGCAGCTGCCGCCTCGTCGCCAAACAACACCTGTCCGCCTCTCTCTCTCTCCTGCGCACGCGCGCGCTCTCACAACTTTCCTGCCCTTTGGCGCTTCGCACTCGTTCTGCAGCTCGTCGCGGCCCCTGCGCTGTCGTGCGATTGCCTCGAGCGGTCCTTCATGAGCATCAGCGTCAGTCGCGAGTCCATCTCGAAGCTCATGGGCGAACTAGTGGACACGTTCCCCATGGAGGCCGAAGGCCGGTCGTCCATTTCGGACTTTGGCAAGTTGCTCTTCACCGAAGGACAGAGCCTCACGAGCAGCGGCAGTAGTGGCGCTGTCGCGCATGGCGAGACGCACAGCGGCAGCAACCGCAAAAACAGTCGGCGGAACTCGGGCGGGGCCGTGAAAGCCAGTGCAGCGTCCCCAGGTCCGATCGGTGCGACAGGCAGCAAGCGCGTGTTCACCGAGATCAAAGGCATTCCGCGTCAAAAGCAGCACGATGTACGACACTGTTCGCTCTCTGTGTCTCCGTATCTCTCGATCTAGATGTGTATATCTAGATATATGTATGTATCTAGATACGTGTGTGTGTGGGTGGGTGTATTGCCCCACTCGAGGCGGGACTTAGCTGACGATGTGATGGTGACGATGTGATGGTATGTTGTTTATGTGTATCTATCTTTTGATCGTGTTCTCGCTTGTCAGATTATGAAGACAAAGGATAAGGCAGTGCCAAAGCGCTGGACGCAAGAGGAGGACGACCGACTGCGGGAAGCGGTGGGACGACATGGAGAGCGCAATTGGAAGTCCATTGCCGAGGAAGTGCCGGGTCGGAACCACACGCAGTGTCTCCAGCGCTGGACGAAAGTGCTTGCGCCTGGACTAGTGAAAGGCCATTGGCGTCCCGATGAAGACGAGCTGCTGAAGGAGTTGGTCGCGGAAGGCCGCAAGAACTGGGGACAAGTGGCAACGCGCATTCCTGGCCGAACATCGAAACAGTGCCGCGAGCGCTGGTACAACCACCTCGATCCGAGCATCATCCGAGGTGAGTACACAGTGGAAGAAGACCGGATGATCCTGGATGCACAGGCCCGTCTGGGTAATCGCTGGTCGGCCATTGCTGCGATGCTGCCTGGACGTACAGAAGACGCGGTCAAAATCCGCTGGAAATCGCTCTGTCGCGTGCGTAAAGGGTGCGGTATATCTGTTGACTGGAAACAGTGTCTTGTGCTTTTGATTCGTTTGCGTCGTCTATAGGTGAAGAAGAAGAAGCAAGAGATGAGATTGACGAGGGAGATACTGACGTCTGACGTTGTGGTTGCATTGCTGCAGACAAGGACGTCGTGGACAGGCTGATAAGAACAAAATCAGCCCCAGGGCTGCAATAATGGGGTTGCCTGGACCCATGCTTCACCATGGTGGCGCGGACTTTGACGAAACTGTCGTCAAAAGTGAAGAAGTCGCTGGTTATTCGATGCACTCGCAGCAGCATCAAGGCGTGCACATGGTTCGCCTCCCGACCGGCCAAATGGTGCCAGCATCGAGCATGCAATCGGGTGGTCGACATGGCCACCAGAATCACCAGATCATGGTGGGCGGAAACGGCATGATGTATCCGCCCGGTGCGAGTGGCGGCGGTGGGTATGATCCTACCATGGCGCACTACAGGAAGCCTCCTATGCAGCAACACGTGCTGAACGGTAGCTTTGACCACGTCGCGTTGCCGCCTACAGGATCTATGACAGGCAATCACGCGCAGAACTTGCAGGCCGAGCGCCGATCGAATATAAATTACTCGGTCGAGCGGCGGTCGGACGTGGAGTATTCCGAGCATCGACCTGACATGGATTACTCGGTAGATCGCCGGACTGCTATACCGTCTAGCAACGTGGCAGCATCTCCGCAGTCTCGAAACGGATATCGCCAGGGGTACTCAGGTCCTTCTTCGACTTATGCGTCCAGCATGAACAACGGGATGTATTCGACGACGGGACCATTGAGACCCTTGAACAATGGGCAGATCTATGGTAGCGCACAGCAGCTGGATACGTATCGGCCTGGGGCGATATTCGGTACGCCAGCGTCGTCGCACGAGCCCCAGCAGATGCACCCGTTACAGCCGCAAATGATGCCGTACAACTACGGGATACAGTCGGGCACAAGCTCGACCGAGGGCATGCATGCAGAGTCTTCAGCAAACCACTCGATGTTGTCGGTGAACAATGGGATGAGCAACCCTGTGGCTACGTTCGCCCAGCAACAGCATCGACAGCGGGAGCCTCACCAGTACTCGGACACCTCGGTGCCAATGCCTCACCCTAACAGTCAGCAGCAGCAGCTTCACCGTCCCGCCCAGCATTATGCTCGTCTGCACGATCAAGACCAGCAAAATGCCGAAAAGGAGTCACCCGAGCCATATCAAAATCACGTCGAGCAGTCGGGTACGAATGAAGAAGAACACGTAGAATATGAATCGACACCCGGGTTCCCGCCTACATCTTCCGGCCAGGCGATATCGAACCCAGCCGCAATGTTCGCCCACAGCCAAGCCGCCGCGGCACCTCCTACAGCTGGCGGTGGCAATCCAGTGGCTGCGTTTTTGCGCATGCAGCACCACCAGAAAGACAAGGAACAGCTTAGCAGCGCTAGCAAGGTGGCTCAGGCAGGTTTGCAGAGACCGTATAACCCAGCTGCGGCATTTGTTCAGCGATTTCAAGCCGGCCAAAAAGTGCCGATGCCTCGTGTCAATTGCGCAAGCTTTTCTAAACCCGGCGAGGATGTGTCGCACGAAAATGATGACGGTGAGAGTGGCCCGGGATACAGATCAAACGAGCCTTCATTTAAGAAGGTGAAGCCAAGACTGAGTATTGATGCTGCTCGAGCTTCAGCTGCTCGTCGGATACGCAACTCAGGCAGCGGGGGTAGTTTGGCTGGCCGCGGAAGTCTGGATGTATTTTTGAACGAGATTGGTGACGTCGGCCGGTTATCAGACTTGAAGATGGACGAATTCCAGACGCTGGAAGAGTTGTGGCGGGTCTCAGGCGACATGGACCGGCTGTCGTTATGAGCATACGAGAAGCACGGTAGTAGGTATTGTCTTTGTGGCAGGTAAACATCGAACTTGCTCGTGTAGTGTTGTGTGTTGCTGGTTCAGTTCAAGCGGTCTGCGGTCTGGAGGTATGTGTATTTGGATACACTCGGATCAAGCTGCGACGACAAGCAGGTCAAGGTATGTAATCCGCGACGTTACCAAACCTTGTCCCAGATGCGCAGTGTTGTGAACATTTGTTAAGCCAGTTGACGTCTCCAATGACGCCAAGACAATAAAATTCTGGCGGGTCCGATCACGCAGGTCAAGGTGCCACTGACTTTTACGTTTTGTAGTTGCTCTCATTGCATAATGTGCGTTTGTTGACAACTAGCAACGACTGACATGGCGACCGCAAGAAGACCATTGCTTCGAGAGCGGACAAGAGCGAGGAATCTGCAGCAACTGGGAAAGGTGTTGACTGCCATCCCGCGGAGACACTAATCACGTTATGTACATTGGTGTTACCGGGATGAAGTGCAAGAGATGCGCCCGTAATACCTAGGACATGTTGGGGGCAGCAGACGAGGTTGCAAATACTGCAGGGGTGGTGAGATGGAATTTGTCGACAGTGCACTGTCGACTGCAGATAGTTGCATGACCGGGGATGACACCGTTGATGTGGTGCTGACTGGCGGGCAGAGGTCTACGGCCTCCATGAAGACACCGTTGCGCAAGTAGGCCGAAGTATGTTTGGGGTCGACTGTATGATTGATGCGCAGACTTGTGCAGGCAAGGGGTAGTGAGCGCTCAGCAAAAAGGAGGGAGGGAGTGGTGTCGACGTCTGTCTATGGTGTGGTGAAAAGAGCGTCTACTGATGTTTCGTATCCCTCCGACGTGACAACGAGGTTTTGCTGCAAGCAGTGGAAACTGCAATGTCCAACTGCGACGTTTGTCCTGTTCACGCCTATCGACGCGACATATCATTGCGATGACGGAAAGAGTGGAAAGGGTGCTGTGAGCTCGAAGGCACCCGCTGTTGATGGTGTTGATGCCGTGACGACGGGAATGACGAGAGGGACGTTGCAAGCACGACGGTTCCAGTCGATGGCATGACGTGCGATTTGCACTTGTTTGCGAGAGAGGTGCGCTGAAGCGCGTGGAGGGTGTCACCCACGTCCATTCGGGATCTGCGACAGAAAAGCTGTCGTGTACCACGAGCGGAATCTGTTGGACACGTTGGTGCTCGATGCAGCGGTGAACAGCATGCGGTACGAAGCTGCTTTGCGTCAAACAATGGCAGAAGCAAGCTAGGCAACGTGACGTGGTCAGTGGAATGATCAGCAACGCTTGCGCCAGCTCGATTGAGAATGTGGTGGAAAAGGTCGAAGGTGTCATGTCGGCGACTGTTAGCGTTGCGTCCAAGAAAGCGGTGGTGTGTCACAATGCGAACTCGATTGGTGTTCGAATACTTGTTGATTCGTTCTGTGGAAATCGTCGGACACGAAGCGTTGTTTGTGCTGTAAATTGACGCATAGTGAGCTCTGGTAGATCAGCGCGCGCAAGACACGAAGCAATATTGCACACATTTTTGGTTGCAATACCTTTCACGCTCCCGGTCTCCTCGCTCATGCCGAAGTACGAGAATATTGCATGTGGAAGACTCGATTTGGTGTCGGAAGTCTTGCCTGTTCTTCGTGGACAAATGCCGAGTGTAACAGCCCCTTGTGAGCCTTGTCCTGAGCAAACTCAGATCATCGATCTCATAAGAGTGCTTGGATAGCGGAAAGGGCCGCGTTGTGGGTCTGGTCTTCTGTGTGCTCATAAGCGTCAGTTGACACGGCGTACTCTTATCATTCATTCACGACCTATCGAGCCGTTGTGATTCTGAGAGACAACGCATCGTTGTTGTGGACACGTTCACGGTCCTGACAGCGTCTGCGGTTCTTGACAAACGTCAATACGGTCATCGTTAACAAGACAAGCACGCGATCAGTTGGGAGACTCGTGGCGACGGACGGACTTGTGTGCAGCAATAGTACCTGCTCTAGCAAATCAATCGGCTGCCGGGCTCGGCAGAGCTGGGTAGTGAACGTGTTTGACCATAGCCGTACACCCTTCGAGTACGGCTGGTCAAATGCGTCAGTTCGATTTTGCTCTCGCAGAAGTAGTCGACGGCTGTTTCTGCAGGACCTAGAAGAGGCATTTGTGCATGGCGAGTGATCACAAAGCAGTCATTGGCGACAAGGTGTGGATGGCCGGCAACAACGTGGAGGGACTGGATGCCGTTGCGCTGGAACAGTTTACGATTGCAGTTGAGGATGCTGGTAAAGCATTGATCTGTATGGATGCGGACGATGATTTGCGTGCTGTTTTCTCGCCATCGCAGACGCCCCACGCGAAGAGCCTTACCGTACTTGGAGAAGCTGGACGACACGGGGCATGTGATAGAGTGTGGAAGGTTGCCGACAATACTGCAGCAACAACAACAACGTATGCTGTCGCAGAGCGGTTGGAAAGGGCCGTCAGCACGGCAGTCGGTGTGCTTCCGCCCCATCGGTCGCCGGACATCCCTTGGTGAGCCCAGCACCATTCAATGCGCCACCTGGACGTAACTCTTGTCATGGGAGCTAAGGTCGCAAGTTGAGTCTTGGCGTCACCAGACTCGAGTATTGGAAGTACATCGAGTGTTGAAGTACACGACGATGTGGGTACTTGGCGATGATCATTTCGAACATTGGCATGAACCTCAGCAAGCGGTCGTTCTCTTGGCAATGAGGCCAAAGTTGATCGGCTTCGTCGTACGTACCCAGGGACAATAGTGGAGGGTGGGGCTCACGCGTATGATCAAGTCGTGCAGGTGCTCGACAGATCGGTTTGCTTAACGATCTCGTCGTCTGTGTGGCTTAGCTCTTCGTTGTGGGCAATCAGATAATACTGCGCAGTGCTGTCGTCGTGGAGAGCATGCTCGAAACCTTAGGACTCGTAAAGAGGTCCGCGAGCGAGTTGGTACAGCAACAACTGTCCGGTGAGAAGAACTTGTTGTTGTACAAACAATGATGACGTAACTATGATTTACTCTCATATGCTCTGCACGCTTGCTACCGCTATGTGTACCAGCTGTGTGGACTGGATCGTAGGTGACCGGGAGTCACGACATCACTGAGGGCATCTTGCAAGACGGCAATGGACAATCGACGGGGTTCAGTCGAATGGGACCGATCAACACAATCCATCATTCGACCCCTGCGTCTATCGGTACTATCCTCGCACCATTGTCAAACTCGTCGAGTGATGTGTACGTCCATTCACGAAGCAACGCCGACTCGCCACAGAGTGTCGCATAAACGCGTAAAGTTCAGCAGCAGTGACTTTTCTCAGCTTCTTCAGTGTGCTCAGTTTATAAACCTGCGTCAGATGAAGAGAATCGTCCATCAAACTTTGTTCGTATCGACCGGACACCATTCGGGATTCGGCCGGCAACTTGACTGCCGAGACCGGGAGAACTACAAAAGCGGTGTGAGCTATTTGATTTCCCATTGTATCGACTACATATGATGCTGAGTCCTTCACTTTTGCCGCGTTTTCGAGCAACGACTTCAACGAACGAAGCGAAACACGTGATCGTCACAACAGTCAACAAATGTCATGTATTTTCGTCCATGCAAGAAACAGCATCTGCTGCGAGCACATCAATGGACAAACTATACTTCATGGTCGTCTCTCTTCTCTGTATACGCAACATCCACAAATCTACGCGAATGAGTAGCTCATTGCAACAGCTTCGGTATACACGGGGTATCACTCAGCACGGTAGCTCCCCTTCCACGCAATACAGTTTGGGTGTACGCCGTGTCATTCTCCGGCAACATCGCACCACTCTTGTCGGAAGTAGCACTCACTCGCACCGGGTCAACTTCGATCGGTCTTCATTGACCTATCAGCTATTCTTAACCAATCTGAAGCACTAGCTGATAGAGCAGAACGAGCAGTGCCAGTATGCCAAACACCAACACGCCAACGACGTAGGCTGTTCCACTGAAAGCACTGCTGTAGACGTTGCTGTGGGCAACTTCGCGACACGCGTACAACTGCAACAACGCGGGCGCGAAGAAAGCCACGTAGATACCCAAGAGGCCACTTATTTGAAGCGTGATCGACAAGTCGGACACGACCGTTGAGACCAACAGTGGTGGCAAAGCCGCGCCGAATCGACAACAAAGCTTCCAAGACGATTTCTTTCCATATCGAGTCCACCTCTTCGGTATCACAGCAGCCATATTGTCACCGAGCGTCACGGAAATGAGAGGAAATACACTCAACGTATCAAGAGCGGGAAATACCACGACAACCATGGACAAAAGCTCGAGCCAGAACGGTACAAGCATCACGGACTCGTTCACTCCCCATGTGAACTCTGCCCAGTTCAGATTCACACTCGTTGCCAGCTTTGGACCGAAATACAGCGAGCAGACCGACCCCAGTGCAATGTAGAACACCATGGTAGTCAGTAACGTACTGCCGAAAATGGCGCTTGCCTTTTTCTGATGCTTCGTACCAAGCGGAGCCAATAGTCCCGGCACGGAATGCTGGAAGATTTGCGAAAACACGCCTGTGCTGAACATGACACCAAAGCCACTCAGATCCACCAGCGAGTAGGCACTGACATACGGTGGCAGTGCGGACGCCGCGTCGCTATGCAGCGCTCCACCGTCGTACGGGTCTGCAAAGATTGCATACGTAGCACTGCCAATCATGATCAGCAGCGCGGCAAAGCGTACGACCGACATGATCAGCTGGACGTAAATCTGCTCCGTCAGGTCCGTGCAGGACAGCGGCAGCACAATGCAGGCAAACACAATGACCGCGTGGCCACTCGTGAGCTGCCACTGTCCAATGTGGTCCACTTGCGTCAAGAACGTGCTGACAAACACCTGACTGTAGCCCACGAGCCCTCCGTACATGAGGCCCAGTAGCGCAATCTGGTACATCGTCGACCCCACTGGGCCCAAGAACCGGTCACAGAGCTGCGTCACTTCCGGAAACGGAGTAGTCGTCTCGCGCGCTCGTCCAGAGCGCGACGTTGTTGACGACGTCGAGGCCGACAGCGCACACGCGGACGTGAGGGGTTCCGTTTCGTCCGCGGGGGACCGCCGCACCGGCGCCTCCTGCGCGCGAGAGACCGTCTCGCAGACCCACGTGACCGTCACGTAGGACACGAGCGTGACGAGCGCAATCGTGAGGTTGCCGAGCACGAGACCGGCGCGGCGGAAGGCGTAGGGAACGCCCAGCGAGCCGACCCCGAGGATGTAGTTGACGGTGAAGGCGTAGGCCACGAACGGCGAGTAGCGCGCGCTGGGGGCGTCCGGCGGCGGCCGCTGCAGGAGGCGGTGCGCGTTGCGCGAGGAGCGCGTCTCGCCGTGGTCCGACCAGTTGCCGCGCTCTTCGCCGCTGTTGTCGTACACGGCGCTCCAGTCCATCGCCGAGCGTTGCGCTCTACTGCATCGACGACAGGGGCGTGAGAGGGCGGAAAAGTAGTACTAGTCGAAGTAGTAGTAGTAGTAGTAGTCGAAGTAGTAGTAGTAGTAGTCGAAGTAGTAGTAGTAGTAGTAGTCGAAGTAGTAGTAGTGGGAGTTGGAGCTCTTGCTGGCGTTGGACTGACGGACTGTACACTGACTATTACAGTATAATGTGACGCATCCAACCGTACATTGACTTTTACAGTATAATGTGACGCATCTAAGCGTACACTGACTTTTGCTGCCGTTGTGAATGAATTCCTGGAAATGGACTGACTCGCAGTCGGTCGATGCGGTTTCCAGGCACTCGGTGCGAAAACGACAGCAGACGAACGAGTGACAGCTACTGCCACATCTCGATCGACAGCTACAGCGGCAGGTGCTTTGCATTCATTGAAGAAGGCGCGAGGACGTCGCCCACCCCCACTCGTCGAGTTTATGCCGCAACGCGTCGCGGAAGTGTCGCTCGTCTTTTTGCTGCTGTACTGCGGTACGGCAGTCGTTCTGTGGATGGAGTGGATGGACATGGAGACCGATGTGGCAGTCGACTCGGCACTGCCGTTCACGGACGCGAACGTGCGAAGAGCTGGCGACGATCGTGATTTCGACACGGAGAGCAGGACGTTCCTACGTCGGCCGTGGAAACGAGGCGAGTTCAAGTGTCTCGGGTGGGTGGAGACGGACGACGACGGCAACGAAGTGGGGACGCGAAAAGAGTGCTGGCAACGCATTCGAGCGGGTGACGCTGGCTACTGCGAGGTGCTGAACACGACGTCAGGAGAGACGTTCCACGTGATGCACACAACACGTCTGTCCTTGAAAGACGAGGCTCGATTCACGTGTGAGCTGGCCAAGGCCTTTTCCGCGTTCCAAGTGCATGCTGCAGCGTATCGCCACGACCCGCCGATGACACTTGGACGCTCTGACACGCAAGGAATCGTCATGGCGGTCTATGGAGACGTACTGCCGAGCGCGTTTGCCAGTATCCGTCGGTTGCGAGATACTGGGTGCACGCTTCCCGTAGAGCTTTGGTTCCGGTACGACGAACTCACGCCAGACAATCCCGTGCTGGTGCTGCTGCAAGAACAGTTTGGACCCGTGCAGTTGCGCCAGGTGTTTGACGACCGCATCCACGGCTTCAACGTCAAAGTCCATGCTCTCTACTATTCCCACTTTACGAGCGTGTTGCTGCTGGATGCCGACAATTTTGCCGTGAAGGATCCGACACAACTCTTCTCTTCTTTGGCGATGCAGAGCTATGGCGCTGTGTTTTGGCCCGACTTCTGGCATCCGGGAAACTCCATCTTTAACCTCCATGCGCAAAGTCTTGTGTGGGAGCTAGTAGGACTCGACTACGTGGACATGCTGGAACAGGAAAGCGGTCAGCTACTGGTGAATCGGGAAATGCACAGGCAAGTGCTCGACCAGCTGCTTTACTACGCGACCCACCGACCGGGTCTGTTCAGAAAGCTAAAGCTCGTCTGGGGTGACAAAGACCTCTTTCGCTTAGCGTGGCTGCAGAAGAAAAAGCCCTTCTACTTCAACAACCACCGCATGCCCGGAGCACTCGGGGTCATAAACCAGAGTCGCAAACGTTTCTGCGGGGTCACGATGGTGCAATACGACTTGGACGGGAAAGACATGATGTTCTGGCACCGCAACACGATCAAACTGAGCGGCCGTGACGATGACAGAATCGTCTGGCACGTGCTCCAAGAGATGCCTGCGTTCATGGAAATGGACAGCTTCCCGCTTCCCAGGATCCAGTCATTCAATGGCAACAAACTGTTCAACAAAACCTCTTGCTTTGGTGTAAAGCGCTATGAGATGAATGCGCACGTCCAGATGAAGCGAGTCGATGAACTTGATGCAGGCATCGTCTCGCTAGAAAACACGTTGATCAGATACGCGCGCCAGGCACATCAACTCATTCACACCGAGAACGACGGCACTGTATCTGGAGCGGTTGCATACCACGAAGCCTGAAGCTCGTTCAAACGATGGTCAATCACTTGTTGAATCGTCGCAACCCATCGCAGGTCGAAAAATGGCTCGATGGTTAGAAAAGCAGCTTGGTCTAGTTGGCCACTGAACTTCAAAAAGGCGGCAGCTGCGCGCTCTCGACATGTGCAGAATGCGGTCGCGTCACTGCCCCTTTGTTTTGCTTCAAACGCCATGTGATTGTGGACTAACGATTGCATGTAGCATACCTCTTTTAGTCGCCGCACATTTTGCACCAGCATAAACATTCCTGAGCTTGCTGTAAGCATTTTGATGGCTTGGCTCGCAGCGACATTGAGCGCATCTGCACACTTCTCGGACCGCCTAATGCTTGCGACCATTGTTTTTGCTAGCACTAGTAAACACTCACCACGTAGACTGACGCTGCCATTCTCCATCACGAAAGGCATCTGGTCATTCATCAAAGCATACGCATCTTGTAGCTTTCCCAAGGCAATGTACACCTCAGCCATTACCACGTGGGCTTCCGCCAGCAAAAGGTCGTAATGGTGGCTTCGACAAATATCGATGCTTTTCAGCAGTATATTCAGCGACGCAAACGGTGCATGAGGCGCAGCAGCTCGAACGCGAGTCCGGCTGATAGCCAGTAACACTTGGGCATACAAATACGCGACGCCTTGCTCACTGCACGTTACCTCTAGGCGCTCTAGCAATATCAGACTTCGAGAGTAGTCACCGGTCGCAGTCAACATGTTTGCCTGGAGCATGATCGCCTCAAGGTAAGCAGGGAAATCGTTGTCTTGGGGGGACAGCGCAACTATCGCACTCAAATGAACTTCTGCGCGTGCGAACTCGCCTCTGTCAAGCGCCCACAAGAAGAAGAGACGATGCAAAGTTCGCTGATACGTCGCGTCATTGAGCAAGTGCCGTTGATCCTCAGCACCAGTCTCGCCTGCAGCAACGCCGAGAAGGAACTCAAGCGCCCTCACGTACACATTCACACCCTCTTCAGCATGTGCAAGGTTCGATATCGCCATGTGACTCACTGTGAGTGCAATTTCTCCAGTGCTAGCCGAGTCTCCATAACATGATGAATGCACGCGACTGAACACTTTCTCCAGCGAACGGTGTCCGAACATACTCCATGCAGCTGCGTGTGAAAGCATAACTTTTCCACTCAGGTTCCAAACAGAGTCGAGAACTGCCTCGGTAGACTTGACCCAGCGCAGACCATTGCCGCTTGACTGGTCATGGGAATGCGATCCCGTGCCCATTGACGTTTGTTGTGCATGCACAGCTCGTGTGTTGTTGGGATGATGAGCTGGTAGGCGGTGTTCCTATCGTTGCTATGGATTGCATCGTCTTGCGCAAGCGTGACCATATGTGTAGCGGGCGAGGCGACGGCGCATGGGCAGCAAAAATGTGCGGGACGAGCTGTGACGCTGACCCAACTATCTCGGGTCTACTAGTAGTGCTGCAGCGCATCAAATCGCTCTCTACTTCCGCCAGTGTCGCTAGCACTTGCAGAGCAGGTAGACGCAACTCTTTGGCACGACTCAAACAGCTGCCGGCAAGCTGGAGCACTTCGCCTTTCGATGCGCCAACTTTCTGCTTGATGCGAACCATCCACGCAAGCGCGAACGCCACACATATGTGATCTCCGTGGTGCTGAGCAACCCGGATTGCTTCCTGTATACTTTCGTGTGCCGCATCGTAGCGGTGAAACACAATCTGGAGCCCAGCCAGATTCAACGCCGCATACTGAACACCACTGCCTCGAAAATGCATCCTGGTGGCTTCTGCTGGCACTGATGCCGAACTAGTACCGTCGCTGCTCTTGTGATCACCAACGCAAGAGCCTTGTCGTGGAGAAAGCACGTCGTGGTAGTGATGCAAACTGTCGAGAGCACCCTGGTAATCCCGATTGCGAAGAAACGACAAGTATCGAACAAAAAGCACATTGGGGTTCGATCCATCCATACGATCGAGAAGAAAGCGGCGATGATCGTCTGTCAGCAGACCTTCGGTTTGCGGCAAGCCACGTTGCTGTGGACTACTCCGTCCTCGTTCCACTTCACGCACCATGTCACTCAAAACGTAATTCAGCTGATCAGTCGACCAAATCGACGGGTCATTGACTTCCCGACCTGCCGTATTCTCCAGCGACTTTTCCAACAGAGCGTGTGAGCCAAGGGTTGCACCTGCTCGAGTGTTCTTCGTGCGCTGGCGCACATTTGACCGTAAAGTGGCGCTTTTCAGCGGAATCGGCGACAACAATAGATCATCGTCTGCAGCTTTGCTCGTGTTCTTCCATAAGTGCTGGGACGCAGGTGACTCAACGAGCTCCAAGCCGTTGTCCATCTCCTCCTCCTCCTCCATTTCTCTCGCCGCCTTCTTCTCCGTCTCAACGTCCTCTCGAAACTCTTCCAGATACTGCTGCACGTCGTCGAAAAGCCTCGACAGACCGTCGAATAGCAGGCGGTTGAGTGCCAGCAAAAAGCTGCGGACAAAGACGCCCAGTAGACTCGTACGCACGAGTGCAGAGCTGGCCGAGTCCACGTCCATCTCTTCGTCTGCGTCTGCGTCGTCTCGAGAGCTCTGCAGCGGCGCTACACACTCGGAGATCTGCTCCACAGTGTTCCACACGGCGTCAGGGCTCTCCATTCTGGTCAAGATACTCACGAGCTGCCACGACAGCTGCTCAAAGTCTTTCGGACTGTCCAAACTTATCTCCAAGCGTTGCAATAAATTATGAAGAGCAGTGAACCTCTGGTTCGTCATAAGCTTCGGGTGCTGTATTTCCAGAGTCAAAAAACGCGCCAGCGCATTCAACGACCGTCGGGTCATGACCAGCGCAGGGTCTGGAGTCTGTGCGGATGCTGCGTCGACCAGAGACGCCACGGAGTCGTCACCAGAGCTCGTTTGCTTGACGTCTTGTTGCTGCTGGCGCACATACTCGGAGATCAAGAGACAAATGCTCAGTATGTAGCTGTTGGCAGTCCACTTGCTCATGGCAGGAAATGACGTTGGAGGGGATGTGTCAATAACAATTTAGACGACGTGTGAATGAATAGTGACGGGACGACATGGCTGTCGGTCAATTTCACAAATCGACGGTCGTTTTCTTTACCGTAATATATGAGCTCATGCGGAATAAACAGCAGATAGATAGACCATTGCGAGGTTGCAGCACTTGCTCAGCTTCGTCACCATGTAACGGATCCGAGCGACTTTGCACAAGACACGCCGGCGATTCTTTCATGCTGTGTGGATCAGGACAGGTACATCGAAAAAGGCAGACGACAAGAAGTTCTGGTGCAATTTCGGATCAGCCCCGTCCGAGTGTGCAGCTTTTTGACTGCTTTTACATGGACTGCCTTCACACACGGGGCTGCCTTTCGTTTGGCAACAATGTCTCATCAGCAATGCAGACTCCGTACGCACTGCTTCAAACGTCATAGCTGGTTGTCCGAAATGTTTTCATGCAGCCCGTGTGCAGCAACTAACCATTTGCCACACCGTACAATGCCGCAACACGCCAGACTTACATATTGCCGCCTCCGAGCACGTGCCATCCGTCGATTGTGCACCCATCGAGCTGTTACTATGGCGCTTTACGACACAGGTTTAGCTCCTGTCGTGCACATGACAGCACCTCTGCTCTCCAGCAGTTTGTCGACACGAGACCCAGCGGTTCCAGGTCCGTCCTCCACTATCATTTCCAAACAAACGCGTTTTTTATCCGCGAAACAAACGTTTTCGTGCCCCACTACCAACAACAACAACACACCCCACACACTCACTCGCCCACTCACTCACTCACTCACTCGACGCCGCGTCTCCCCCCATTAACAATAAAACGCGCCCCATCGCGTTTCACAGGGCCCGCCCGCCCCTCAGCCCCCCAATCGCTCGCGGGCCAACTCCATGACAACAGCGCTCCGCCGCTCGCGCTCCCCGCAGATCGGCCCGAACCCGCCCCCCGTCTCCCCGTCGCCGCTGCTGTCTCTTGACTATGCGCGCCACGTCCGCTCTCCCCCGCGCCGCTTTGAACCCGTCGGCCGCCGCGTTCCGTCCGCTCGCGGCGCTGCAGTCGCTGCTGGCAGCTGACCACGTAGCGCTCCAGCAGCGCCTCCACGCGGCGCAGCAGCTCGAGCGCTACTTTGCGCGCCTGGAGCCCACGCGCGCGCTCGTGCGGTCCTACGAGCCGTATCTGCCTCTGCTGCTGGAGCTCCTGGGGACAGGGGGCACGCCAAACGGCCGCGAGCTGCAGACGCGTGTGCTGGCGATGCTCCTGGCGCTGTCCCGCCACGACCCGTGCGGGGTCGGGGACTGGATGGCTACCAACACGTCCGTGGGCAATCCGCAGTGGCTGGTCCAGTGGAGCTACGAGCTCGTGCGGCAGACTGGCGACGACAGCACGTGCGCGCGTGACAGTTCAGTTGCAGCAGCAATAGGTGTACCGGTACGGCCCGAGGCGTCGACGGGAAGAGGACAGGAGCTGGACCGACTCTGTGCGCGCGTGCTGCACATGTGGAGGACGCTGTTGGACCACACGGATGACGCAGCGCTTGTGGCTTTGCTGGTGCAGTGTCTCCTTGCGCTGTTGACGACGGAGGAGACGGCAGCAGCAACGGACGGCGACTGGCAGTTGTTTGTGCTCAAGAAACTGCAGACGCACTTTGTGGACATTGCCGATGTGCTGATTGGGTGGATGATGAGCGTGGGGCCGCAGCGTCAACTGCGGTAGGTGATTGAGACGCAAACGTGATGTGTTGCTGTCCTTTGCTGTCGGTGATGGTGCTATGATATCGAGTTGCGGCTGTTGTTCTTGTTTGATACGAACGTGCGTAGTAACGTGCGTTTGTGATGATTGGTGATTTGTTTTTGTTTGTATATAGGGAAGAGATTCTCTCGCTTTTGCATTCATTCGGTCGGTTGTGGGCAGACAACAGCGTGTTTAGCCTCCAGCTGCTGACTTCATTTGCGGACGTAAGGTTTGTTTTTTCTGGTTGTGTTGGTTGGTTGTTTGTTTGTTTGGTTTGTTTTATGGTAGGTGGTGAGGCCGATTGTGTGAGGTGATTGACTTGTAAGCTTGTTGGTCATGTAGGAAATTGCCAACTTGTGCGAGTCGTGGAATGACTATCAAGAAGATGACAGCGATCGTCTCAGTACTCTGTTGGTGAGCTTTGTGATGGTGGCACAATGCGTTCCGAACCTCGGTAGGTGCAGCTTGATGCTCCACAATTCTTGTGCTCTTTGTCGCCCGCGTTGCTTGTATTGATTGTCGCTTGTCGCTTTTCGGTAGCCTTAGCTGCTGCTGCTGCTGGGGCCGACAGCTGTTTCGAGAGGGTGATGCGTTGTGTTGCTTTGTGCCCTCAGCCGAAGTACTCGTACGTTTGTTTCTGCTGTCGCGAGTAGTCACAATGGCCGATATCTCATGCTGTGACTTTGCGTGTAGTCTATTTTGCTTGGCGAACTGTTCAGTATACTTGGTGGCCATGTCGGATTGTAAGCACAGCAACTTTTCCACTCTCTCAGTCACAGTAGTGAGGTTCCTACTTTACCAGTGTGCCGTACAGTCTCAAATGCACGATAGTGAGGTTGACAAATTGTTGTGGGTCGTGGAGAACACTTGCAAATTAGCAAGTGCAAACTTTTGCAATATCCAGAACCCGCTTCTTTTGCAGCCTACTGCGATAGGTGCACTTCGCGATGAGATGCCTGCCAAAAGCGTCAAGAAAAGCGGCAAGCACAAGCATGAGACGACCATGGAATGCTTGTTTTATCTGAACGCTGCAAGTGGAGCGACGTACATTACCCACTTGTGTCTGCAATTGGTGCAGCTTGGAGGGATCGGTGCTCTGAAGGTTTGTCTGCAAGCTCAACATTGCTATCATGCTATCGTGATGACAGTGTTTGCCTTTATGGTCAGGTGCTTGGTGCGCAAGCTCTGCAGAATCTAAGTGGCCGTCAATACCAGGATCGTCCGAGCTACTTTGTATTTGCCGCTACGTGCTTTATCCTGGTCTCAAGAGAACCGAAAAACGTTATTCATTCACGGAGCAACGATGACGCAGATATTACTGCGATTCTCGAAGCATTGTTGACAATGCTGGAAAAGTATGGCAACCGACAGTATCAGCCTAGATTGGTGTCTCGGCAGCTATGCCTCGTGCTAGAGATGGCAAGCACATTCATTTGCGCTGTGTCTTCGTGGAACGCAGGTCGAAGTGACGCTGCTGAGATCCATAAGGAGATCACACATCGAATGCTGGAGTGTGCTGCAAGCTTGCTGTCTAGTCGGGCAATAGTAGTTCGGGACTGTCGACTCAATACCGACTTGTTGAAGCTGATAGACGCTATAGTATCCGAGACAGTACTCGCTCCCGTTGTGTCGCAGCAAGTGTACCGAAAACTCGTGAAGACAGTAAGCATAGCGATGCGCTGCTCTAGTGTCAAAGTGCGCCAAAAGTGTCTCCAAGTATTCAAAACACTTGCTTGTCGTGCAGAAGCTCGCCCGCTTGCTTGCAGTATGATTGAAGTCGCTCTTGACCTGGCATTGGATCCCCGTCAAGGCGAAAGTGACGAGACCCTCGCTTCCGGTTTGTGTGATATCGCTCGATGGGCGCTACTATATCAGGAAAAAGTGCACGCGCCTCGTCATCCACCACAAGATGTAGGCGCTACTTTCGTCGCCGCAGACTTTGAGGCTATTATGGACTTGTTCCACGTTCCTGATTGCGATGAGGACGACTGGAATCGAGTTTGTCGACGTATTGGAGACCGGTCTGCCCCAAACAAAGCACTGAGCAATACCGACGTGCTTGTGGGTGCAGTGCAACAAGCAGCAGGTTGGTGCGTCCAGAACAGGCTTCGCACCCATTTCGGAGGTCCTGCCCAAAGTTTTGAAAGACTTGACCGGCTGCTACAAAAGTGCTTGAGTCAAGTGCACGACGTGCCTGGACGTACATCCCGAGACAAGAACGCGTGGATGTTGACGAGTGGGTTGATGCTTGAGTTCGTGGCTGCGTTGGAAATGCACATCGCTCGTGCCATTTGCTCGACTGAAGTAGATCAGCGTAACTCAGAGAGCGATGATCATCGACCAGCACGCTTCTTCCGTGCGAACAAGATGGTGTGTGACGATTGGCTTTCCCGGATACGGCCATGTCTCGTCGAGATGTCAAAGTATAGTACATCTTACGAGCTCTGTAGATACCACAGCCACAATCTAGTGACAACCTGCTACATTCAAGTCAGCAGGGCAATGACGTCTCGGACATCCGATGGAGTATCTGAGGAAGCTTGCAATGAGCTGCAGCAAGCAGAGAAGGACATGGACGCTGCATTGTTTTCGCTTTGCCGTTGCCATGTTGATGCGAAAGACGCAGATTCGATTGTTGGGTTCCAGAGGTGGGGTGACTCCGTATCTGCTGCTCTAAATAGCTGGTATCAGTCAAATGAGAGTATGGATATTGAGAACGATTACCTGACGTTGCCTCGTTTCCGATGGTTGAATGCTATGCGCTACGAGGCAGAAATGCGATACGAAGATGCAATCACGGAGTACGAGTTATTGCTGCAACCGGTGCTGACAGCAAACAGCTCGTGCGCTCTCCGATGCATCAGTCCTGCACAAGTGTTCGAATGTCCTATGAAGTATCTGCGTTTGTCACCTCGAACGCTTCTAGGATGCTTCATGCAATGCGCTAAGTGCTACGCGTATCTACGCGCATGGACCAAGCTCCGAGCATTTGCTACCCAGTTCATAGACGTTGTTCACGCCCTGACTGGAAACGCTCATGTCATCGAGGAGATCCAGGCGATATGTGCCTGCAGTGAAACGTGGAGCGACGAGATCGAGACTATACGTGGTCTCGAACGTGAAACAACTGTGCCGGCAACGTACTCCGATAGCGGGTGTGAGATAACGAATGGTCGAAAACAACGAGCGGCATTGGCGCTCAGGGTGTGGAGCGTTTTCAGTGACCCAGTCAGTGGATCGCTAGCTCTACAACTTGATACTACTGGGCAGCTTCGGAGCAGGTTGATGTCGTTGGCGTTGCAGCCATCTCCATGGAATGGCTACGCAGGCGACATCACTGGCAAGAGAGTAGAGGAGACTCTGCTTCGAATGACGGGGATGTTAAAGGGTTCGCGATCAGCTGACATGCAGCTGGCTAGAATGTGTACGGAAGACTGTAAACTCAACCCGAATATGCACGACTCCGTTCTTTGGACTCAGCCATTGTATACACTGAGTTGGGACGGCTTAAGTTATGACGGATCAGTGGAAAGCGCTGACTCACATTGCCTGCACTTGTTGAGTGTTGCCAGATTGGCACGGAAACAACATAACTTCGTCTTTGCCCAAGGTCTTTTGAATGAAGCTGCAGTTGTGATTGGTGCGGGCAGAATGTCGGTGGTGGTTGTAAGCTACGAGAAAGCTAGGATACTTGAAAACATTGGGATGAAGGATCAAGGTCGTCAACTTCTTGAGACAGAGTGTGAATCTAGTTTGACATCGCTTGGATTGAAACGAAGATCATGTATGCAGGACAGCGCTACCACTCGATCTTTGTTGCACCTCGCCACATCATATGCTCATGCAGAGAGTACTGATCTACTGTCACCACGTATATCCAGCTTTCTCGAAAGTACGCTGGCTTCTATCGTGGATCTGGGCGATCAAGAGCTAGTTCATGACCGGAAGGATATAGACGTTCTTCCTGGGCTGCGCGATGCAGCGGTGCACACATGCCTTGTAGCTGCGACTGCTGTATCGCCAAAATCAGCGAAAGCATGGCTTCGGTACAGTGACTGGTGTTACGAAAGGGGAAAACAAGTGATAGCACGGATTGCCAATCAGAACGGGTATATTCAGCTAGAGCCGTCAGACAAAGCGAAGGTGAATGTCATTTTGGACGAAATGGGTGTCGCCCAACCGGACCGTGATCTCATCATTTGCACCTTTTGTCATTTGCTGGAAGACGGTAAGCTCACCAATCAGCGACAAGACATACTCCAGCAGCTTTGTGCAAACAAAGCGCCACCACAACCACAAAAGTGATGCAATACGCCGTCTCGTCCAGCTACAGCGAAACTGCCACTCCAAGAACTTTCGGCTCTTATCAATGGCAGCCCTTGGCTATGATAAATACTTGACGGTGCTTCTTGGCAGTTCCGACTCAGACTTTTCGAGACAGACGACGGTTGCACTTCGTCTACTCAGCCTTCTGACCACGTATGGAGTCGAGAGTGACGTGGTATCAGCACTTGAAGAAGCGTTCTCGAAGGGGCCAGTGCAACCCTGGTCTCGAGTCGTGCCTCAGTTGATTGCTCGGGCATATCATCCGGCTGCGGCCGTATCGTCTTTGGTTTGTTTAGTCCTCAAACGGTTGGCACAACATGCACCCCACATCGTAGTGTACCCGACTGTCATGGACACCATGGATTCGTCACTGGCATTTGAAAAGGAGCGAGATGTAGCGAACAGCTCGTTTGCTGCCGTTCGAAGTGCACTGCAGAATGTGGCACGTAGACAAGTTGAAGGAGTGCGATTGTTGGTGTCCGAGCTTCGTCGAATATCTGTCTTGTGGGATGAAGCATGGATCAGCACATTGATGAAACTGGCGGTAGACGTATCTCGACAAACGTGTACATTGGAGAAAGAGGCCTCTCGATTGGATAAGACTAGCTCACTGCCAGCTAGAGAAAAGCATAAACTCGTGCAGCGAAAGCTGGTGGCATATGTGAAGGTACTTCTGGAAACCACCGAACGGGTATGGAAGGAAACTTGTGGTAGCGCGACTGACCAACAAAACGTGTCGCCACATGAGCACGCCTTTTTGAAAGAATACGGAGGATTGATCAAAGCTGCCATGGAAAGACTGCAAGACCGTTGCTCTCGGGAAGTATGGTCAGGAAGTCCCAAGACGCTACAAGAGTTCTGGCAACCTTTTGCTGGAGTGTTGAAGGCGTTGATGAATGATGTAGGCCGAAGAGATCAGTTGCCACTTCATGATATATCGCCAGCATTGGCTTCAGCTTCTCGTGAATTAGTACATGTACATATGCCTGGAACCTCGTCTGGACAGGGCAACCCTATTACTATTTATCGCATCAGCCCATTTGTAACTATTCTTCGATCGAAGACCAAACCGAAATCGTTGGAATTTGTTGGGTCCGACGGGAAGACACACAAGTACTTGCTGAAAGCCCGAGAAGACTTGCGCTTGGACGAGCGAATCATGCAATTCTTGCGAGTGACAAACGATTTTCTACGTGCTGACGATGATACAGCTGCTCGAGACTTGTTGGCCCGAAACTATAGTGTCATACCGCTTTCTCGAAATGCTGGCTTGATCCAGATGGTCCCAGACGTTGTCCCGCTCTTCCAAGTGTACGCATCTCGAACTGAAAACCAATCGATGGACGGCCAAACATCACAGGATCATGGCACAGCGCCGTCTGCACAGCTGCAGCAACCGCCACCTCCTACAGCTCAATTTTACGCAAAGCTGAAGCGTCATGGAATCACAAACGTGTCACCCAGCAATCGAGCCCGATGGCCAACCCCTGTGCTGAAGCAGGTATACCAGGAGCTGGTTGCGCAACGTCCTCGCAATGTGCTGTCGCACGAGCTTTTATTGCGTAGCAAAGACTTGCGAGAAAGCTGGGCCAAGAGCGCACGATTTAGCAGATCTCTTGCGGTAATGTCCATCTTAGGGTACATCGTTGGCTTAGGCGACAGGCATCTGGACAACATCTTGCTCTGTATCGACAGCGGGGACATTGTCCACATCGATCATAACGTGTGCTTTGAGAAGGGACGACGACTCAAGGTGCCGGAAATTGTGCCATTTCGACTGACGCCGATGTTGCAGGACGCACTGGGGCTTACGGGTATAGAAGGGAAGTTTCGCGTGGCTTTTGAGACTACCCTACGCGTCGTGCGCTCCGACGATGTTCGGGAAACATTGCTAATGCTGTTCGAAGCGTTCGTATATAGCCCTCTTGTTGATTGGATATCGGACGACAAGCGACAAGGACAATCAGGAGATTTGAAGACCCGGCTCGACGCCAACGTGAACCTCGCGTTGTTTCGATCGCGAGCCGAAGAACGGCGGCAAGACACTATCTCCTTTGGGCGCCATTATGAGCAATTGGCTGTCGCAATTACTGACGCCCTCGTCGAGAAAACGAAGCTACCTTTTGTGCGTTTACTTACATATCGCAAGCAACTGCTTTGCCTCGAAAAAGAAGAGCAAGTGTCGATGAAGGAGTTGTTGATGAAGGAAAGGGACTTGTCCACGTGTCGCGTTGCTCAGAATGCGGAGCATGCAGAAATGGAGGCTGCTACTGCTCAGGTCAAGTCGATGACAGCAGCGATTACGTTGTTCGCGGACGACTGTTTGGCAAAGCATCGACAAATTGAAGCATGGAAGCAGAAAGGTTTAAGTTTTGTGGACAGTGATCCTGAGGTGCGATTGAGTGCCGTGGTACAAGGGAGCGAATTGGCCTTATTTCAGGAAGCATGTGCTACGCTATGCGGTATGTCGGCAAGATCTTCGGAGTTGTGATGAGGAAGAGAGGCGTTTAGCCGCATTGGAGTCCACGTGCCACTCGCTTGATTCAGATGTGACACGTCTGCGGTATAAAATCGAAAAAATTGCTTCGTGCTTGATTCCTCACCTTTGTGCTTACAGTCAATGGCGTAAGGAGCTGGACGCATACCTACGTTCCGAGTACAATGTCTCGGTCAAGGATGTGTACTTCGAATGGTGGGCTCGTTGTACTGAATGCTTGCGTGAGCTTGCAAATGGCACATTTGTACCAAGAGCTGAAGAGGCGGTTGGTATTGCGACCGTGAATGATCCAGGTGTAGTTTCGCAAGAAAGCATCGATAACTCCAGGTCGATCTTGCGCCGTCTCAATCACGATGACCTGAGACACCCCAGCTCCGGCGGCAAGATCGAAGAGAATTCAGCTTTTGCCTTGCAGGTGGACCAGTTGCTACAGGACGTGTGGGATGCGCTTTCGGCAACAGAAAGGTCAAGCGGTCAAGGCCCTTGCCTAATGGAACTTGCCGGAGCGTCTTGGATTGTCGAAGCAATGGAAAAAGTAGGCAGCTGCTCGGGCCATGGTCTACCCGAGGCCGGCGCCTTCACTCCAGCCCTAGTCTTTCCCTCAAACTTTGGGCAGATGGTCGCTGTATCTTGCGCATGTACGACTTTACTTGAGCTAGTATCGATGTCAAAGGATTCGAAAGAGAGACTGAGAGGCGACAAACTTTTGGGAGATATCCGTGACAAAGGCTCACGACTGAACAACCAGGGTGTGGGACAACATGTTCTTCGCTTTCTTGATGCTCTCCAGGCAGTGGGATCGTTGGCCATCGTGCTGCAGGAAGAGTTGATCTCGAATATTCACGGTAGAAAATGGGATGACTATGCATACCAAGATTTGTCGAAATGTATTGACGGTACATCAGGTGGGATGCAACGTATTCTAGACACGGCATTGGTGTCTGCGGAGAATAGTGGCATTCAGAATGTCTTTGCAGCTGTTACAACAATCACGCAAAAGGTTACAGCTTTGGTCGACTCATTGCAGCAAGAGTCAGTTGTGACCAGTGAAGAAGCGGAACGTATCCGGAGACTGTCCAGCTCCAGCTGGATCAATTTAGTTTGTGACGTCATCAAGCTTTCATCTGCAGATAAGCTGGAGCAAGATATCAAGCAGGAAGCATGCGCACTCTGGTCTGATCGTATGGATACGATTGTTTCCAACTGCTTGACGAGGCTTTTCCAATACGTGCTGTCTAGTGTTATTTCACGCGATTTGAAGATCGACTTTTGCGCACTCGCTCAAGAGCCTGATGCTGCTGCAAGCAAGACGGAACAGACATCATCCCGCTCACGATGGCGTGCATTCTTCTACTCTCAAGTTCCAGCCTCACTGCTCTCTGCGTCGTCGAAGGAGTCGGTGATATCGCGAGCAAGTGTGATTGTCAAGTCAGTGTCTGACGTAATGACGGTTTGCGAGAACCACTGGGCCCAGCAATGGAGGATAAGTCGGTCAGACCTGTGGCAGCAAAAGATGTCTGCTCTCAGGACTCAGCATGCGACACGGCTGCGATATGCCACATGGCTAGCGACGCAACCTGTGGCACCAGCTGTTGCGGCACAAGCACCAGGCCTTCGAAGAGTCCAACTGCTCACCCTTCTGTCTTCACAAGGCGCTCAATTGAGCGCTTTGCTCGCAGATCATGCTGTCCTTGAGGCAAACGTGCTAGAAACGGCGCAACAAATGGAACACATTGCGCTGACATTGAGCAGTGCTGTTCCTTGACGACCGGTCATCTTCCAATGGACGCTTGCATGACTGTGTTCAGACCTGCTACAGTAGTGCGGTCGCACTCTTTGAGTATGGTCGAGCTTTACTCGACCTTGTTGAAGGCATCACGATGGTTGAGACATCATCAGGCGAGGTGTCTCGGAATGAGGAGAAACTGGAGCTTGAAGTGGATCGTGCAGGTAAAGATCTGCTTCGGAAAGCGTCTGAAGCTACTATGAGGCTTCATTCACGCGTTGAAGCAGTCAGTGAGGTGGATGCTTGCGTACGTGCTCTCCAAGACGAAATGGCGTGCATACAGAACACGCACAATATCATTACTTCCGATAAGCGCGCGGCCGCGGCTGAATTTCTCCATCTGTGCAGTGCAAGCGAAGACGCAGTAGTGGAAATGTCGCGTGTACTGCACAAGCACGTTCAAGACATGCGCTACTTACTAAATAACACTGACAAGCTCAAGGCAACATCAACGGAAGTGGCATCTGTAGCATCCGAGAGTCTACGATCCCAAGGTCAGTTGCAGATGCAAAAAGACAATCCGCTACCCACCGATTGCTCTTCTCCAGCGTCCACGACGGCGTATTCCTTTTTGGAAAATGACCGACTCGCAAAGCAGCTGCGGCGAAGTGTTCGGTCGGCAAATCATGTCCAGATGTTGGAAGGTGTTTTACAGCGACATGAGGAAGCCTGCATGGAATTCCGACAGACCATTGGTCCGATTGATCAAGCTTTGACGGTGTTCGATACCCAGGCTGACCACCTCCTTGCGTTTCAAGGCCATCCGGACGCAAAAGCACTGCTGCTGTTGATCCTCGATTTGGTCGAGACACTTCGGGTGTTCTCAGTAGATACCCGATCTACACTCGATACTTCGGATGAGGCTGCAACGTCTCTCCTCGTAGCAGGTCGCGACGTCGTGCGTCGATGTGTGAAGTTATTCTTCGAAGCCACTGAAGTGGCTTGTCGACTTTTGGGTGCAGAAGAACAAAGTCGCAGACCGAGCATTGGTGTGCCGATGCAACATGTACCCGGCGAGGATGAGGAAGAGCAGCGTGCAGACACAGACGGTTCAGCTGATGCCATCACCAACGAGTCGGGAAGCAGCATAGTGTCAGGTGCGAGTAGTGACTGCGGAGGCAGCCATTATGACCATTCGATCGCTGGTCCTTCGTACGTTGTCGAGGAAAAGAGTCGTCACGGGTTGCAAGTTGTCAAGCGTATTGAAGAAAAGCTGTCGGGAAAGGTGACGGAAGTGGCCCATGCTCCTTCCATGCTGACAGTGGAGCAGCAAGCGTCATGGCTGATCGACGAAGCTACCAAGATCGACAATCTCTGTGTCATGTACGAAGGGTGGACACCGTGGATTTAGGTACATGCCGGCGACAACGGATCATCTCGTCGGTAAAGACGTGGCGTTTGTATTACTAAACAAATGAACAGCAAGTTCGTCATGCTGGCAAAAAATGCACCATCTTGCTGGCAAAGAAAGCAGGTCGCGCACATTCCTTCCTCAGGTCGCCGTTCTTCCTCACCTTCTTGATGTCACGCTCGAGCCGCATCACCTCTCGCCTTACCTCAATCAGCCCACACACTCTTGCTACCTAGTGAAACTTGTACTGAATCTTCTTGTGCACCTGGACCAAAAACTCGACGTACGATACGTCGTTGAGTGTGCGATCCTCTACAAGCGTGCTCATGAAACGATTAGCGCGCCAGTCATTCTTGCTCAAGATCTCTAACGGCTGAGAGATCGGGATGGTCGAGTTCAAGTACTCTACAAGCGAGCGCAGCCGCTCACGGGCGCTCATTCCATCGCCATCGCCTCCCGAGCGCTCATCAGCCACAGTCTCGAATAAGTCGAGAGTCTGTTCAGCCGTATCGGCATGATCCACACCGAATAGTTGGATCAACAAGTCAGGGGAAACCTTCGGACCGATGTAAATGTAGCAGCACATTGCTGAGTGCAGCAGGAATATGCCTTCTTCAACCAGTTTCTCTGCTGTGGGCGGGAGTTGCGGGGGAAGAATAAACTTGCCGTCCTCGTCCAATGTGCAGCAATCATCCGTCAGATCATGGACGCTATACAGTTTAGGGTACACCGCCGACACGCAAAACTCCACGGGTAGACTGTTCAGCAGTCCCATCATCATCACGCGCTCATCCGCACGCACATCGATAAATCCGCGCGGAGGGTTACCCACGAGGTTACCTCTCAGTGCACGACTCTTGAGAGTCGCCAGGGTGTACAAAGGCAGCAGCTTGAGCGATTCAGGTAAGATGAGCTGGCCCGAAGATGAAGATGAAGCACAGTACTTGCGATAGTTGAACAACACTGTCACGCATTGGTCCACGAATGACTCCTTCACAGCCATTGGTGTCGCGCGCATCAGTTGCTTGTCCACAAACTGACGTGCGGCCGAGCGCTGCCACACAGAGCAAGTTGCATCCAGATCAGCAAAGCGGAACACATTTGACAGCAGCGGCTCCACCTGCAACGCGAGGTTGTGCACACGCACGCAGCGCAAGCCGTCGCTACGCGTATACAGCAGTGCTGCCTGGATGTACGCGTCTGTGCCCTCAGTCAGTGACTCGTCGTACGCGAACGTTACACACATCGAACGGTCTTGATCAATCACAGCAAACTCCATCTCATCCGAGGTAAATGCATTGCCACGCGCGTTGAAGAAATTGCCATACGAATGTTCCACACGGAGCCCAGCGCTGCAGCGCACCTTGAGCACAGCTTCGTAGCCACAGTCGCGATCCACGAGCCGCTGCAGCATGCCGGTGAGGTGGTGACGATTACTTGATTGCTCTTTTTTGAAGTGAGGCATGTACTGGACACGACCACCCGTCAATTCACACACGCGACCAACATCGGCGAGTGACGCGAAGGAATTGGCAACCGAGAACACATCCACACAGATGTGGCTTTCAGCGCACTTGCGCGCTAGTGCTTCGTACGCGTTGTTGTTCTCAGGGGTGTACAGATCCACCTCCTTCGTTGTGCCGTAGGCACCACTCACTTCTTCGCGTTTTACACTGCCTATTCCCACGCGAGGTGCACCAGCATGAAGCAGCACTGCTCGTCCTCCTGACACCGATAGCGCGTCAGCTACACTCCAAAGCGCAGAGCCCGAGACTGCCTGATTCGTTGCAGTGTTTTCAAACGATCGTGTGACGACATCGCATAACTCCGTAATCTTGTCGGCAGCTGCCGGGTCATCCATCGATACAAGCCAGCTACTGGGAGGCAGCGGCGCCACCGGATCGTCAACATCCGGGCAAACGCACATTGAGATCGAAGACGAGCTGCTGTTCGTGCGGTAGTAATGTACGGCGGTGTCGAAGGTGACAATGCCCACTTTCTTGCGCCTGTTTTGTGCCATCGACGGGAGCAGATACTGAATGGTTTGCAGTGCACTGGTAGCGAGACCCGTCTGGAACGAAAAAAGCGACACGTCAAGAACAAACACCAAAATAGGCTCTTGCGGTGGACGGATGGTATACGCAGCGGGCACGACGTATTCCACTGAGCCGCGCGACAGCTCGGCGCGTTCTTGATTATCGCGTCGGTTGCCGTACTGATCCACGCTGCAGTAGTAGTCACGGGGAGTCTCATTGTTGAGCTGGCAAATGTTGCACACGAACTTGCGACCACCCTCGATAAATTTCGTAAACGAGTTTACATAAGCAGCACAACGCGTGCATCTCAGCGGGCCGCTCGGACCGAAGTCGACCAACGGAATCGGTAGCTCGTCCTCGTGCAAGTCAGCAAGCGGACAGATGACCGCAGCCAACGGCAATCCACATTGTTTCAGCAACTCTGTCGTGCTGGGAACATGGTTGAGTGTTGGTCGGATGAAGCGTGGGCTACAGCACCCTTCGTCGACACAAACATAGTCGCTTGACGCCGCGGGCGGCATGGTCACTGTATGCCCGCGAGCAATGTACTGCACACGTTCTGCCGAGACTATTGGTCGTGGTATCTGAGTCGGATCGATACGCTGCTTCGACGCCTGAGAAGCCTGTGGTTGTTGCTGCTGTTGCGGAGCATACCCTCCTTGTTGAGGCGGACCGTATTCTCCTGGTGCTCCCGGTGCACCGTATGGCGGAGCCATACCAGGAGCAGGGGGTGTAGGATACGGTCCAGCATTGCGATTTGGCTGCAAGTATGAAGCTGCTCCTCCCTGACCAGGCGGCGGTCCTTGTTGTTGTCCAGTGAACTGCGGGGGTGGCGGTCCTTGTTGCTGTCCAGTAAACTGCGGAGGTGGCGGTCCCTGTAGTTGTCCATCATGTTGCGGAGTAGGTGGTCCCTGCTGTCGTCCAGGGTACTGCACTGGTGGCGGTCTTTGCTGCTGTCCACCAAACTGCGGTGTAAGGCCACGATGGCCACTTGACTGGAAAGACGCTGGTCCTGACGCTGCAGGTGGTAGAGCATTGTGGGCTGTTCCATGTACCGATTGACTTTGGCCTGGAAACCCGCTGTGTCCTACCACTGGTCCAGGAGGACCTCGCATCATCCCACTGTTGCCTCCAGCCGATAAGGGAGCTCCTGCATCTGCTGCACCAAAGTGCTGAGCTGGGCGAAACGATGCTTGAGGTCCCACTGGTAGAGCGCCAGCTTGTTGCTGCATGCCTGAGGCGAGAGGAACAGCACCAGGTGGTCCGAAATTCGAGTGCGGACCCTGAAGCGGATAAACATCAGAAGAGCTCCGGGGACCAGAAAAACTTCCTATGAACATGTACGCACATCAGTCAGCAAAAGACCCACGTCAGACATGTGTTGCCTGATAATAACAATGAAAAACGAATCCAAAAAGCAAAAAATAAAAAAATAGTAAACAAATGACGACGCTCGAGTCGACAGCGCGTCATATTTTCCTGCACACGAGTGCGTGACAGTCGCTCAGTCAGTAGCGAGCAGTGTACCTGAGGACTGAGACAGCGGCAACTGGTGCTGCGGGTGCAGTGGCGTCGCGCCTCCGTATCCTGTACAACGTGCGATAACGGTCAGCCAGCAACGGGTGTCGTACTTAGTACACCACGCCCACGCGTCGTACCGGCTTGATAGGGTGCGTGGCCGCCGCTGCTGCGCGGCGCTTGTTGCTGCTGGGGCGGGCCGTGGCCTGCGTGGCCACGCGGCGGGTAGTTGGGCTGCTGCATTGGGGCGGCAGGAGGCGCGTCGCTGGGCGGTCCACGTGTGGCAGCGGTCGAACGGTTTTCGCGGGGCAAAGATCGGCGCGGCTTCTATTCGAGAGGTTCGCACGTCCGAGCGGTGGTGCGTACTTAACGTTTGGCTCCTGTCGTTTTCGCTCGGCTGGCGGAATACCTTACCGCGACCATCGTCGAAGGCGGGTTATATTACCATGCAAGCTATGTCCATTCCGTACATATCGAAACGTGCACTAGAGTTAACGACCAGCGTGGTCGGACGCGCACACGAGTCAGGCACCACCTGGTCATTGAAAGTAAGTTTTCCACGCAGACACTGCTCGACACGCACGACCAGCAGAACAAATGGACTTGGAAGTCACATGATCGTGCCATTGCGGCCTCTGTTGCGGCCACCACTTGGCACATTTTTGGTAGACGGGAGCGACGACGAATGATTGCTCGTCGTCACTGCACATTGGCTCTGGATGTGGTTTGTACTGCTATGTTCCTGACTCTAGATACCACCCAACGGCCAGACGCAGCAAGTTGTGCCGTACTTCTTGCCAAACGCATCGACGGTGCGAGCTTCGGACAAGTATTACGAGACGCTAAGGCCGCGCATGGTATGACAAGACACTCGTGGTGTATACGAAGGGAAACAGCAGGCCGAGCAAACGATACTTCTGTAGCCCCACGATCGCATACCATGTACCGTGCAAGGGCACGGTGATCATTGCTGGGCCAGTGTCGCAGCTTTATCATTTGCGTTTACGGATACGGCGCCACAAAGACGTGAGCAGCTTACAGTAGTTGGCAATCTGACTGTCCGTCTCCTACGATCGCTTAGAAAGCAGTTTTTTGCTACTCTGCGGACACTTCCCCCATCGATCGACTCGGACAAAAAAAGCACAAAAAAGCACAACGGGCGACGATCACAACGCACTCAGTACATTTGCTCTCGACATTCTATTTCTGGCATCAATCTCCGCGACTTTTCCATCCGCTTCGACCGGGCCGGGCGATGCAAACATCGGCAGCTTCGATTCGGTGCAACTGGCCCTCCACCAACGCGCGTCATCCCTCCCACCTCGTCCCACCCGACGTCATCACTTTCGCTTTCGCCGCTACAATGGCAACGCCTCTCGAGCGACGAGACAGCGTCGCGTCAGGCCCCGACGTGGCCAGCGACAGGGACGCGAGCGCCGACGACCGGTCGACGACGAGCGCAGAGCCGCCGCTCGAGGCCGCGACGGACGCCCAAGTCGCGCGGCAAGAGGCGCTGCGCACGCTGCGCTTGGCCTTTGTCGGCAACGTGGACAGCGGCAAGTCGAGTCTGATCGGGACGCTGATCAAAGGCGACCTGGACGACGGCCGCGGGCTGTCGCGGCAGGCCGTGTTCCGCCACAAGCACGAGGTCGAGTCGGGCCGCACGAGTAGCGTCGCGACGGCGTACTTGGGCTTTAACGACGCGGGGGAACAGATACTGTCCAAGAGGGCCGGGAAGCTGCTGCCGTGGGCAGAGCTGGCGAAGGTCGCGCACAAGCGGATCCAGTTGATCGACTTGGCGGGCCACGAGAAGTACCTCAAGACGACTGTGTTTGGACTCACGGGGATGCAGCCCGACGTTGTGGTCGTCGTCGTGGGCGCGAACATGGGCGTCAAGCGGATGACGCAGGAGCACTTGGCCATTGCCGTCGCAGTGCGTGTCGCGTCGGCTGTATTGGATGTTAGACGGTGCCGGAGCTGCGTAAACTGATGTGATGTGTGTGTGTGTATGTGTGCGTTCTTTGTGTGTGTGTTGTTGTTGATCCTTTTTTTGTGTCGTTTAGCTCGAGATTCCGATTGTTGTGGCGCTGACGAAGATTGACATTGCCCCGAAGAACGTGGCCAAGCAGACGCTCACGACGGTCCGTCAGACGCTTCGACGCTGTACGTGGCTGGTCTCGTGTGTCAGGATGATGGGTCGTGTGGCGTGCAGGATGTTGTTCACGATGACTGACGGACGTTTTGCACGTGTTTGTGGTTTCTGTCGCTTCTGCTGATGTGCCGACTGGTAGACGGAAAGATGGCTATGCTAGTGAAAACAACGGAGCAGGCGGTGACGGCAGCCAAAGGTATCCCGTCGAACCGCATTACGCCGATCTTGCCCATTTCGAATGTCACGGGAGACGGTTTGGACAATTTGCGCCGGATACTATACGAGACGTCGCCGCTGGCACTGTTTAAAGCTGGGCTGTCTGCGTCGACGCTCGCTACGACCAAGTCGATGAACCAAGAGGAAAGCATTGCAGTTGAAACGCCGGTAGGTACGGGGGAGTCGAAGAAGAAGATAGCAGCCACAAGTGACGTGGTCGAAATGCCGATCGACGAGACGTACCAAGTACCTGGCGTCGGGCTCATTTTGGCAGGGACACTGGTGACTGGAAGCTTCAAGATCAACGACGTGTTGCAGATCGGACCCGATTACAACGGCAGCTTCCACAAAGTTACCGTGCGAAGCATGGAATCGATGTACATGCCGCTGAAAGAGCTCGTTCCGGGACAAACGGCGGCTGTCGCTGTGCGGTCGGTGAACAAGAAGTTCGTGCTTACTCGGTCAACTTTTCGCAAGGGAATGATCTTGCTGAGCCCTGAGATCAAGGTGAGCGACTACGTGTCGCGCGTGTTTGAAGCTCGTGTGGTGATCCTCCACCACCAAACTACCGTCACTGTCGGCTACCAGCCCATGGTCAACTGCCGTACCGTACGACAGACCGCGGAGATCATATCGTTTGAATCAGACCAGGACGTCATTCGCACGGGAGACCGAGCCCTCGTGCGTTTCCGGTTCATGCACGCGCCAGAGTTTCTGAAGAAGGGCATGCGCTTTGTGTTCCGCGACGGGCAAGCAAAAGGGATTGGTAAAGTCGTTCGGGTAATACCCGCGGAGCAATGCGAGCCGACGCTGTAAATGAGAGACACAAATAAAAGTGGTAAATAAGGGACCGGATGCGAAGTGAGGAGTTGTGTACGTACTGTTCAGCAGCGTAGTCGGCACGGCCGCTGGTATTGGAGGTTTGCACGCGTGATGCGCGAAAAAGAGGGCAGCTAAGCAGGTCATCTATTGCGATAGTCATTCTGAGTCAGGTACTGTCTTCAAGATGAGGGACTTTGTTGCTAAGTAATACGGCGGGTGTTCGACTCATGCCTCCTGTCAACAACGTCCGTTGTCAGTTAGTTACGTCCATTGTCAGTTAGTAACGTCCATTGTCAGTTTGTTACGTCCATTGTCAGTTAGTTACTTGCTATGGCCTCACGCGTCGAGAAAGCACTGCGCTGTAAAATACAAAAGCCAATGAGCTGAAATCTTCGCAGCGTATCCACTCGGATCTCTTTTGCGCCTGTAGTACTCGTGGGCAGCCGGCGCAAGTGATCAGTATCTCTTGCGCACGTGGGTACCCCTGACAATGAGTTGTGGTTGTGAGTGTGCTCGGCGCGCGGGGAGCCATAGGATTCGGCTACAGATTGGCCATCGGATTCGTATGGTCCTCGACTACGTGCGCGTGCGTGCGACGAGGACAAAAGAAAGCTGGGGCACGAAGACCGCGCGTCTCTCATCAGTTATCTTTTCGCCAGCAGCTGTTGCATCGCGTGAACAACCTGTCGCCAGCTTTCGCGTGTGTCTGCGTCGTTTTCTCTTGTTTACTACTCGAAGACGTTGTCAGGAATGGTCGGCAACAGCGGCTGTAATGCAGTTGGCGACTCGGAGCTTTGGGTTTCGGTCTTTTCAGCGCCTTCACGAGATGGCGTTGTATGCCAATGTCACCATTGTCAGCGATGTAGATTTGCGGAAGACTCGACTATTGCTGCGCACTCGTCTCTCTCTACCTGTCGCTTAAGATGAAACAAAAGCACATTCACAGACCGATTGAGGCGAAAGTGGTGCTCGAAAAATGACGTACAATCGCTTGCCCATGCCCACGTTGTTGTTGCTGACTGCTATGAGTGCATGTGACAAGTACCTTCTCACGTCCATTCATCTATCTCCTGCTTGAGTCTGCGCGGCTTCCACGTGCGGTCGACTGATCTATAGTCACGATCCGTCCAACGATGATGGCAACAGGAACACCTTGGCACCGGACTCATCGTCAGGCACACACGCGTCAACACAACGACTCGCACAAGCGCCAACGAAGGCAGAACTCTAGCAGTATGACGTGCACGAAGATCGAACGACGACTTGTAGCTTACGCTTTCGGTGATATTGACCATCGGCACGACGGCACCGTCGCACATGGGCACTCGACATTGCTGCAGCTTACTTCGTTTTCTTGCATTCACTCCCATCGACCTCTCTGGCGAGAACTGATTCCTTGAGCGCTGTGAACTCTTCCTCGGCATACCCCAAAAATTGCTCGCCAGTGACGCCGACGCCCACGTCGACGAGCACATTGAGCCCGAGATCGTCGCCCATCGACAGGATGGCCACACCCAGGTTTACATACGGCGGCGGGGGCACGAATCCGTAACTTCCAGTCACCTGACGGTTGCATAAAGTAACTTTCTCCAGATTGGCACGCACGTTGGTGACAGCTACCGAAACACGACTCGTTGCAAAGTGCACAATCAAGCGCATGATCGGTGCCGGCAACATCGACAAGAGGTGGGTCGACCAGTACATAAAGTACTTCTCCAGCGAGTTCTTGGCTTCGTTCATAGCAGCTGTGACCTTGTGAAGCCGTTCACCTGGGTCTTCGATACCGACTGGAAGGTCAATCACGAGCGACGAAAAGCGATTGCTCGTGTGACGGATGATCTCCGTGCTGGAGCGCATGTCAACCGGGATCGCGCAACGCACTTTGAGCGTTGGAGTTACGGACTCACCCATCGCCAATATCGTCTTGCGCATGGCACCCGCCACGACGTTCAGCATCACGTCATTCACCGTAGCACCAAACTGCTTCCCTACTGCCTTGGTCGTACTCACAGAGTACAGCATATTGTACGACAGCCGCTTGTGCTTCCCACCAGGTCGTTTGAACACTGTCCGTGGCTCCTGGCGAGCTACCAAAGCAGTCATGTGGCACGAAATCACATACAGCGACCACAGACACACCTTCACGAACAATGCCACGTCGCGCACTGTCTGGGACCACGGCCTGCTGGGTTTCCGCGTCTTGCGCTTGTCCTGCTTTGCAATCTCGCGCTCCTCGAGCATCGCGTCGTACACTGCGCTCTGGTCACTGAGCTTCACCATGGCGGTCGCCAGCGACGCGCCGTCGCCGAGACAATGGTGGACCCTCCAGCCAATGGTCGTGACGTTCGGACTGCGAACAGCGTCGTAGATGACGTGCATCTCCCAGAGCGGCTTGTCAAAGTCTAGCGGCGTGTTCACGAGCGTCGACTCAATGTATGACATGGTCGTCTCACCCTCTCCGATCGTGTGCTCCACGACGTTCTGCACCACGTCAAAGTCCAGCAGCTCCACGAACTTGTACACGCCCGTCTGGTGCTCGCCGCACACGACGCTGCGCCAGCGCCGAAAGAACGCGTCGGCCACGAGCCGCGACCGCAGCCGCTCGACGTAGTCCTGCGTAGCGAGGCGGCCGGCCACGGTCAGCACCGACACGGGGATCGACAGGTTCGTCGGCACTTCGGTCACGAGCGTCGACAGGCCAATGTTGCTCAGCTTGCGCGTGCGCTGTGTAGAGCCACTGTGACCGAGCGGCTGCTGTTGCTGCTGTCCCTTGCGCTGCTGGAAGACCAGCGCCGCGACGCCCGCGAGCGCGAGCACGACGGCCGCCAGTAGTGTAGAGCTGTTGCTGAGCGTGAGGCCGTGGGTCGCACCGAGCGGCAACGCGCCGCCGCCAGTGGCCTCTGCGTCCGCCATCTCAGTCGCGTGCGGAGCTTCTGATCGATTGTCCACTGCAAAACGACCGGCGCGGACGTCGGCTGACGACAACTGTTTGGATCGCAGCGATGACGCGCTGTGGGATGGACCAATCGCAGTCGCGGGTCGGTCCACCAATGACGGGCGAGAGCGAGACCGTGCGACATGTGGCACGGCACGGCCGCGTGTGATTGATTGACTGATTGCGCGCGCGTGCAAATAGCGCACGCGAGTCGTGGCGAGTATACATACGGGAGACGAATAGAGCACATGTCCGAATACATGGGACAGTCGCAACGGGTGCTCCGATGCAGTGTACAGTCTGTCTTAATGTCGTTTTGTCTGTCGGTCTACCGGTGTGCTCGACGCTGACTCTGTGAGTCATCTTCGTGACGCCTGTGGTACAATGTGAACGTGTACTGTACGTCGTCCTCAACCCTATTACGGTTGCAGAAAAGCTGCTATTTGTCATAGGGCTACTTGTGGACGGACTCAGCTGCGTGTCGCCGTTTAAATGTCAACTGAGCTTCAATCGCCACCTGCGACCTCCAGATCCGATACGCATGATTTGTTTCGAGCAGATGTAAAGCCATAGCGTGCGCGGGGTACTACTGCCTAAAGCGCACACAGTTTCTCTGTGCTAAGGTGATGACAATGACGCCCCTTCATGGAATGTGGCAGCACATGACCTCTTTTTTGAGTGCATTTTCTTCGGCATAATGACAATGGAAGAGAAGAGCCGGAAACGCTCATGACTTGCGTTTTGATGGCGTTACAGGTTAAGACGAATATGTGCCCGACGCTTGTCCGTAACGAGCTCACAAGGCTATTGACATGGACCATGCGTCATTACGTCGTGGACGCCAGAAGTCGGAAAGGAAAGCGCGTGCTCGATGTGTTTCCAAATGGAAGACTTCCGGTCTGTATCGAAGGAGGTGTAGAACGACGACCTCTCGCTTTTCGATCTGCACGGGGCCAGCGACCGTCAAGAGGTACCAACAGAGATACACAACATGTTGCAGACAAATCAAGTCACGCACGATGCAGAAGCAATCTAGCAGCGGAAAGAAGTTATAAACAGCGTGAGAGCACGAGGGTCAGTTGTTCAGTCTCGACCGACAAGCATTTTGAGCAGCGCTTGGAACGCTGTCGATAGTATTGGAAACGAAAGAGGAATACATGTTAAGAGGGGGCTGACTAAAGCTGACCAGCTTGATGCGTCGTTCGAAAGTCTTGATGGTGTGTCACTCAGTACGTTCTTCTTGAGCTGTCTGTCAACGTGATCGTATCAAGCCGTCAGAAATTACCATAACGTTCGAGTACATGATCGCATCTATCCTTCGTGTTTGCATCGTGCAACTGAGAACCTGACGTAACAATTGATAAAGATGAGGCATATTTGCACGACGTAGCAGACGCTGTAGCGATTGCTTGCACAGTTACTTCGATGAGTGGCCTGGGGCGAGCTCGACCGCAACGTCAATCGGAGTCGTTGTGTTCAAACTGATCTGCTGATGTGAGCTCCGGGAAGTGTCAGACTGATTTCGAGCAGAGCTGGTGGCCAGTCGCATAGATGACACGCTTTCGTCGAGAGAGCCATATGGCTAGCACAATGGCAGCAGACGATCTGAAGTCGTCCATTGGATTGGCGTTATGTTTGGTGAGGTTTCTGACGCGAGTTTATCTAAAGTTGCGTAAGATAAAAGCGTTGGGTGCGTCGAAAAATAAACAACCGCTCGTAGCGCATGCTTATGCAAACAACCTCAAGTCGGAATCCTACTCTCGTCGACACAGCAAGAGCGAGAATTACCGGTTTTGTACCGCCGTTTGACCTGCGTACTTAGCAGCACGTCTTTCACGATGGCACCAGCCGCTGATGGACCCCACGAGAGCGACACACTGCGCGTGCTCTTGTCCACGGACAACCACTTGGGCTACGCCGAGAAGGACCCCGTGCGCGGCAATGACTCGTTCCGGACGTTCCGCGAGATCCTGCAGCTAGCGCAGCGCGAGCGCGTTGACCTCTTGCTGCTCGGCGGCGATCTCTTCCACGAGAACAAACCCAGTCGCCACACGCTGTACGAAGCGATGCGTCTCCTGCGTACTTACTGCATGGGCGACAACGCGGTGAATTTCACGGTAGTGAGCGACCAGAGCGTCAATTTTCCGAATTTTGGAGTCGTGAATTTCGAAGATCCGAATTACAACGTCGAGTTACCGGTATTTAGCATCCATGGGAACCACGACGACCCGGCGAGAGAAGGCGGTGGAGACGTGACGCAGTCGCTGGCAGCTCTGGATCTCTTAAGTGCGGCCAATTTGGTAAACTACTTCGGCAAGAGCGAGAAAGTGGACGCTGTGGAAGTGTTTCCAGTGCTGTTGACGAAGGGAAAGACGCGCGTGGCGATCTACGGACTCGGGAACATGAGGGACGAACGACTGAATCGGATGTTTGCACAGGGACATGTGGTGTTTCGAAGACCTGTGGAGCACCCGGACGAGTGGTTTAGTATCTTTGTGGTGCACCAGAATCGAGACGATCGAGGCCGTGGGAGTAAAAACTGCGTCCCGGAAAGCGTGATTCCAGACTTTATTGATTTTGTCATGTGGGGACATGAACACGAGTGCCAGATCGAGGTGCAAGAGAGTGTCAAAGGCGACTTTTTTGTGACGCAGCCAGGGTCGTCGGTCGCAACGTCGCTGGTGGAAGGAGAAGCAAAGCCGAAACATGTGGCAGTGCTGGAGATCAATGGGCAGAGCTTTCGCATGTCAAATCGCGAATTGCACACGGTGCGGCTTTTCAAGATGGGCGAAGTGATTCTGAGCGAAGTTGAAGAACTAGAACCGAGTGACCCGGATGTAGCCGAGCAGATCAACGAGTACCTGGAAGGCAGGGTGATTGAACTGCTGCACGAAGCCGAGCTGGAACAGCAAGCGAGGCTACGAGAGCGTGCAAAAGAACGCGAGCGCAGGCAACAGCAGAGTCCATTCCCACTGCCAGACGCTGCAAAAAAGGATGAAGAGAAAGAGCTAGTGCTGATCCGTTTACGCGTGGAACACACTGGCTTTCCACTGCTGGTGAACCAGCGTTTCGGCGCAAGGTTTGTTGGCAAGGTGGCCAACCCGAACGACATTTTGCTGTTCTACCGACGGAAGAAAGATCGAGTCTATGCTTCCGGAACTAAGTCAAGTATGGAGCTAGAGAAGTCCCTGCTGGGTCGTCCAGTGCGACCCGCCCCGCTCGCCGCAGTGACCATCGAGGATATCTTGAGCAAGCAGTTGTGTATTCCGGAACGGAAACTCGTCCTCTTGCCAGAGGCGCAACTTGGAATCGCTTTGGAAAAGTTCACACTCAAGAACAACGCGTCGGCGATACAAGAGTTTGTAGATAGCGTGTTGGACGAGACACAGCGTGAATTGAGCGCGAAGTGTGAGGCCAAGTCCGCGCAAGATATAATTAGTGCCGTTGGAAAGAAGAAGGACTACAATGATGCCTTGCATGCGTTGCAGAAAGAAGAAGCCGAAGAAGAAGCCGAGGCAAGTACCGGCACGGCCGAAGCGTCAGGAAGCAGTTTGTCGGTGCACGGATTTCAGTCAAAGTGGGCAGCGCAGGGCAACAGCCGCCTGGTGGGATCGCAAGTTGAGCAATCTAGCACGCCGACTGCACAGAAAGCAGTGAGGGGAGGGAGCATGCAGAAAGCATCGATGCTGTCCGATCTTGAGGATGACAGCGATGACAGTCCACGTAAGACGACGAGGCCGACGCCTCGACAAGTTCCAGCTCGCGTCACAAGAGACAAAAAGCGGGCACGTGACTCGTTGCTTTCCGATGACGATGACGAAGGTATATCTGACACTGCTGAAGATGACGGAGATGAGAGCTACAAAGCGGAAGACGATGGCGATGAAGAGGAGTATACGATGCCGTCGCCAGTAAAACCTCGTGGACGAGCTCCAACTCGATCGACAGTAACTAAGAAACCACAAGCGCCTCGCAAGCGTCTTCGCAAAACTACCGACTTTGATGGGGACGAAGATGACGACTTCAAGCCCTATTCACAGAGACGTGATAAAGCTGCGCCACCAAGACACGGATCGGAAGCAAGTCAGGCAATGAACCTGTGCTCAGACCCGGAGTCGGAAAGAACAGCGCCACGCAAGCGAGTTCGTCAGACAAATACGAAGACACCTCAACAGCCCAAGATTGATCACTTTCTCGAGAAACAAGAGTCGAAGAAACATGAGGACGACGACGTTGAAAGCGATCACGAGTTTACGCAGCTTGCCCGGAAGCCAGACGCTTGGAACCAAACGATCGTTGGCCCGTCGCAGTCGCAATCCGAGTCGCAGGTATCTGAAGCTCGTGGGGGAGCCTTCGCACGACGCAAGCTGCCGCTGTCGATGACCACAGCGTCACAATCCCAGTCTCAAGAACCGACGCGTGCGAAGACTGCAGCCCCAGCTGCTCGCAAAGGTTGGGGTCGATCTCGTCGGTGAATGGAAGCTAGGAGGTGTGTACGAACAAAGCACTGACAAAAGCTTTTACCAGTCACTTGTCTCGCTGTGGCTACCACAACTCCGCTAGCAGCTACAAACACACTTTGGTTGCTTGTCGAGTGCTGTCGTCCTCGCCGGATTCTCCCTCACCCTGATCGCTCTAGCCAAAAGTCACTCAGTGCTCTCGAGCAGCTCTTTTGGCGGAGTCTTCGGCAGACTCGAGTCCAGCTCCCCGTCCTTAGCAGGGTCCTGTCGCACCCACGTCTTGTTCTGGAAGCGCGGACGCATCTGCGAGGAGAAGTACGGATTGCGCGGCGCAAAAGCCGGCGCACCAGTGTTCTGAGGCACACCACTTGCTTCGCCTCTGCCTGCATCCGCTTCTGACTTGCCTTCCTCCGCTTTTGCTTCCTCAGGCTTGGCCACATTCGGGTTGACCCATTTGCGGTTCTGGAACGGCCGCGGCCCTCGTCCGCCATTCTGCATATCAGGGGCGAGTGGTCGAGGATAGCCCGCGCCACCGAACGGTGGCATGCCTTGAGGTGGATAGCCCATCGCGTACGGGTTCATGGGTCCGTAGCCCGGCGGAGGGTAGAACATCGGACCCCCAAACGGCTGCATATTTCATTGAGCAGGTGCCACACATCCATAGTTAGAACAGGAGCACGTACAACACCGTACATGAACACAACATACCGGTGGGTAGCCGCCGTATCCCATCGGACCGCCCTGGAAGCCCGCGGGCGGCCCCATTCCTTGTCCGTATCCCTGCGGAGCTTTGTGGTCCTCTTTCCCGTCCGACGGGGGCAAAGGCGGAGCAACATCCCGAGATCGGTTATTTCTCCGCTTGTCACTGCGTCCCGCGTCTTCCATGTCGTGGTCCCGATCGGGATCTTTTCTCCGATTGCTACGCGCACCTCTGTGCTCGTGCTCGTCGTTGCGCTCGCGATCTCCACGTCGCTTCTTGTGTGAGCCCAGCGTGTCACGGGCGTCTAGCTCAGCTTGGTCAACATTGACGGGAGGGCCCAGTCGTGTTGACACCCGGTTGTTGCCATCGCGCTCCATTTCCCGCCGCTTTTCGCCCGTCGTCCTCGTTTCCTCCCGCTTACGAGAAGAGGCGTCCCTTCCTGACGTCAATGACGAGGCTTTCTTCGTCGCTGGTTTCTCCACGGCGCCAAAACGCTGAGCCCGTCGGGCAATGACATCGTCCAGGTCAGACTTTGACGGGTTCAATGACCTGATCGTGCCTCGATAGCTGCTGCCGGCACTGCTTTTGGTCTGCACTACTGGCTCCGACGATGGCTTCGAGAGCCCCTTCAAGCTGATGACGCGCTTCGGCGGGGCGTTCTTCTCCTCCTTCTTCTTCGCTTCTCTTAGCACCTGCATCGGTGTTTCTGCTGCTTGAGGCTGCATCCCATCGTCTGCTTGACTGTCGGATCCAGCTGACACTTGCGCCCCACGAGCAGCAGGAGCTTGTACTTCAAACAGGGGCAAGAGCTCCCCAAGCCACGTCACAAATTGCTCGGCCGACTCGTCGCCAATGAAATCCACGAGGTCATGAGCAATCTGTTCGAGATTCTTCTTGTTGCCCACCATCACGATCACGTATTCCTGTAGTAGATGCCCCTCCCCGTCGTGGAGTTCGTGTGGAGAGCAAGTATCAGATACGCTGCCACAAAGATCGATCTCTATACGCACATATGTATACATAGACAGCGATAGATGTATACACCACATGCATGATGGCGTCCCTCTAATAAGGAACGGAGGCGTCCCCCTCTCGTTTGGTCTCCTACTTGGGGGCAAGAAATCGCTTTTTTCGCCCTCTTTTTCGACACGTGTGCTTCGTTTTTTTCGTGTCCATACAAACATCAAGTACAACCGACGCGATCAAGGCGCGCTCGCTCGCTCTCTTCCGTAACCCGCTTGACCGTGTTTCGAACGCCTCACGCCATCCGCATCTACGGTTCCTCTTTCCCTCCCCGTCCCATTTCCCTTGTCTTGTGACAGTCTTTCGCCTCTTTTTGGTATAACAAGAGTACAACCAAATAGGGAACGCCACCATTCTGTGGTGTTTCAATCTCTCTGCTCTGCCGTATACACGCGACGTACCGCCATGACGTTGTCCACCTCGACGCCGAGCATGTCCGTGAGCTTCTCCCGGGTCTTGAGCGTGATCTCCTCCTTCCATGCGTCCGTTAGTGGCAGCGGGAACACATACTTCTTGTGATACGACGACGCCATGGGAACAAGAGCGGCTAAAAAGCACTTCTTTCTCGGTCTTTGGCCTTGTGTTGGCGCTCGTGGGTGGACAGCAAGAGAGTACCGTGCGGAACGGGCAGAGCAGCGAGTACCGTGAAAGACGGAATAAAAGAAGACACCACGCGACGTGAGCTGCTTGGCTCGTTTTTGTTGCATTTGGACCGTCGAAGCAGTAGCCGAAGCGGAACTCCTCTATGCGACAGATCCGCCATCGAGTTCATCGTTGCGAGCCATTAATTGCCTGTTGAGCTCTCTTCAATTAAGTGAACCCGTCAATGAGGGCACTCCGACTGTGTCGACAGACTCGCGGGAGGAGCGTCAAGTGGTACATTTATTTCCATGCGAAAAACGCGCCGCGCACAAATGGCCGATATACTTTGCATGCGTGCAAATGGACCGTACCGACCAAAGACGCGTGCGGTCCTTTGACAGTCGCGAGACAAAAAGTGTCGACAGGTTGTAAACTGCAGCCACCCCACGCCATGTCACGGGGACGTAACTCAACTCGATGGCGTTTTCCAGGTGAGAGCTGGACGCATGTCATGCGGCGAGAAGACGTGGGGTTGTCGCTGCCGCATCGACGGGAGAGGAACGGGTTGGTCTCACGCTGTAAAGTCCTTGACCCCCCCCCCAGCCGCAACCCAACTGAAGGTGTCGTGGCATCGGTTTGTTTCAGACCGAACCTCGCGCGTGGCCAGCAGTTGAAAGGCGATCGATAAGCCATACAGCTGACAGCTGACAGTTGTGGTGGTGGTGGTCTATCACCAGTTGCTGTTGATCGAGTCGGGCATGGAACAAGGGCGAACGAATGGCGCTCCAACGAGAGCACTGAACGCCTTCGTGTGCCGTGTCCTCACGATCGTGTGGTAAACGTTGCCGCACTCTTTCGAGCAGTTGAGGCGCATATCTCGTCTCGCTTCAGTCAACTCGCGTTGAGTGGCACTACAACGCCGCGACGGAAGAAGTCTCGACGCCTATTTCTACAATGGGAACGAACGACATGGCTACGTCCGTCAGACCCACTGCCCTTGTGCGCGCCGACTGTGTTCACTGTCAATCGCTTTGTCGTCCGTTCAGCTCGGGCGGCAGCTCGAGAGTCAGATGGGAATCTCCGAGATTAGCCCTCGCCCGGGCTCTGTCCGCGCGAGTTTACAACGCGCACAGGGGGCCCCCTCTCTTGAGTACACTATGGCGCGCCCGGCTCTGTTCGTACCACTGGCCACCCGCCACGTCTGACTCTGTGAACAGAATCGCCCGCGGGCCATTGCGCCTTTGGCTCTGGTCGCGCACGTGTCGCTCGCCGTTTCGCCCCAGTTGAGGCCACTGCCACTGCCACTGCTGATGCCGTCCGACCTCTGCAGCCTCAAAGTGCAGGCGCTGTACCTCGAGGACCCGGGCGCGACGCTCGAGCCCAAGGGCTACAGCCTCTGCGGCACGAAGGGCAACACGTGCAAGAAGAACGGCTGCACCTGTCGCCGCGCGTCGAACGGGACCGTTCAGGGCGTGACCAAATACTTTGGCGCGTGCGTTGTGCTGCAGAAAGGGACCGAGTGCGCCACGCGGGGAGAGGACTACGTCACGTGCGCCGTTGAGGCCATTGCGTCGGCGACTGCAACGGATACGGCAACAGGCGACGAAGCACTGGACGGGGCGCCGAGTGAGAATACGCCGTCGTCAGTGCTGTTGGCAGATGAGGTGTCAGAGGGCGGAGACGCCGTGTTGCCGCCTGAACCCATTGCCAGCAACAGCAACAGCAACAGCAGCAGCAGCGGCTCTAGCGCTGTGGACGCCGTCTCGGCCGCCCCGTCGTCCCCCGACTCGCTCAACTCGACGGTCCTCATCATGATCATTGCCGTGGCCGTGATCTTCGTCGCCCTCGTGTCGTACATCATCCGCTCGTACTGCGTGCGGCGCGCGAGCGCCGAGCGGAAACTCGCCACGCGCCGCAACCGGAGCGCCCGCAGCACAACGTTCGAGCCCAAGTCGCCCACGAACGCGACGCAGACGTCGTCTGCCACGCCGTCTTTCCCGGCGTTCGACAAGCGGACGCGGGCAGTGCAGTCCCCACGAACGGCCGATGGTGGACGCGGCCGTGACCCGACGTCGGGACGTGGGCGGCCACCGCCCGACTCGGACTTTGGACTGCATGGCGCGCGGCCGGGGAATCGGGAACCAAAGTCGGGCCGTGGGCTGCAGTACTTGGACATGGAAGACTCGTTTGTACCGAAGCAACAACCTGCGCGGGCAGGGAGCCGAGAACCAGGTTTGACGCGAGGACGGAAAGCACCGGAGCACGACCGGCAGTATACGCCTACTGGCCCTCGTGGCTATCGGGAACCGAGAGAAAGCAAACAGCATGGACCGATGTCTGGACGCGGAAGGCGAGAGAACGCTGAGATGTACGGAGCACTATTCTATAAAGAAATTAATGTAGGCGCAGCAGCAGACCGCTTCTTCGAAACAGCCAGTCCGACTACCGTCGAACAAAGCGGCACCTTCCGAAGGTACTGTGCTTGCTGGTCGGAACACATACGAACGAGTTGTTCAGTTTGCGCAGCTCGCAGCCTTTGAAGCACCACCTCCTCCAGCTCCGAGGCCCCAGAAGCCGATTCAGTCCGTGCCGGTCTCGAAAGCAGTCCCAAAACGTGCTAGGACCGCAGCACCTAATGCGAAGTCAGAGTCTTCTTCTCCGCCAGCATTTTACATCGACGAGCCTCCGATGGTGACCGACTATGACATTCTGTCCCCCAAGACGGCGCGGTCGTTGGCACCGTCCGTGGCATCGAGTGCTACAACGGTAGCCGCTCCTGGCCGCAATCGACCAACTGCACTTCAGCCGGGGCGACGACCGCAATATGCGGCAGCTCCTACGCAACATTACCGTCGCGATGATGCCCTGTACGGTGACGAGAGCAGCTACAATGAAAGTATATACAATGAAAGCAGCTACGACGAAAGCGAGTATAATGGCAAGTTCGATGCTTCGAACAACTACGGTGGGTCGCTTGTCAGTGACGTTAGCTCCATGGCGTGGTCGGGGATGTCCGGTCTGAGTGACGAGAGCTATTACCAAGGAGCACCAAATATGACAGCACGGATTCCACTCATTGAAGCAGCTGATGACGATGACGCTCGAAGTGAGGACGCATATAGTGACTGGGGTAACTCAACAATGCGATTGACATCCGAAGACGACCGGAACACTGGCGCATCGGACGCATCCTTTTTCTCCGCGAGCTCGGACTACACGAAATCTCGAAGCCTTTCGAAGGAGCTCGAGTTTTAGACAAACAGCAAGCAAGCAAGTCGTCGAATGGACATTACAAGTTGGGAAATTCAGTAATCTGTGGTCACGTATGGGATGCTACAGCTTTAGAGCTCTGAAGCTGAGCCGTCGCTTTTGGTTTGCTATGGTATTTTGTCGTGCAAAGCAAATTGCAAGACGACAAAAGACACAGATTGACGGACTAGCGAAGCATATGTGATCGACGACATGTTGTTCAACTGGGCAGTATGCCTGGATACTGCAGTGCACGCTGATACCCTGTACGCGTGGCAGGCTGGATAAGTCCTACCGGCTGTTGATGGGAAAGAGTGAACAAGCTCGTCGCGATGCTGTTGACGTGCTTTTCGATCAGAAGAAGACCTAATATCTACTGAAGTACAGGGTACTGAAGCTCACGTGGTGGTCGATATCGTGCATGGTCTACCGATGCAATAACCGACTTGTCAAGCGTGGACGTGCCACGACCCTGAATCCAGAATCACGACTTGCTCCATAGCTTGAAGAGACACGTATCGGCGTTCAGTTTTACCGACTACGTGCGCCTCGTTTGATTAGTTTCGCTTCGATGGCGTTGAGTCCAAGCGCACTGTTCGGACACCAAAGTTGCTGGTATATTCAACCTGAGCAGGTATGCAACAATCTGGATACGAATTGATTGGTGGCACAAAATCGTGGTCATACTCCTCATCTGCAGATGCTGCTGCTAACAACGTGAAGCTGAATGGAAACATCGCAGTTTGTTGAGCGGGATCGAGTCGTAGCGTCACAACGCTGCCTGATCCTTATTCGTACACTTTGAAGTCAGACTGTGTCAACAACTACGAAGTATCTGCGGTGATTGCGATATAGAAGTACCTGTTCCGCTGGAACAAGCTCTTCAGTATCGCAACTACTAGCAAAATGGAATCTGTAAAGCACGTTGCACGAACAGAACGTATATGGTATGATCAAATTTCTGGAAATGCCTGGGAACCGAAAAGCTCACGTTTCCTCGACCGTCATAAACAGCCTGGTCTTGAAAAACATACACTGCAGATGATGACCTGCGACTTCAACCACTGTGCGACCTATTGATGAGGTCAGCAGGAGTCGTGACGGTTGGACATTTGATTTTGTGTACAACGTTCCTCCTCGTGCTAGAAGCACGTCAATTGCATGTACAGGGCGACAAATATCAGCTTCTTTGGTTTTTACCGCACAAACAACACCTCTCACTACTTTTCGGAACTCGACTTGCTACATTGGTATTCGCCAAGCTGCTACTACCTGTGATAAGCGCAAAGCTGTTACATGGGGCTGTCGCTGACCGCCAAGAGGCTACATGGTGCTCAAATAATGAGGCTATGGAGCAGCAGGTCCTTCATCTAAAGTCTCTTCCTTTACGAGGGTGTTTGCAATCATCGTAATTATGCCTGGGAGTGCTGGGCGTATAGTAAGAGCCGTATATGCAAATGGTTTGCAGTACGTGCGTGCAATCAGTCATCCGCCGTGTATTTTCATGAGAATACTGAGCACAGAATACCTGGTGTGAATCAATCACTTGCATACGTGCTGATGCGGTGTGACGGGGTGAGCCCGTGACATGTCAGTGATATCTGAATATATCAATGCGAATTATATCTTAGTTGATAATATTCAGAACCATTACCTGGCTAAGGAAATACTGGTGGAATAATACTTCCAAGGGCAATATTTTTGGCCGCTCCACTTATCGGTTGGTATAGGCCATTAAACCAAATAACTGGACCGCCACTCGCTACTAGACGCGCGCAAAGGGTACTGAGCGAGTAGCTGTGTAGCTACTCGTGACCTACGTAGTTTGTAGTAATATGTAGTGTAAGAAACATCAACAGATGTGCTTTTGTAGACTTAGCTTCATGAGACACGATTCTCTTTTTTCTTCTCATAAACGTGCTCGTTTCGTTGACTTGCTTTCTCTGCACGTACAGTGTAAGTGAGAAGTCGAGGCTGCTGCTTATACACTGGAGAACAACTATATGTACTGACCACAGTGTAAGGGGCACCTGCTTACACTGTGGTCAGTGTATGTGGTTGCACCTTATCAGTACAAGCGGAGGATGCCCCGTTATAGCATTCGTAGATGTGATTTGCTAATATGAGGGATGTGTGTATATGCGCAACTTGTATGCATCAGTGGTAAGCTAAATCGATTTCTAAGCTTATTAGAAATGGTTTGATAGTTTTCATCCTGTGGTGCTTTACGTTTCTTGTTTAGCTACCTTTTGCATCTGTTTAGAACTTAATTTGTGCTGCAGTTGTACATTTTATCAGAAAAAGACATGCTTGTTTCGAGACTGTGTCATTCGTATCATGCTAGCACGAAATATGTCATAAAGGTTGAAGCGAATCATTTTAAATGTTCGGTGGTCTCATGTATGGGAGACTACTTATGCCAAGACGACAAGATTGGATAAGCATTGCAATGCGCTGGCGATCAGCAAGAATCTTGTATCGATTGCGATCGAAGACTTCTCACGTCGCTCGTCTTATAATATCGCACAATATAGAACGCGACATAATCTGTCCGACGTGGATGTCAATAAAGCTTCTTTGTCAAATGTGGCAAATTGGTACCGGCACATGAAGGTTTGGTGTAGAACTAGCGCTCATTTGGGCTGCTAACATGTTTGTGAGCTTGACTTCATGCAGTGCCTTCCGATCTTGCTGGCGTTTTACTAGCATGATGAAATAAAATACAATAAAATCATCAGTCGACGAGGTGATGTTCCTGTGGCAAGCTGAATGAGTCAAATGGCTTTGTCGAGATTTGAGGCACATGTCGTAGAGTGCTCCATGTGCAAACCGAAAAAGCTCGCTAGGTTTATCAGGGAACCTTGCTTATACTGATGACCGTATAAGCTGACCTGCACTGACAGCGGCGTGATGATTTGCCTTGAGACTTAACGTACACGAGGTAGAGAGGAAGCAAGTAGACTTACATGAACACGTTATGTGCAAGCTTAAAAGAGAACTGTGCTTGATATAGTTTTGAGTTCCTTCAAACAAGTCTCACAAATCCTTCATGAAGTGGATATCGACACAAACACATTTGTAATTATCTACCAGCCACCCTTTGCGCACGTCCATCATTGATCGAACGCGTTGTTAATCATCGGATGGCCTATGTCAACATCGAAGCAACAGTCGCTAAATATTATCTTTCACACGAAGGGGGAGATTTTATCGGTACAGGTCATCATAATCAACCTTATATTTTTAAATGAAGGAATTATTAGTGTTCTGACGTAGACTCAATAATGTTTTTATTGCATCGGCATTTGTAAATGTCACTGACATGTAATAGGGTCGCTGAGTGCACCGCTACCTCAGTTTATCCCGAAGAAATAGGTCACCCTGTTGCAGTAGGTGCTCGTTCGAATCGACGAACTACGACAGTGCTCTTTTGCTTTGTCCAACATGGCAGCAACTACAACTGGCTGTTTAACGTCATGTAGAAAGTCACGACGCAACACCTTCCACGCCACTTGCCATGTGCTTGAAGATTGGATCGATTTTTACTTATCTAACTAATGACACAGTCAACGCACGAGACAACGCCGACACTGGCGTCGCCCTCTAGAGAGATGTGGATGTCGTAGCGCTCAAGTCGAATGATATGGCAACGCGACTCAAGTCGGTCCGTATCTCCGACTCGTTTGTCTCATCTATAGCTTCCGTGTCACGCATGGCGTACTGAGTGCTCTCTGCGCTAGAGACGCACGAGGTGCCGAGGCGTTCCACTGACTCGAGATCCGATGACGTGTGGAGATCGCTGCAGTTCGTGGACGTGACCGAGTCGAACTCCGCTCCACTGGACGTCTCCGACGCCACTCGAAACGAGTTGAAGCTCATTTCTGACTCATACGCCTGTCCGCTCGATAGACTGCCGAATTGCGAGCTCATGCCGGATGAAAACCTCTCTCGCGTGTTGGACGTGTCGAAGATCTCGTAGGGGGCACGCACGGGCAAACCGGATGCCGGTGGACCGTGCGATACGAGAAGATGATCCTGCGAACCACTGGAGGCATTGATGGAGACAGTACTTGGACGTTCGTCTCGCGTGAACAGGTCCTTGGTGGCTTTCGTGCTGCCACTGCGTGCGTAGCTGTCCATCGGTCGATTTCTCGGGTACGATCGGTAGTGCCGTTTCGGGGCACGACGTGGTGGCGGAACAAAGTCGTCGTCAGGACCCAGTACGACGATCGAAGCCATTGGCGAATTCTCAAAGGCGTCAACGAGGCGGTTTCCTCCGCCCACGTTTCTCGCACCACGTTGGCCGGGGAGCACTGGCGTCGCTGTACCAAAGCTCTCGTCATCGTAGTCGTCCGTCGGAGTCGTGAGTTCGTTCTTCATCTTGAGGCGATTTCTGCGCACGGCAACGAATGCAGCAATAGCAGCCACAACGGCAATGCCACATGTCGTCGAGAGCAACACAGTCAGCCGCTCGCCCGACCAGGTTGAGGTGCCGGAAGAACCATTGTTGGTGCCAAGCGCCGATCCATTTTCTCGCGGACGGATGATGTCCTGATTGACGGGAGGTGCAGCAGCGCTAGTTGGAGAGGGCTTGACTTTCCCGACAACATTGCCGTCCACGTTTTCGTCGTCGGCACCAGACTCTTTCACCAATGAGTCGAAACGAATGCTGGGGTTGTCGGAGGCGTCGATGTTGGTTCCAGAGGCGTCGATGTTGGTGCCCGAGCTTGAGCTGGTGTCAATGCTCCGGTCGCTGTCGGAAGCGGCAGATTGTGAAGCGCCATCAGTGCTGCTTGAACCGGTGTCGAAGCCAAAGATGTCAATGGGCACGCTAGGTTCCGAAGCATTGCCGAGGGTGCTAGTGTCACTGTTGATATGGGTGTTGCTAGCGTTGGCGTCGACACTGGGGTTGACGGACTCGGGAACAGTGACTGGAATACTGCTGCTGTTGAAAGCGGTGTCCAAGTTGGTATCAGTGTCAGTGCTTGTGGTTTCGATGCTGACGTTGCTGTCCATACTTGGACTGGCGTCAATGCCGGAAGAGTGATCGATCGTAGGCTCGAGTGTGAAGCTCGATGTCGAGGTACCACTCGATACTGAGTCGCTTCCGGCATTCGTATTGTTGCCGTCGTCAAGATCAGCACTAGAGTTGGCCAGGGTCACATCGCCAGCGTTTGTATCTTCGTTGGAACTAGAGCCTCCCCGCAAGAACGAGCTGTCACCGCTTGTGTCTTCGTTGGAACTGGAGCCTTCCCACGAAGACGAGCTGTCACCACTTGCATTTTCACCGAAGCTGAAGGTATCCTGCACTATCGAAGTGCCATTCGTAGCACCTTCAATACTATCATTGCGGCCGCAGAACTGTTGGCCTTCCCTTGGACACGTTGTAACATCCACAGATCCGACGCACACGACGCCAGCGACTGTCAAGCCTGCCACTGTGCCCACCTTCTTTTCACGACAGGTGCAGATCCTGCAGAGGTCTGCGTGAACGTCCGAAGAGTTCTCACAGGATATGTACCCTGTCGGGAAGACTGTTGACGTCGTGTTCGCATTAAAGACGTACAGGTCTTTCCGAGCGTATTCGCACACGTTGAGCTCTGTCTCAGTTGAAGGCACTGCGTTGCAATGGCCAGCATAGAGTTGCACGAATATTGCAGCCACCAAACTTCGCAGTTCAATTCGGGATCGCGCCATGTTTCTCGTTTGGAGCTAATGTGCGAGTGGCAAAAGCACAACGCGAAGAGCGCTACGACGAGGCCCAGCGGAGTCAGGGAGTAGGTGACTGCAAAGGCATTGCATCTTCATGCACCCCACTGGCATCAATGTGGCAAGTACGATCTACGGCTAGAAACTCGAGTTCGTTGTTCGTCTGCCTCCTGTTGTCGGGTAACCGCAATGGTTGCGGCAGTTACTCAGGATCGATTGACTAATGATCGCCGTCGCTGTGGGGGTGTCCCAAGACGGTGTCCAGAGGCACTGAACTGACCGAGAAATGTCGATACCAGATCGTTTTTTATCTGGCTATCGATCGATCGGAGCTAAAATGCTCAATGGACTCTACCAAGAAGACAGACGCCAAGTACTCTGTCAACTGTTCGACACGAATGAATGAATGCACTGTGTGTGTGTTGGCCATCCCGGTCTTCGTGCGTTTCGAGTCTGCACGTTTTTCGGCCTCTACGGTAGCTCGATTGATTCTGCTTCCAACTGCATTCGCGGCAGTGGGAAAGCGTCTTACGTTTAGCTTCCACGTCAATTCAACAACTCACTTGATGGCCCCATCTGAATCGGGCGCGTTTTTATCAGTGAATCGATCAGACGCAGCTAGTTGCAAGCCACGGTGCAAGTTCGGCGTCTGCAGTATTCGGCGTGGCTCAGAAGCACGAAGGGCCTTGACACCACTTCGATACAGGACGTCAGGCACGACACGTTCCTCCATGTACGACCGGTCGGACTGTAGTACTTACTATTGTTACCAGCGAACTGGTCGTCCGCAAGGAGCTACGCTGCCGAATTCGCAGTGGGTGTTTACTCCACTTACCCGATCTGAGCACAGTAGCGGTGTCGCTGCGTCGCCACGGATCGTCTTCTCATCGCAGCATCTCGTCTTTGTCATACAGGGACAAGTGACTGCATTCTTCTCGCTTTTGATCCAGTCCGAGACATTCCACATGTTGTGGACAGACGCCACGCTTGCGGTGTGACAAGGCAAAAACCCTCATGCAGAAACACTCGTGCTGCAGGACCTGTGGCAACTGTAGCAAGCGCCGAGTCCTCTTGCTTGATGGTTCACCGAAACGAAAATCAGAAACTCGGATGCAGCGCGAGACGACTGGTACGTCTTGTGGGACGTCCGACATGAGTCACGTCGGAACGGTTTCCCTCACGAGCAGCTGACTTTGCGACACTTTCTTTGCCAAACATCCATCAAAACTTGGAAAGTCGCACGGCTACTTCTGCGTTGAGACGACCGATCGCGTCGTAGAGACTGCACTTGGTGACCACAACGACGACATCACAACGACATGATGGACAGCAAAGGATGCGACTGTTGCGTGTACTTTGTCGATGCCGAGCAAAGTTTGACCGTATGAAAATCGTGCTACATAAGTGACACCGCCGCTGGTGTGAAAGAGTGAGTACCGGACAAAAGAACCCGTCTTGAGATTGCAGCGGTCTCTAGAAATGGTCGCACATCCGCATCGTAAAGCTCGTGAGACGATCCTTGTCAAGAAAGGATCAGTCTGTGTGTTGTCGCACGTCACAGCAATCTGCCTGTAACTCATGTTTTTCATGGACGATGCCGTCCGCAGAACGATCATGTCAGGCTCGACGACGATATCGACGCGACCTGAATCGATGGGGATACACGAGCCCAACTCAAGATGAACAACGCCTTCTTCATTTGTTCCGCTTGCAGCCTATTGCTAGGCGGGCAGTTGTCGTACTGCATCTGCAATGCAGTACGAATAGGGCGCACATCGTGACGATCTTGGAGTACGAAGAAGCTGTCAATCTCTTCCACTTGAGTTTGGCCACAGCTTGACATTTGGACCGTGTGATAGCTGACCGAAACATGACTACTGTTTGCATTTGCGATGATGGTATCAACAATGGGTGAGTGTGCAGTCTACTTGAGACTCCATCGGTCAGTCACCTTCACATTCCACCATGTTGCAGCTTGTACCACAGCAAGAACATTGTGATCGTAAATGCGTCAGTGTTGATGCTTCGAGAAGGGCACTGCACTAGCAACTTTCTTGCTTGTTTCCAGCATGTACGTGCGCTACCCACCTACATGATGCAGGTATTGGCGTCTACTGATAGTCAAGTGTTCTTTGGTCGAGCTACATCGGCCGCTTCTGGACTGACTACTCAATATGTGGTAGCAGCCACTACTTGTGGACGATAGATGCCGCGCACTTGCTCATGCGCTGCGGCAGCTCAGCGTACGTGTTTGTCAATAAGCCTGAAAGGTGCGTTGTGCAGTAGGGACGAAACGCATTATGTCGCCGTTTGCGTGCGCGCTTGGATGATGTCTTCTTTTATGGCATGTGGTAAGCCCCATTCGACCAATTCTGGAAGTAGGAGACTCAACGTACCGCCTGTGATTATATCTCGAGCAGCTAGTCGTTCGTTCGATCTGCTGGTATAATCTCGACCCTCAACGTGGATGAATCCTCAGCGTGGTCGATCCTTTGCTTCTACCAGACATTGGCGGCATTGCCTCGAGGCGAAAAAGCTGGTTCCATCGCTTTGGCAAAGTCTTTCTTCCGCGACCCACAGTCAGACGCCTCGTATATATCGAGCGCACTGTGCAATTGCTCTCTGTGCAGCACCATCGTCAACAAGTCAGACACAACTATGCTCAGCTCTGCCATCATGAAACGGTACATACCGTAGTGCCTGCACTCGCTCTGCACTGGGTGGGTGCGTCGAGAAGTACTTGAACTGTGAGCCCTTGTCCAGCTGCCCCAACGACGTGTTCATTTGGATGCTAGCGCGAGGATCGTAGCACGCTTGGGCCATGAGACGCAGACCGATCGAGTCGGCTTCCAATTCCAACTTGCGGGAGAACGGCAGATCCACCGCCAGCTTTACCATCTAAGGTGGACACACAAACGTCCTCACCTCAGTAAGAAGACACCATACCCCGTGACTCGTCATCGCAGTGCTCACCAGGTCGCTAATCTGGCCATAGTCCGGAAAAAGCAGCGCCAAAAGTCCGTACACGAGCAAACTGAACGAGATCTTCTCTGCGCCGTGTCCTATCGCGACCATACGCAATCACATTCCACACAAAACGTCAATCGATAACCTCCGATCCCAATGTCCAGTAACGTGCTTTGTCACCCACGCGCGATGCCATGCGCAGCTTCGTGGAACATAACCGCTGCGAGCGCGTCCTCATTGCGTAGTACCTTGAAGAGTCCCGAGTGAACAAACACTTTGCCGCCAGGAAGGCAAAACGCATTGGGCTCTTTGGCGTCAATGACATGGAACGTCCACTGCATAAACGGCACATGTGTCTCTTCAACGATTTTGCGGCCAACACGCGCCACTGCACGCGCCATCTACGTCCGTGTGCTCCCCAGTCCACTGTGAGATGGCTACATTTTGTGCATTTAAAAACGACCATCTTTCGGGACCCACCGGATGCGACGGCGGCAGCAGTCGAGAGCTACTTCGGATCTCCCGGTACGCGCGTTCACCTAATCGCTCTTCGTACGCGGGCGAGAGCAGCATGACGCGACGGCGGCCGTTGTGTGGCATTGTCTCGACGTGACTGGCGATGTATACTGAAGTGGGTACACATGTAGTAGGACAGACAGGTATCAGAGACTCGACCGACCGTCACTTTCCACGAGCTATCGCGGCGTTTGTTTCAACACAATGTCACATCGCAAACGACACGCATGTTCGTACAGCCGCCGATCGTCGCCGACCCAATTACAAGCGCCTTGACGTACAGTGGCGTGCGCTGCCACTCGTCGCGTCCATAGCGACGCAACGTTCTTCCTCGTCGGTACATAATCGGTTCTGAGTCCAACCGTTTGTCAAAAGGACCCATTTTGGTTCAATCGTGTTCAAACGCTTTTATGCTGCTGCATCGCCGCCGTCAACGCGCTGGTTCAATTTCAACCAATCAAAACACCGCCACCACCCACACGCCGCGATGCCACCTCCGAGACAGCGCATGTGGCAGCGTCTCGTCCTCGCGACGGCGCACCAGCGGCCAGCGCTGCGCTGCCAGCGGCCCGTGCAGCACCAGCTGCCGCTCCACTTCCGTCCGCTCACGTCCGTGTCTTCCTCGTCGACGTCCGACGCGCGCAGCCGCCGCATTCTGTGCGTGGACGTGCCCGAGCACGTGGCCGACGTCTCGTGCGTGCAGGAGCTCGTGCAGCGCGGCCACGTCGTGGATCAGGTGCGCTCGGCGTCGGACGCGTTGCTGCTGTCGGTCGTGCACGACTACGACGCGCTCGTGATGACGCCCGGCACGCGGTTGTCGCGCGAGGTGCTGCGCGTGGGCGCCCGGCACAGGCTGAAGCTCGTGGCGGTGCCGGCTGCAGCGATCCCCAGTGAAGACGTGGACCTGCTGGAAGCCACGAATCAGGGCGTGATGCTGCTGCAGCTGGATCCCAAACAGCTGAGCGACCGGTCGTCGGTGGAGGCTGAGATTGGACTCAGTTTGCTCATTCAACTGGCGCGGCACTTGCCTCGGAGTATGGCCTCCATGCGCGTGGGAAAGGAGCAGCCATGTGACCGCCAGCAGTTTGTGGGCACCGAGCTCGCTGGCAAGAGTCTCGGCGTCGTGGGCATTGGCCAAGCCGGACGACGGGTGGTGGACATGGCCAATGCACTCGGCTTGCACGTCTTTGGCTTTGACCCGAACTTGAACCACGAGACAGCAGCACTCATGGGCGTCAAGTCCGTGTCAATGGACGAGCTGTATGCCACGTGCGACTTTATCACGTTCCACGCGCCGTTGACGGCTCGAACGCGCGGTATGTTTGACGACGATGCGCTCGACAAGTGCAAGCATGGCGTGAAGATTGTGTCCGTTCCCGAGTACAGCGGATGCCACGGCCTCCTGGATGAAAACACGCTGCTGCGTGGAGTCAAGTCAGGAAAGATCAGCGGCGTTGCGCTGGACCTGCTACAGCCAGCGGAAGCAGAAGGTGGGCTGGAGCTGTCGCCCACGTGGCTCGAACTCATGCAGCACAAGAACGTCATCACGCATACCCATGCTGATGGCACGGCGTCCGATGATGTGCTCCGGGCTCGCAAGTACCGCCTTTTGGCAGAAAACGTTGGCGATGCGCTAGCGCAGCGCTACTTTCGTGGTGTGGCCAACGGCGTCTTTATGCCGCTGACGCTGCTGCCGGAGATGAAACCGTTTATCGAGCTAAGTGAGTCGCTGGGTCGCTTTGTGCACCAGCTCACTCAGTCGGCTGATCCCAAGGACCGCATCACGCACGTGTCGTTGGCTGCCACGGGCGGCTTCCAGATTGACATCACCACACCACAGGCTCGCCAGCTTCTTCAGAATGCGCTTCTCAAAGGTTTGCTCGAGAGCATGCGTGGGCATGACAGCGAGCAACCTGAAGTGTGTCTATTGAATGCCTCGCTGCTTGCCATGGCGAAGGGAATTGACGTGCGCCAGGGCGACTTGCAGAGCGACCCGGCGGCTGTACGTCGCCACCTCAAGAATTCTTTGGCTGTCGTGGTCAAGACGAAAAACATGGACAGCTTGCTTGTCAAAGGCAGCGTGTTCGGCGAAGACCCGCGTGTCGTGCGTGTGAACGAGTACTCGGACTTTCCTGCTTTCCGTCCGCAAGGCAATCTGCTGGTGTTTAACAATGAGGACGTTCCCGGTGCGATTGCCGGCATCCTCAGCGAGCTGGCAGAGGCCAAGATCAACATTGCCAACTTTGGTCTCGCGCGCCAGAGCAATGCTGAGCTCCCGCTTGGTATACTTACTCTTGACTCCGTTCCGTCCGATGCCACGCTGGATGCGCTCAAGAAGTTGCCCAACATACGTAGCGTCCGTTTCGCACAAGTCTAAGATCGGACCTGTAGATCAAGGGAAGAACCAGACAGTATTGTGATCAATGGAGTTCAGTGGAAGAGCTGAGGTGAAGTGGTTGATGATGCTCAGGCGTGGTCCAGTTGCTGTGCGGCGACGCCTGAGTAGATCAGAAGCTGTGTCGTCAAGTAAATGAACGCAAAGAGCGGCGAGCTGAGGTAGTTGAGTACATCGTGGCATATTTGATAGGGTGCACGTCTTCTTAAGCAGATTCAGAAGCCATCAAAGTCTGCGCTACTGCCTGCGATAGACGTCTTTCCTTCTTCTCGAGCGATGCCACATACAACCGCTTCTTGTCAGTCGAGGTCTGCATGAAACGTCTCATCGTATTGTACAAAAAGGGGCTCATCGACTCGCTCTCGTGCTGCAAAGACAAACAAAAACGCATCAGTCATATCCGTCGGACAATCGCTTTTTACTCTGTAGCTGAGCGTAGCAATAGCGCACGTACCTCGTAGCAGTACATTATCACCGACATCGAGACCGAAAAGAGCGCCACTTCCCCGTGCTTGAAACCTGTGCAGATTCCGCGGTCGCGCAAGATCATCGCCAGACTGTCAAGAGCGCGTGGCAATACGTACAGCGCGAGCTCTGCACACGCCAACACTGGGGTCAGTATCAATTCAGCACGAGCAATCGTGAGCTTCAGCACGCACCAGAGCGCCGGCTTTTGGGTTCCAGCAGAATCGTCGTTGAAGCCAGCAGTCCGGCCAAATAATACACGAAGCGGTGATCCTTACTGGCGACGCGACGATGGACGCACACAAGGGACAAATAGAGCGTCACAAAGGACGCGAGGAAGCAATTGGATCGCGTCGCGTTCAGCGTCGAGCGGGCAAGCGTCCGAAACGGAGCACGCAAAAAGCGCTTGAAGTGGATCACCACACCTGGCACGATGAAGAGTGACAGGTAGAGCGGGAACGTCTTTAGCAGAACGCGTTTGTAGCACAGCAGTGCGCCCACGACACACGAGTCGGCATTCGAATGCACAAGTCGGCACGGAACGATCTGTGTCGGCAAAGGAAAGTCCCTGGAAATGCCTGGTTTTCGATCCAACAGTTTCTGCAGCGTCGCGGCACGGACCGGAATTCCTCGATTCACCTGCTGTGCCAACTCCAGTGTCTCCATCTCCACTGGCCCCGTGCGCTGGATAAACCAAAAGTAAGCTGACGGCAGTGTCGTCGGCCGCATCACGTACGCGTACATGACCTGTGCGCTCGAGAGCGCAAACAGCAGTGCGTCACCGTATGGCCAGTCACTTCCCCAAAAGTGCCAGCGCTGCCGTCGCTTGGCCGTGTTGTAGCCACACTGCAGTGCCCTCGTCAGCGCATACAGCGCCATCGACCGTCGTCGCTTTGCGTCTACGAAACCCAACGCCAGAGCTGCCACAGCACCAGACCCGAGTGCTGCCAGTCCTTCCACCGCTTTCTCCTCCTCTTCGAGCTGCTGCGTCGGCCGGGCCCTCGACCGTCGCAGAGCCACGAGAAGTAGCGCGCGAACGGCTCTGTAGCCACCTGTGAACCAGCCGACAAAGAGTCCGAGCTGCACCGCGTCGACGCGAAACCGGACCTGTCGCTCGTCCAGTAGCTGCCGCAGGTCCGTCGCGGCCCTCCACTCGCGCCGCTGCAGCAACTTCAGCAGTCGGAGCAGCGTCGCAATGCCCGCGCGCGTGTTGTACGCCAGCAGAAAGTTGCTCGTGCCCAGACGCAGCGCCTCGAGCAGCTCTTGGCCCAGTGTCGCGCCTTCGTCGCCGGTCTCTTGTTCGCTCGCGAGCGCTCGAGCCGCGAGGCGCTCGTCCTCGTGCGGCGCAGCGTTCTCTTCGTCGGCGTTCGCTCCTTCTTCGTCTGAGCGACTGTAGAGGCTGATGTCGGAGGCCGTCACGTGCATATTGGACGCAGTGGACGACGAGACGCGCAGCGGCGGCAGGGCGGACGGAGCGGCCGACGCCATGGCGGACGATCGGGCGCTTGCGGGATATTGGCCAATGGGAACGGGTCGTTTATGGATCGGCGCGAGCTGGCGGCGGGACTTCTTAGCGGTACTTCACGCGGGTCAGGCACTTGGATGGGTTGGCACCGCCAGGAGCGACAAGGAGCGCGCGAACGGGACGCGTCACGTGATAGAAATGCACGAGAAAAAGGACACTCGTCATCGAGCACATAGCACCGCCTCTGTCTGTGTGCGTGTGTGTGTCTCGTGATTGGACAACGCGTGATTGGACAACGCGTGCAGGTAAAAAACAAACGCACTGCCTCGTTTGACCGCTTGTCCATTATTACAACGTCTCGACAAACGTCATGAGGTCCGCGCTGTCGCCACTGGCATTGCCCTGACCTGACGCGCCCTGGCCCGACGCGCCGTCATCCCAATCGAGCAGATCCATACCGCCAAAGCTCGTGGGCGACAGGGCGTTCGAAAAGTCCATGAGACCGCCCGACGACGCTCCAGACGGCGTCGGCATCTGCAACAAGTCGCTCGCCATGCTGCCATACAGCGACTCGTCCAGCCCCAAGCTCAGCCCCGAGTTCACCGCCGTGGTTTCGCCTCGGGACGCCATGCCTTCTTGAGTCGACTGCGAAGGCTGAGCTTGCGGAGGCTTCTGTTGCTGCTGCTGCTGCTGCTGGTTGTTGCTGCTGCTGCTGTTGTTGTTGTTGTTGTTGCTGCTGCTGTTGTTGTACGGGCGTCTGCGACCCCGGCTGCAAGCGCTGAAGGCCGTGTTGGCCCAGTTGCTGCTGTGTCTGCTGACCGCTCTGTTGATTGGCAGCGTTCTGCGTCGTCTGCAGCTGCTGCTGCTGCTTCATTTGATTCGACTGCTGGGCTGTATACTGCGCTTGCTGACGCGACCCCTTCTGCTGCATTTGCTGCTGACGCATCATCTGTTGCTGCTGCTGTATCATTTGTTGCTGACGCGCTTGAGCCTGCATGTGCTGTTGCTGCTGTTGCATCTGCTGAGCGCGCTGTTGCATCATATAGTGCTGCTGCTTCTGCTGGACCGTCATCGCAGACTGCTGCGTTGGCGTGCTCTGATGCTGCGTCTGCCCCGTGGGCTGCGGCGGCTGTGCCATTGAGCTGCCAAAGCTGGTCAAAATGCTGTCTGGGATAGCAGATCCAGCGCTCATGGTTGCGCCTGAAGACGTGCTGGCACTCAGCTCGGACGACGCGATCGCTTGGCCAGCACTGCCGTCACTCACCGGGTACGTTCGCTTGTCCGTCTCGGTCCGCAGCTTCTTCAGATACGGGTTCACGATCTTCACAATGTACTTGAACACTTTGTCTAGCTCTTCGATCTTTCGCGCCGGGTGAGTCGCCTTGTTCTCGTTCAAAATGCTCGCGCAGAGCTCCACGTAGCTCAAAAGGTACCGCAATTTCTTCTTCTGCTCCGTCTCGTCATGTCCCTTCATGTGATCCACGTACTTCTTGAATGCACTGTGCACCTTCTCTACGTCACCTTGATGTTTTGCTCGTAGCGCCGCGTGTTGCTGCCAGTACTCGGCCGCAGTGCTCGGAGTCATACTCGTTTCCGTCTTCACCGGTGTACTTGTCGTCGTAGACACTGGTTTGTCTTGGCCCTGCCCCTGCTGCTGTTGTTGTTGCTGCTGCTGCTGCTGCTGAGCCCCTGGATGTGGCCCAGGTGTATTGAACTGACTATGGCCTGGGTAGCCGCCCACAGCGCCGCCGTTGACGTCCCTCTGACTCAGATTGAGTGTGTTGTAGTACGAGAAGTCGAGTCTCGAGAGCATGCCCTGGTTCGGCAGTCCCTGAGCCGCCATGGCAGCGTTCATGTCCGACTGCTGGGCCCGCAGCGACTTGAGTCGCGTAAAGATCTTGTTGATGTAGAACTCCTGCGTGGGCGACTCCTTGTACAGCGACAGCTCGTACCACGACACATTCATCCAGAGCTTGATACCTGGCACAGGATCTGCCGACACGCGGACCATCTCATTGTAAATCTTGGCAATCAGGTTCGCGCGATGTTCCCTTGTCAGCTGCATGCGCCAATCCGCAGCCGCCGTGCCGCCACCCACACCCGCGGGGTTCATCGCATTCATCGCCATCGAGTTCTGCTGTGGCGGCTGCTGCGGCGGCTGCTGCCCCATTGAGTTCATCATCATTTGCTGCTGCTGCTGTTGCTGCGGCGGTGGTGGCTGCTGCGGCGGCTGGCCGTACATGCCCATGGCCATCGACTGCGGGTTGCCGACGGCCATTCCCATGGACATGGGCATCGACATGCCGCCCGCCATTCCCATCGCGCGTGGGTCCATTCTCGAGAGCTTCTCGCGGCGTTTTTGTGAATGAGACCGAGCGCAGCTGACTTTGGTATACCTCCTGACCATTTTTCTGGCACTGTACACTACACCTACGGCACGTGATTCGCCAAAATGCCGAGTGCTATTTCTACCAAATCACAGCTCGCGTTCCGCTAGACAAACCACACCACCGCGAGGAGCGACGCCATGTGACATGACACGCTTACAAGATATAGACCCTACGACTTAGAAGCGCGTGGAGACCAAGTCAGGACGCGCGCGATCGCACACTTCGCAGTAAAACGCCGACATGGGGTTGAAGAACGTGCAGCCGCCCTGCTCACCGGCGCACATCCACTTGCCTCGAGGTACGCCACGCTGGCCCGCCAGGTCCAGTTCGCAGATGGCGCATGTCGCGTCGTCCGACTGGTTGATAAACGTGCAGTTGCTGCAGCGCCATTCGTGTTGTTGCTGCCGCTGAGCGTCGCGGTGTTGAGGGTTCGACTCGTTGCAAGCTTCACACGACTCGACCTCGCCTTCATTCAGGTACGTGCACACGAGGCAGCTCCACGACGGCTCCGCGGTGCTCGTCTTACTTGCGTCGCGAGCACGTTTCTGGTCATCTTGAGCAAGCGCGATCTCCACGTCGTCGCTAGAGATGCCGAATGACGCACAGATTGTGGATATTGAGACTCGGTGCTCGAAGATTGTATTCTCCGCGCTGTCAGTGGGTCGAGTGTCCACAATGAGGCCGACAATCTCATTCAGCTCTTTTGACGAGAAGCCCAAGTGGAAGCTCTCCAAGCACTTATAGATCTCTTCCGCGCTCAGCCGGCTGTCTCCGTCTCGATCGAATTGTCGAAGGGCAACAGCCAGATGGGGGACAGCCATGGCGTGCGTTGTGTTTTTGCCCGCACCCTCCTTCTTCTTGCGCTGCCGCTGCTTGCGCAACAAGCTCTGCTGGAATTGTTGCAGACGAGCTCGCGCGGTCAACAAGTGCCATTCGCTTTGAGCAGTGAGGGCTTTTGCCAGCGGCGTGTCTTCCCACAAGTGGCGCTGTCGGCGTCGCGAGCGAAGAAGGCAGCTGAAGAATTCGTGCCGCAACATTATAGGGACAGCTGCTAGCCCCGTCAATAGCAGGTCTAACTCGACCGGCGAGTAATACATCTCGTTGTTGAAAAAGCGCAAGCACTGCACTGCTACAGCAATTGTCTTTTCACGAGGTGACATGACGTTTGACGTCGCCTGTGTAGACTTCGGCGCCCACGATGAAAAAAATGAAGAGCTCTCGACAAGCTCGCCTTCGCTTGTGCGCAACTGCACCTGGCTTACCTGGAATACAGGATGCTTTTCATGAATCATGCGTCGAATCGTCTCACCCTCCACAAGTGACAAAGTTGCCATATACACCGGAAGGTGAGTCATTGCGGAAGCGACGGCGTCTTTTATCCCACCAGGAACCGCGTCTGGACTCGTGCTGGCCATTTCAGCGGCCGCCCGTAAAGCCTGTACCGCGATTTCATTTGCATTCTTAGGAGACGCGTCAGCGGTCATAAATGCCTGAAAGAGTTGCTGCACGACCACCTTCATGGCTGTCTGGTGGAGTAGCGGTGACCACTCGAGAATAAGCCCGACGTTCTTAACACGACGTTCGCCAAGCCCCACCCATCGTCGTCGAAAGAAGTTGCCAGACATCAGCATCTCTGCTGGGAAATCAATCGCTGGACACTTTGCCTGGGCTTGGAACTGTGCACACGGGTAGAATACGGAAGTCGCTTCTTGGTGCTGGTTTACTGCCATCGTCGTTTCTCCGTCACTACCAGATGCAGAAGCAGCAGCGGGTCGATGTGCAAGTACATAGGCACTCCACGGAATCGGGTGCTCGTCATCACGCGTGGAAGCACTCATCTTTTGCTCCTCATGCTCTGCCTCCTCCTCGGCTTCTTCTTCGGCTTCGGCCTCGTTCTCATGCACAACTTCGGCAGTAAGTCGTAGGTCACATTGCTCTGACGCATCCTCTGCATAAATTTGCTGCTGACTCGCTCTCGAATATACCAGCCGTCCCTTGACATCAGTGACACGCTTCATCTCTTCGCTAGTTGTCAGGAAGTCTTTGTGGTCCTCAATCAGACCTTCAACAACATCCGACAGCTGCTTTTTCGTTGGTACAGCAGCATCTACAGTGTACGAGATTTCCACGCGGAATAGAGCAATGCACTTGCGTAGCCAGGCTTTTCCGTCATCAACGTCATGACCAACGAATCGACGTAATCTTGAGTCTAGCGAGGCTTTCGTAGCCACGGCTTCATCAATTTCATCTTGCAAAGTGAAAAGAGCCCGCTTACGCCAAGTGTTGTGCAATTCTTGAAGTGATAGCTGAACGAGCTGCATTGACTCTATGCGCATTGAGTTCGTGAGAAGCCATGCTGGCACCAGTAGGAGAAACTTGTCTATTTGCTGCTGCGCGGAGCCCTGTGAGATCAACTCGACATTTGCAAGTTTCATTTCGTGGCTAATGCGATTCTCGACTTCAGGAATGAGAAAGAGACAAATCGATTGACCTGTGGCAATGCCGCGCATGCGGTAAGCGCCCTGGGCGTAATCACGGAAGGTCATATCTTTGCCCAGTGTGACAACAGCACGCGCGTTAACGCACTGCTTGATGTCCATACCCGTCGTGTGCACTTGGTCGTAGAATGTGAATCTTTTGCTTGGACATAACCCGCACTGTACCAGTGGCATAGGTGCGTTGTGATCACGAAGCAGAATCATCTGTCGGTCATCTTTATCCAAATAGACGACTCCTTCCATTTTCGTGGGCAACTCGGCCAAAAGAAAAGCGGCTACTTCCTGATTGTCAAACCCTGTGATCAAAGCACCTGTGTCAATGAGCGCATGTACTAGTGGCTCGGCGTGAGCAATATCCAGCAACAAGCTCCTTGCTGTCCATTCCAATTTGCGCTCAATCGATACAATACGCTTGTCAGTGAGGGCATTGAAAATGCTGCCGTCACTGCAAGGCTCGTAATAGCACTCGCCCAAGTCCATTGGCAACAGATTCGACGGTGTTCCCGAGAAACCGATGCGCTTCGCGAAGAGAGAATTGCTGCCAAGTTCGTGCCCACAGGCCGAGATCTTGACCTTCTGGAAGTTCATGCACGACGGAAAAACATGTTGCTGAACGTAGTAATACACTACTGCCGCGAGCTTGGCGACCAAAACGTGCAGGCGAGCCACTTGCGCTGTATCATGAAGCTGAAACAGCGGTAAGGGAAGAATGCTTCCGGACGCTTCTTGTTCTTCTGTCGAAAGTGCGGCTAGACCGGTACGAACCCACTCGCGGAAGATAGCACATGATGGACGCTGATCGCGCGGTCCTAGCTGACGGCTACAATCTTGCTTTAGCTGAGAGACCATCCGCACGAGGTCGGGTATGCGCATGCCTTCATAGCGGTACGATAGAATCGTTAACCCTATGAGCACGTCGGGATGCGCGAATTCGGACGAGTGACTTGGTACGTCTTTCCCGATAAATGGTACCGCTAGCATTAGCCGCGAATGTGTGTTTCCGCCATTTCGTCCTTGCGCGGCAGCCGTTTGATGCTCATCCCTCAGAAGACCATAGGACACTCGGTTGATCTTCGAAAGCACGTGCGGTAGAATTGTACGCAACCAGTCGCGTGCTAGATTAAGTAGCTTGATCGAAGATTCAGACAAACCATTCTCGATATCAGCGCGGAGAGAAGCGTTTGTATAGATCTCGGAGCTGGAACACTCCAAATAGTTCATAACTTGCTCGGCAGGAACCTGCATTTTGCCCACGCGAAAGATCCTTAGCAACCATGCTATCGCGATTTCTGATAACAGCGGTAGCATGTGAGCTTCGTAGAAGCCCATATCTAGAAGCACAAGGTGAGGGAAACGCTGTAGTGTGTGCGTATCATAGCCCTCGTTCAAAACAGCATGCAACCGCGAAATCAGGCCGGACTCGTGCGTGGTGGTGTCGCCCGATGCTAGAACAGCATCGATCAAATGAATGGGAAGCTCCCACCGATTGGCTGCAAGATCAATCGGGAATTTGTTTCCGATCGGAAAGTTGAGCTCTGATCGCAACGGGTGTAGCAGCACATCCACCTCATCCATGATCAGTATGCCATTTTGCCAGAGCCTAAGCGTCTTGTGAAGCTCATCAGCCATTTCCGAACGGTCTTCCAGTACACGCCTCATGCGCCTGACGTTTCGCGATGCTGAAGCAAGTTGTAGTTCAATGATGCCTGCAGATTCGTCTAACGAGTGCAGGAGCTCAACAAGCTTCAGCATCATCGATTTAATCGACTCAGGTGAAGCACACACCACATCGCCATGGCGCCGAGCACGATCCAGCTTTGTAAACATCTGCAACGCAGTAGCCGGATCATCACTGATCGCACGATCAAAATCGAACGTGAAAATACGCTTACGTAATATACGATTGCTAAAACGGCTTCGCAACACTTGCCGAGACTGTTCCAGAAGTGCCGTCGGCATTACATGCGTCACAAGATGCGTTTTGTCAGCAAGGATATAGGTCAATAACGGTCCCACTACTGTCGTCTTGCCAGCGCCCATGATCATTTGTTGAACACGAGAATCGCCTTTTGCCAGGCTCGTCAGAAAGCTACGAATCATCTGAACCTGTCTGCCACGCAGCAAAATGTCGAAAACGTATTCGAATACCAAAAATCGTGGATCAAAACGCCACCCCGACATAACTCCATCGGCACGGCCATGCAGGTAATGACGCCTTGATACTAATATATCAGCCAAATCCCGGGAAGCTTGACGGGTCATTTTTATTCTGTCAGAAAAAGCGTTTTCGTCAGGTAAAGTGTTCTCGCCCTTAACCGCTGAAATGCCGTTGAGGTGTGCGACAAGATCACGAGCGGATCGTACGACTTGATTTATGTGCACGATACGACTGCACAAGAAAAGCACCAGCAATATTTTCTCCACAAGATCCGCAGTGCCATTCGTCACGAACGGATTACGAGCTCTCAAATCAGACTCAAACGTATTTGATGCTAGAAGTGCTGTAAGAAAGTCAAATGTCACTCGAGGGTATATACCAACGTGTCGCTGCATTCTAAAGCAATCAGCAGCAACGACCCGTTCTCGATCGCCATGAACGTTGATACGGACCTCGTTGGTCAGCGTTTCAAGCATTGCAATGCCCTCTTCGACCATCTTGCGGTCCTGCATTCTCGTATTCTCACAAATGTCAATCAGCTTTCGAAGATTCTCGACAGCCGAGATCCAGCTACCGGACGATGATAAAGTAGATGGAGTCACACCCATGACAAACGTATCTTTAGTCCCGTTCACTGCTTGTGCATTGATAGCGATATCATCACCAAGTCTTTTCAGCAAATCTTGTGCAGCCGCGGATTGAGCCGCAGGGTGCTTCGAGAGGTCGAACGGTAGAGACGTCCCTACTTCAGTCTCTTGGTCGCATAATGTAATAAAATGTTCTACGTTTATCACTTCCAGCGGGAATTCGGGATTCATGTGACATCCATTGACTCCCGTGAAGTGGCGCTCGCCACATGATGCATTCGACACGTCGTACGTCACCTTGTCCTTCGAGGGCGTCACGCGTACGTTGAACATGTGTTCGGCGGTATGCTGAAGCTGGCTGAATTGGTTCTTTTTGGGCACAATGATGCGAGTCTCGTGATCTTCAGATTCAAGTGCATTCTGGAACTCCATCTCACCGATGTCAAAGAAGTGTTTTACATTTGTTCCAATTGTCATCTTCGAGTACAAGTTTGCACCGCGTGAGAGCATATGCACGCTTTCTTGATCACATGGTGATGAAGGCCATTCAATCTCGGGGTGAGCGATCATCATCGCCAGCTGTGCCATCGCGTACGACGGCACGCAACCTTCTTCGCCATCACCCACGGTTTCACGACCCCATCTAGACAACTTCAAGTGCAGAAGACGCGCGAACAAATCACCGAACGATCGCGTCCAGTCTCCACCACCCACTCGGATAACAAGCTGCTGGTTTAGACATTCATACAAGAAAAGGAAACCAAGGCCTCGGTTTGCTCCACTTATCTCATCACCAACGACCGCACAATTCCATACAAGTTTTCCTGCCTCCTCGTCATCAATCAAGAACTTGTTGCTGATTCCGACTCTGTGCTTCGGCCGATTGTAGCGCACAGTTGCAAGTTTTTTGCCGTGTGCCATGAGGTAGCTTTTGCTATACAAGCTAAGCTTCATCCACGGCTGACCGCCGACTCGCGATCGTGTCAGCTTGAAGTCAATATTCGTCGTATCTGGCTGGACATGATCGCAGAACTTTTTGCGCAGCAACAAAAGACGAGATTGCTGATGACATTGCGCTATTGCCTCCTTTTCCTCTTCCAGCGTAAGTTTGCAAGAAACTTCGACGTGCCCGCTTGTTGTGAGGTAGTCGTGCAGCTCTCCGCCCATTTCCCAGGGAGCCTTGTTGTCGCTGTAGGTGATACACAGCGACAAACGGATGCGGCATGCACAAGCATCCGGGTGGCGATCATCGAGCGTCTTTGACAACTGGTCGAAAACGTGCTTTTCCTCGTCAGTGAACTTCACATCTACATTGCACGCCATTATCAACTCCGTTGCTGTCGCGTATTTTCGCGTGAGCAGGCTTAGAAGTATCAGATACAGCGTAGAGCTGAGAGAAGGAGGCAGTACGAACGTGTTGCTTGAATGCACAGGATAGTTGTAAAATCTTGTCTTCATCACTTGCTGCCACTCCACGGATCCACGGTCGCTCACGAGAACCGAAGAGAACGGATGCCCACGAATCGCTGGACGATGCAAATCGTGGTTAGGACAAAGTAACTTCAGATCACTGGTGTCTGACTCCAGGACGAGACAGTCAGACGCTATCTCAAGCACTCTACGGAGGTATGTGGGCGTCTCTTTCGGCACAGAAAGCGAGAGGTCACTCACATACCAATGGCTTTGATCCATCACATGAAGGCGGATATGCCCAGAAATGCTATCTTTCTTTGGCTGCAGCTTTAGGTTCAATCGCGGTAGTTCGATGAAAGTGATGGAGGTTATTTCGCAAGGCGAGCTTTTAGTGCCCTTGCAGGTGCACCAGACTAGTACATGTGAAAGATCCTCAACTCGACAGAGCAATGTGGACAACGCCAGAACTTCGTCATTCTCGCGCGCCGCACTGGCCTCGAGCATGTTTAACAGGTAAAGAGGTTCTCCAAAAGCTTCTTCAGCTTGTTCCGCCACTCCGGATTCGCCATCTGCATCTTTCGCATCTTCATCCGTCTCCATCCGTAAAGCAAGTTCTTCATTGACGACCACGGACGTCGAAGAATCACCGCATTCAGCAACTTCCACTCGTTGGATTTCTGCACGATTAGCTGGATCCGACAGCCAGACTTTTGCAAGCTCTAGATCTGCGGCGAAGAGATTCAGTGCATACCCAGCAGCAACTCGGGAGCAAGAAGCTTCCATACTCATGAGAAGTCCGACGTCTTGTTCGTGCTGCTCTTCGGAGCTAAGAACAAAGTCACCAGCTGCCGCTGCTTCTTCAGCAGCAAGAATCTGCATCTGATTACTTTCATCCAACAAGTATTGAGCCGCCAGGTTCACGTTATTACGACTTTCGCGTAGCGCAAGAGCACATCCGACATACGAAAAGCCCATCGCCATAAGCTGAACGACGTCGCCATCGTTAGTTTTGGACAACTTAGGAGATGCTGGGCGGTGACCTTCACTTGCGGCTTTTTTTGGCATTTCTGTGAGAGCCGGCAAGGGTTCCAAGAAACTACCATTTGATGAGCAGACGGTGCCGGTCTTGCCAGTTTGAATGGTTGTAAAGGGCATCGTAATTGGTTTTCGACTGATGAAGGCGTGACCGAGTTCATTCAGCTCAACCTCAACTCGATATCGAAACCATTGTGACTTAGTGTCCACAGCATTTCCCCGCAGACGCCCATCTTCCCCTTTCCAAAAACTGAAGTTCTCCAGCAAACAGCTTGGAATAACTCCCTGGAGAAGACGCGACGGAACGAACTGCTCGGATCCATTCAGCAAATTGTTCTTGCGTAAAACTACGAGTGAACCCCCAGCAATTTGACGTTCGGACGGCTCGCCGCTCGCACGTAGTAGGGCAGGATGAACTGGGCTTTGACCATGCAAGTCAGGAAGACGGAAAGTGTGAAGACTTAGACGCGAGTCCGACGTAAATACAAGTTTTCGGTAAAGCCTGCGGCCATGCGACACCAAGGCGAATATATGTATGACCTTCATCGTTCGATACGCCACGATTTCTTTGAACGTCGCAAGTTGCTCATCATCCTTGTCGCCAGAGCCTCGGTCTAGGCCGATCAAGTTCACGCGGCTAGCATCAGCTGGATACGGCTCATTCGGAAGAAACAGCGTGTAAGGTAATTTCTTATTGTCTGGCTCTGGAGGATAGATCAGACGGAGTACATCGCCAATCAAATCGGCAAACCAATGTTCATCAACATACGAATGCTCCTTCTCGGTGTAAATATCGAAAGGACGCGAGAATGTTTTGCCGAGGTAGCAGAATCCATCATCGCCCGGTTGCTTGGCTTTCCCATCTCTATCATTCCGTACGGCCTGAGGAAGCACGTGAGCAATTTTTGGGGTACCACATACCTCGCAGGTAGCTTCAGGGCTGTCACCATTAAAATTCGCACATGTGCAGGTCGAACACTCCCAGTACATTTTATGTTCTTGAGGATCCTTAGCTGGTCCATCAGGCCCACCTACGCTGCGAGGCTCAAACACCGTCGGAGCGCCTATGCCCTGATCAATCTCGTGCGTAGAGTCGCTCCATTCTACTAGCTGATAGTCCGTGCCAACAATGCTGATCCACAAACGATGTTCATGGCGGGCCACAAGACCGCAGTGAAGCGCTTTGTTTCCAAACACGGTCTTAAAGTCTGCGTACTGAGTCATCGAGTCCGGAACAGGCTTCAGTTCGTCATTCCGCCACAATATTTCCCCTGTCTGGATATCCAGCTTCAATTCCTGCTCGTCGCAGATGTATTTACCTGCACCTTCGGCATTTGATTCTTCGCTCCATTCCCAAGTGTCAGTTTGCTTAGTCGAACGAAGTGCAATTCGAACGATGCCTCCTAGAACCTTGTTGCGAGTGGTCTTTGCTAGGCCGACCAACCATTGCATGATTGACCGTCGGTGTAACTGAATTACTTCAAATACTTCTGCTTCAAGAACGTCGCCGGGTGGTAGTAGCATCTCTTTGTCATTGCTACTGTTGCGCAGTGTGACAATGCTTGGTGCTTGAATAGTTTGCATTCCAACTTTCAAGTAAAGAGGTCGGCCCACCAAGTACTTGTCTAGAGACGTGCTACTAACGTCGGCGGTATCAATGCCATGGGCTTGAAGCCAACGGAGTAGTCTTTCTTCCGCCGTGAGCCCACCTTTCTCGATACTACCGTCAGTAGATAGTTTCATTCCGAAGCAATGCCAGTTGTGAACGTGAGCGACAGAGCCCAGCAATTCGGAGACTTTGGGAGCGTCGTATTCATAACAGCGCAAGCTTACATGAAGAAGAGCAAGGTATGAATGGACCACGCACTCTGTCTGGAGGTTGTTCGCTTCTTCAGCTTCCCGTCTCCATTCATTCAAGATCCTGCGGGCGTACCCGAATACGTACTCCATAAGCTGCGACCGATATGCCTCGAGCTTGTCAACCTGCGTTCGGTCGCCAATGGAAATACACTGGTCGATAGCAAACGTTACGTATTGCAGAATATCCACGCCCAGCTTGATCATGAAAAGCATAAATCGAGCGTCTGCTGAGTGAACGGAAACTTCTCCGAGCTCCTTGATTGCATCCAACATTTTAAGCAACGGGGGTACAATAGCTTCTGGTGCGTGGACTAATTCGTTCAAAAGAAGCCCATTCATTGTGCCGAGGTGGTCTTCACACTTCTGGTGTCGAACACGAGCATCACGCGTCTGCTGAACGGCTTCCTCGTGCATCACGAAGTTTGGCTTTCTCAAAGGAATATGGGTAATTTCCTCAGCTTTATCATCGACGACCCAATCCCCACCCTCAAACAAAACACCACGAAATAGTTGCTGCAGCATCGGATTAATCAAGTACGTAACACGGTCCTGTGAGGAAAAAAATGAAGCCACGAGAGGAATCCGCGTGTATGGCACCGTCAAGTAACTCAAGAGATACTCTGACTCCTCCGTTGAAAGGGTTCCGTCAAAAATAGGTAGATCAGTGAGATGCATGATGTCGTCTTCAGTAATTACAAGAGAATGGCTTTTAGTTGACGTGTTGGTTGAACATTTGGAAATGAGTGCACTTAGATTCGTTGGGCTTCTCACGACCGGACCGTCGCCAAAATAGATCTTCCTGCCCATGATCCCTTTCACCTCCACGTCAGCGACATCTTGGTCGGTTCCGCGGAAGTTAACAACCTCCCACTTTAACGTAGCGTGAAGTATCTGATTGAGTCCGCGAAGACCGAAAAAGTTCCGTCGATGGGTTGCTGCTGAGTCGTCAAACGATAGCTGCCACATCTGCCAGTGATCGTTGGCTGCACGGTGCCTCAAAAGTTCGACTTCGCTCGTTTCCATTGTCGCTAAGAATTTCACCGCCATGACCAGATCACGAGTCATGCCAACTTCAGGATGATCCTCGGCCATGGGATTCGTGTCGCTGCAAAACCACTCCATTAACGCTTCCATTTCAGTCGGTGGGGTCGGATTGCTGGGGTCGATCAATTGGTAATGGTACCGCTCCATTAACTTACGAAAGAAGAGAATCGTCGTCGAATATTTCTTGATTTCAATCTTGTCGTCCGGCATTTGATAGTCATATAGTTGTCGCTTACCTCTGATATCCTGGCTGTTAAAGTAAGCGAGCACCTGTCCTCGGACAACACAAAAATTCGGCCGCGCAAACTCCATCGCCGAAGCCATCTTTTTGATTGACATATTTGACTTGCAGAACGTGTGAGCTAATACATATCCATCTTCTTCTTCCATCATGAGAGAAATTTCGAGTGGATCGTCAGCTGCTGGGGTGCGAACTAGGGCATCAAAAATGCACAACGCACACGATGCCGCAAGTGCGCGCTCTGAATCAAACTGACGGCTCGGCTGGTCTACTGACTGCCACACTGATCCTAAAATTAGCAGCAGGGAGTGTATGTGTTTTAGGCATCGAAGCTGCATGTCCTTTGCAACAGGATGCCTCCACATACAAGTGGGTGACACAGCTCCGTCAGCACCGATACGCTCGGGCACTGGCAATACTTCTACTAGCACGCTTGTAATCAGTTGAAGGACTTTATAGTGCAAAGACAGTTTTGAGGAGGTCGATCCTTCAGCAGCTCGCTTCAGCAGGGACTCGCACAAAGCCTTGCACCTAACGAATGCTGCAACCGCTAGTGCGATCGATGTTATGCGTTCGGGCACACCCAAAAAATTGCTAAGAACAGGAGCGTCAAGCTCAGACGCGCTTCCCGCGTACTCACTTGCATGTTCTTGCAGCCGCAGCAACTCCATATTACCATGGGGGATAAATGTAAACGTTTCGTTCAGTGAAGCCGCATCGCACTTCTTGTTATTGTCGGAACTAGCGGTCGCCCCCACTGACTCGATCAGCCGCTCTGTTTCATCCATTAGGTTGTTCACGTGGCTGAGGCCTTGGGCCTCTATTTTTCGGCGATCATATTGCTTGAGCGTTTTCAGTCCGATTTGCTTCACAGTCATGGCGATGCATGTCGTCTCGGAAACGGAAAGAGTCATTCTTGGCAGCTCGAACGGCTTGCTTGTCCACGGATAAAAAGCACCTGTTGGGTCTGACATTACCAGGTCTTTTCCTAACGGGGTCAATGTGGATCCATCAGACCCTCGCAAAATGAGCTGCGGCACCTCCGCAATGTCAAACGTCTGCACGAGCTGTTCGCGAGCCCCTCTTTCTGAGAAAGGCACGACCAGCCATGTGTGTACCGGTAAGCTGGCTGCAAAAGTCGCGTGGTCTGCCTGCTCTCGATCGACCGGTACTGCAATTATGACGAACTTCTTATTTGCAGCGTGCAAGCTTTTGCTGAGTACTGTGAGCGCGTGTGTCAACTTACGACACGCCGTGGACGTCGCCGTTGTAAAATAAATACCAACGACAGCTTCTGGATCCACCTGAGCCACGGTGTGGGTACCCTGTAGCGAATCTTGCAGTGCGATGGTAGACAGCGTTTGCAGCGCACTAGCCAGCTTGCTGTCAGGAATTGCTTTTGCAGGGTTTTCCGCGATTTTCAAGCCTTTCACGATTTGCCAGAATAAACGATAGCGCATTTGATACAGAATCGTATACTCCACTTCTTCATTCGTAAACACTTGGCCACGTAGACTCAAATAGCGAACCGCTTCAATGACGCTTTTGCAAAAGCCCAACTGGCTGCGCTGTGCTGTGTGCGCGTCTCCGAGAGCTGCACTCGTCCAGTCAGTTAGTGCGTATTGTGCTGACTTTTCGTAAGCCAGTGGTAGTAGCTGATCGTTTGCGAGCCAAGGCAGCAACACGTCGTAGATGATCTCCACTCGATGATACTCCGACGCGGGTTTGCGCACCCACAGCGAGAACAGCAATGACCAAAGGGCCATATCCAAAAAACGACTGGCCAATATGTTACTGATCTGGATACACGACCGGACGCAGATCTTGTCAGCGCCGTCTTTCACTTCGCACGGATGGTACATCTCGGCTCCAGGGCCTTTATTGCAAACTGTAAAGGAGTACAGCTCTGGTGCATCACTCGTCTTTTCAATCACGTAAATAATTGAGTGGCTCGTCACCGTTCCAACGTACCCTCCAGGCACCAGCACCGGCTTTCCGACTTGAAGTTTGGCCAGTTCCGCTTTCCATTCAGTCATAAAGGTCTGGAACTGCGCAGCGTCGTCCACGTTGGCGCCCTTCTCGGCCCATTGACTACAGAATAACAGCTGAGGGAGCACCAACGTCTGCAGTGCGTGCCGCTGCTCGGCTGTCAGTGGGAACGCCAGCGATTTATCGTTCGCGTCGTCTCGGGCCCCATCGTCTTCGTCTTCCGGCGGCTGCAGCAGCTGTGCAAAGTTCTTCAGCACGCTAACGAGTGCTTGCGGGTCTCCTCCGGCTTCGTACGACGTATTACGCAGATACGGGTCCCCGAAGAGACCCAGAACGACTGCAGAGCGCCACACGGTCATTGTGTCCGGTCTTGCGTTCTACGTGAGTGCGCAGAAAAGTAGAAGTGGAAAGATCGTGGCGGACAGAAAATGGCGTCGTGGAGAAAGGCGGAGGGTAGTGTGGTACGTTTCTGTTGAGCCGAGGAGGTGGTGGCTGGCCAATCAGATGAGATTCTGTCAATTATGAAGTTCAACATCTGGAATGGTGAGCTGACGCTTACGATTGTTGGGCTTAGAAATAGAAATTTGCCTGTGCCATAAATAGCGAAAGCCGTTGCCATTCTTTCGGGCCGAGATATGGAAGCTTGCCTTTGCCATGAAAAAGCAAAGTTGATGATGTCGATTTTCACGATCCGTTTTCGGACATCGTATTTGATCGATTGCTGTAGCATGTTCGATGTCGTGAGGCCGGCTGACGTGGCTGGGACCAAAAAGAATGACAAAAGTCGACCGACGCGCACCTAGACGAGTAAGACTTCTTCCCGCTAAGGGCCTTGTGTGGCATAAACAAACGAAAAGTGCACTTTAGGTTCTAATCCGTCGGTGCAAACCCAATGGAATTACTGGTGTCTTACTACCTATTGTACTCAAAACGCGCATCGCATCTGGCATCTGGACGTTGATTTGAAATGGTGTAGCAAGGTCGCACCGCAGCAACGATAATATTGTACCTTATCAATACCGGATCGGTTAACTTGACCGTAAATATCATCTACACGCGTCGATCATTTGCTGCTTATTTACAATCATGCAATATAATAGCACCACACTACAACTAAGTCACAAGCAACTCGTTTGCCTCTAGGCAATTTTTTGAAATAACTGAAGCAGTAATTGGCTGAACAGACCTGCGCCTTGTCGCGCTACCTTCTTTCTAGATATTCGTCTTGTCCCTCCTTTCCCAGCCCAGCAGTCCATAATGGATTCAACCGTCATACACAAAGCAAGATGAGGTTTCCGCCAGAATTGACGCGTACAGCTTAGATTATGTATGAGTCATATGAATTTTGTAACAGACTAGTGTGCGGGATTGGTAGCGTTATAAGATCGTAAATCAAAATCAGATCACGTATGAGCGAAATGGTAGTGTAACAAGGTTACACGTCGGCTGATAGTCGACAATAGGTGTGGTGCACACAAGAGATGGGGTCCCCTGTAAAGTGATATTGTAACACAGTAAGCGTATCAATTATTAAAGACTGATGTCTGTCTACCATTGGTTGCGAGATCTTTTAAGAGGTTTTATTTACGACAGGTTGATTACGTTGTTGTTCTAAGGTATTCTTTTAGCTAAAAGAAGAAATAAAGTTCAGTTCCCCTTTTGATCAGTAAGAGACACGTGCCTTACGAGGCGTCTTTGATCGGGAGGACAAAAGCAACGCCTGTAAAGGTAGCTTGTCCTCGAGCACTCTGTGCTGTGATTCGTTTGAATCGTTTGGTCCCTCTGGAACGGGGACCGTAAGCTCTCTAAGCTTGTTGACTCTCTGAGTCGGGTTCTCTGAACCAAAACCGTAGCTCTCTGAGCTGTTGACTCTCTGTGTCGGGTTCTCTGAACCAAAACCTCAGCTCTCTGAGCTGTTGACTCTCTGAGTCGGGTTCTCTGAACCAAAACCTCAGCTCTCTGAGCTGTTGACTCTCTGAGTCGGGTTCTCTGAACCAAAGTTGCTCGTGAGAGCGTTGAAGTCTTCCTCTGACTTAAGGAGCTGTGTAGCTCCGCTACACGTGGTAGCACTTGTAGTCAATCTACGCCTGAGTCGTTACGACTGACCCTCTGCGAGGATGGAACAATCCACACCCCTCAATGAGGCCCAAAAGGTTGCGCTAGATAAGCTAACCGCGGCCGTAGGCCCAGAATATGTTGAGTTTCTCGCTGCACAAGGTCCCGATGTGCTCGATGCACGAGTCGAGACCTTTACGCAGTACGAAACGGCCCTGTTAAGGCAGGTTCAGAACCAAGTAGCGTCGGCCATGACTACATGCTTTGTGGCCATGCCAGACGAAGAGGCTAAGCCTCGTCTCCTTAGGGTGGACGTTAAACATTACTCCGGGAAGGAAGGGAAAACCCGACCCTCTGGATCCGCGAGATTGATATGGCCATGATATATGGCATAATCTCAATCGAGCATCAGCGGGTCTCACTGGCGATCTCAAAGCTCGATGGAAGAGCTAGAGTGTGGGCTCCGATGTGTGGCACGTCTGTCGATTCGGCATTTTCAACATGGGATTCGCTCAAGGTAGACCTCTTGCGAGTTTTATCGCCGCCCAACCAGGCCTATCGCGTGCGCTCACGCTTCTTGTCTACCCGTCAGGGTGGAATGAGTTAACGGACTATGTCCAAGAGTTAAGAATTCAGATGGCTGCTATGCAGTCTGACCCTCTCCCTGAGACAGTCTGTGTGACTGTCTTCATGGAAGGTCTTTGCACTTGCGTTGCTAGGACCGAGGTCTATCGAATCCATATCTAGACTTTTGAAGAGGCTGTGAGCATCGTCCAAAATGCTGAGCATAACTTTAAAACAGCAAGACTTGGTTGGAATGGGTACAGCCCAAGCTATGCGAGGGCAACCTCAGCAAATAGCTCAGCTTACTGTAAGCCTTAACCGATGGAATTTTAGCAATGCTAAAGATGAAAGTGAAGCGGAGCTTCATGTTGCCGTGCAACGACAGGAAGTGAAACGTTGTTATACGTGCGGAAGCACCAAACATCTACGTCCCACTTGTCCTTTGCGCAAGCAGGGCTTAGCCCCAAAGACCTCTATGCCGATCAGCACAGAGCGTGGATGCCAGCCTGGCTTATAGTCGCTGAGGCTACAGTGAGAGGCTTTGAGAAGCATTGGTCGATCCTAATCGACTCCGGAGCGCTGTGCGATTATTCTCAACGTCGTTCCCTTGAGGGAAATCAGCGATACGCTAAAGCGCCCAAAAAGAACGAGGGTGATTCCATCACCGTTCGCTTAGCGACTAGTAGTCGCGTCACAGTGCCTAAAGTTCCGTTAAACTTAGATGTGAAGTTCTAGGACTTTGACAGCATTGAACGCTTTCTTGTCCTCAATTCGGGATCGAGATATGAGCTCATCCTAGGTATGGCTTGGCTTGAACGCCATGAGCCATGGATTGATTGGAGGTCTAAGACCTTAGGCGCAACGCGCAATGTTCCTAGCGAAGCTGTAAGAAGTCATGAACCCATCTTTGCTAGGCAACAGAAGCACTATTGGCGCAAGCCATTGACAGAAGATGTCAACGTAATCGACATTGTCATGTCCGATTCAGCTGTAAATATCAATTACATGAAAATTGAGCGGAGCTCTTTCATCGTATGTGAAGAGGGTCGTACTCCATTGGGTAATATACGTTGTAATAATGAGTCACTGCATGATGCAGGCATTGTTGGCCTAAGGTCGATACATCAAGAACGTAGTTCCTATGATGTGAGTCGGGTGGCACGTGAAATTATACTGAGTGAGGGTGGCCGTGATGGTGCCTCACTGAATGTCGGTAGTGACATTGCTGGCGAGAAGCTAGAGTGTTCAGGGCTAGGCCCGGATGATGTACGTGAAGTGGTACGTGTAAATCCACCGGGTGAAGTGTTCAAGTTACATAGCTCTTCACCAGATGTCGATCAAGACATGAATTATCGTACAGAGCGTACTACGAGAAATAGCAACAACAGGGACCCTACTGAACCGGCCTCTAGGAGGCCCAAGGTTTCGTTGAGGAAACAATCCCAGCGTCGGGTGGCAACTGTTAAGCGCCCAACGTCTAGGACGTCACGAAAGGAGAATAGTAAGACACTCTATACACTTGTCAATGGAGTGACTGGCCATGTCGATGGCGACATCCGTCTTGAGACCCGTCCATCCTTGTATACTCTCTTTGACCTTGACGAAATGTCTGACGGCGAATTTAGCCAAACCTTACATGCGGGAGAATTATACGAGTTAGTGGTCATTCTCCCTGATATTGAGTTGAATTCATCCTCGTTATTGGACGATTCTAACTTTAAGGACACAAGGGTGGCACTGGGTGCCCTTAGTGGATATTCGATACTTAAGAATCCTCTTGATCCGTTCTATCCTTTTGTAAAGGAGTTTCAGGACGTGGTTTGTCACAACCCACCACCGTCTTACCTCCCTATAAAGGTGCTCGTCATGAAATTGACTTGGTTCCTGGAACTAAATACAGCGTAACACGGCAGTGGCCTTTACCGAAGGAACAGTGTGACGTCATTGACAAATTCTTTCGTGCGAAGCACGCGGCAGGAATGGTTCGTTGGCTTTCCTTCTTCGCCGAGTACAACTTCGAGGCTAAGTATAAGTTGAGGAAGCAGAATTCTTTGGATGATGCGCTGTCACGCAGGCCTGACTATGAGCTTGCTCATGTTACGACTCTGTCGTCGTCGATCACTGACCTCATCCGTTCAGCATATGCCAAGGATGAACACTGTGTAGCTCTGCTATGTTCTCTTGGGAGCGACGAGCTCAAGGACTCAGACATCGAATTGTCGGCACGATTACGTGCGAGGCTACATCGATATTCCATCGATCAAGGCCCGTTGTGCTATATCACGGATGTTGAGGATACACCTCGTATCTTAGTCCCTCATGATGAGGAGTTGAAGTATCGGATCCTCTATGAGGCACATGATACTGCGTTCAGTGGTCATCTCGGTCGTGAAAAGACCTACGGCTCAATTAGCCAATGCTATTGGTGGCCCAAACTATACGAATGGGTGAGCACATATGTTCGTACGTGTAAAACGTGTCAACGGGTGAAATTCTCACCTCACGCGGCCGCGCCGCTGGCTAGTTTGACTGTACCCAAAGAATGTTGGGCGTCCATTAGTATGGAATACCTGTTCGGTCTTCCGAAAGATTTTTATGGCAATACGTGCATTGTGGTCTTTGTTGACCATTTGAGCAAGATGGCTCATTTAGCGGCGGTGCCGATTTCTATCGATGGTAAGGGTACAGCTACGCTGTTTATCGATCGCGTGTTTCGACAACACGGTTTGTCATTGGCAAT